AATGAATTTTACCATAGGCTACTAGATATAAACAAGAGTTATGTTCCCACAGCACCTCATCAACATTACCACAAATTGACATGGAGCACAATGAATTTTTTCGAGGATCTGCTTGTTAACATGATACAGATGTTGGTGCCACTAACACTGTATATGGATAAGAATATGGGCTCCGAAGTGATATGGTCCTAGATCTGAATCTCAGCTCTGCCTTAATTTCCTCACTCATAAAATGAGGTGACAATGATAACATCTCCCTTATAAACTTGTTGTGAGGGTTAAATGAGATGAATGAGACGATGCATATAAAAGCTGGGCATAGAGCTTAGCATATGGAAAATACTCGATAAAAGTTAATTTTTATTATTACCATTAGTATTACCTCTCAAACTTTTGGCCTCTACTTACATCAGTTGATTCAGATGGGAAGGAAGGAGATAACCCAAAGAAATATGGGCAACATTTGTAGGAACTGTGAAGTTGTGAGATAAAAGCGTCACATCCTGGAAACATAATTATTTCATTACTTTTTTTTAAATCCTCACCCGAGGATATTTTTCCATTTATTTTCAGACAGACTGGGAGGGAGGGAGAGAGAGAGACAGCGAGAGAGAGAAACATCAGTGCGAAAGAGACACAGACTGGTTGCCTCCCACACGACCTGACCAGGGCCAGGAACAGAACAGCAACTGAGGTACATGCCCTTGACTGCAATCGAACCTGTGACTCTTTGGTCTGTGGGCTCTAATTGCTGAGCCAAACAAGCCAGGGCTATTTCATTACTTTTTATTAGTGGTGACTGGGATTCTGGAGAACAAAAATATAAAAAATCCAGATAATATTTAAGAATGGAATTTAGATTTTAGGTTAAAGAATGAATTCTGGTAAAGGAGTGATGGACTAAAAACAAAGGATGGAATAAATATGAGACCTGGAAAGAAAATGCTTGCCCAAAGAATAACTAACCCAAGTTGCCACCGTGTTGAAGGTACTATGCTTTGTGCCAGAGCAACACAGTAGTAGTAATAGTAACAGTAACAATAAACAGTAATGACAGTAGCAGCAGTAGCTAATACCTATATGGTACTTACTAGATACATATTATTCTAAATACAGAACATGCATTAATTGACTTTATCTATTAACTAAGAAGAAAGCAGTTTGGCTCAAGAATCCAACAGATCTGGAGTTAAATCTTGGCCCTGATGTTGTGGCAAGATGACCTTGAGCAAGTTACTTCACTTCTCTGAGCTTCAGTTTCCTCATATCTAACGGAAAGAGAGAACACATAACCCAAATAATGAAGATTATTTGAGATTATAAACATAAAGTACTTGTCACAGTACCTGATACCTAGCAGATACCATGGTAGCTGTATCTTTATTGACACTGTTAATATTATGATTATTATTAAATCTTAGGACCAAAAACATCATTCTGAAGGCAAAGAGTGAAGTTTTGAAAGGGGAAACTTTTTTATTCCTTCCTGAGTTCCTCTCCAATCTTTTAAAAAATGGTAGGCATGCTATGATATTAAGCTTTTCTTAGAATTAACCATGCATGAATAAAAAGTAGACTATTATAAAGATTAAAAGAAAAAGACCCTTAGACAAGTTCTAAAGGATTTTCCCCCTCCCTCTAGAGAATACTACAGTTCTTCAAAGCAAATAGTGCTGAAAAGAATGAAATGGCATATGGCTGGGGGAATCTTCCAAAGAAACTACTCTACGCAGCCATCCCGTTCTTTTCTCTGCCTTTTAAGGTCACAGTAACATGATAGAAAATCTGGGACTCACACCATCTGTCCAGACAGTTCTATCACTGCTCATTTCTCTTGTTAAATAATCAGAAGACTTCACACTTCCCAAACACTGCTACCATAAAGAGCAGTTAAAGCAGAATGAAAGGAGCTCTTTCTATCCAGAAATGAACTGGTTAGAAATGAACAGTTCTTTTGAGGTTTGTGGGTTTCAGATCATGTCACTGAGAAGAAATTCAAGCCTTGGAAGAAAATTTAAGAATAAAAGGAGTATCATACTAGCTCTAGAAATTATCTTTCTTAGAAAAAGGTGACATTCTCATATGAATTCTCTAAGATAGATTTGGCAGTTTAATATTGAGATAATTATGTAAGTTTCTAATCTCTAACTGTCTCATAAGACTAAGAAGAGGAATAGTTTTCTTTACCACTACTATTAGTAGTATTAATAATAGCAGCTAATAATTACTCAGCACTCAGGACATGCTTAATTCTCTTCAAAACCTTTTCTGTACATTAACTCAATCTTTAAAACCACACTATGCAACAATTTCTATTATTATTCCCATTTCACACTTGAGAAAACTTAGGTACAGAGATGTTAAAATGTTCCCAAGGTAATACACATAGCTGTTAAAATATGGAGCTGGGATTCAAAACCAAACAGCCTGGTGCCACGCCTTTAATTTCTATGCCATGTTTTCTTATAGCTTTTTTTAAAAAAAGCCTCTAAATTATACATGAAATTTGGCATCTTTATCATATTTTGAATAAACAAACTGTGGCTCAATGTTGACCCCCCTCCCCATTCATCCAGTCACAATGAGAGTGTCAATTACACATTCATTAACTTATAATCAGAACTTATCCAGTGTGAATGTGCTTGTTGTCAAAAAGCAAAATAATTTTTTATAATAAATAAAAAGTTTCGAGAATATGCTCCAGCATCAATGTCAATTTGGGATGCTTTATAACTTTGAGAAAAAAGGTCTGGATTACTCTCAAACCTCTAGACCAGTGATTCTTAACCTTACTAATGCTGCGACCCTTTAATACAGTTCCTCATGTTGTCTGTGGACGTATCTGCATGTGGGCGGACCCGCCTGGAGACAAATAGAGGAGCCATGTCTCAGTTCCTAAGACCATCGGAAATATGTGCTTTCTGATGGTCTTAGGCGACCCCTGTGAAAGGGTCGTTAAAACCCCCAAAGGGGGCCCTGGCCGGTTTGGCTCAGCGGTTGGAGCATCGGTCTGCGGTCCAGAGAGACCCGGGTTCGGTTCCCGCTAAGGGCACGTACCTCGGTTGCAGTTTGTCCCCAGCCCTGGTTGGTCGTGTGGGTGGCAGCCACTCGATGTGTCCCTTTCACATTGATGTTTCTCTCTCTGTCTCTCTTCCTCTCTCTCCCTCCCACTCTATCTGAACAAAAAATAGAAAAATGTCCTCGGGTGAGGATAATAAAAAAACAAACAAACAAACAAACAAACAAACCCAAAGGGGTTGCAACCCACAGATTGAGAACCACTACTCTAGACCAAGGTTAACTTTACATGAAGCCTCCTTGCCTTCAAATAAAGAGTCAGTGATTCACCTGGCCAGTGTGGCTCAATGGATTGAGAGTCGCCCCACAGACTGAGGGGTCCCGGTTCGATTCCTGGTCAGGGCACATGCCTCGGTTGCAGACTTAGTCCCCAGTGGGGGGTGTGCAGGAGGCAGCCAATCGATGTTTCTCTTTCACACTTATGTTTCTCTCTCTCTCTCTCCCTCTAAAAAAAAATAATTAATTAATTAATTAAAAATAAATACATAAAAAAGGTTCAGTGATTCCAGTAGGGTATGTCAACACATGCAGGGGAAACCAGGCTGAGCATGGAATTCCTCTGCTGTGTTACAGAACATTCCCCCCTGTGCCCAATGGCTCCATGTTCAGTGACTGAAGCCCCAATCTCAGCTAGTAGGTGAGGTGAAGTTATGCCACTGGTCACATAACTACCCTAGCAATGACAGTTAAAATATTAATCACATTAGTGATTATAGAATTGATAATATTAAATAATAACACAATGATAATCACCATTTACTTAATAAGCACTAAGCCAAGTGCCTCAGATAGTCAAATATACTAGAGAGGCAGTGGGAAGTAGTGGCTAAAAGTATGAATTCTAGAGACAGGCTGGTGTCTGACTCCTTCACTTAGTAGCTATGCAATCTAGAACAAACTACTCAAAGTCTCAGTACCTCACAGAGTATCTACCTCTTAAGGTTGTTATGAAAATTAGATGTGTCAATACATGCAAAATGTTCATAATAGTGCCTGACACACAGTAGTACTACCCAAATTTAATAGATGAGGAGATTAGTGTTCAGAAAAGCTAAAGGCCACACATTAGTGGGTGTTGCTGAGGTTTCCCAGGTCGGCCTGATTCCAAAGCCCCTGCTCTTTGGGTTCTCATTCCTATTCATTCTCGCTCAGAACTGAGAATAGACTAACTGTATCATAAAGGAGAGCTCACAGATACTCTGCTATTTTTGTCTTTTCTCATCAAGGACTTTTACTATGGCAGCATTAAAAAAAAAAAAAGCTTAAAATGCCAATCTAACATACTGCATTCCTTCAGTTCTAAGACACTCCCCCAATCCCAGTTTTTCCATCTGTGAATCATGTGTCTTACACTTATAATTGGCAGTTTTTCCTTTCTTAGTAGCACATAAAATAATGGCGCATCTTACAATGTATATCATCTTACATTTGACAAAATATGGTAGCTGTTAGGCTCAAGGAGCATCTTTGGAGGATTAGCCCTCAGCCTGAATTAAAGGCACATATCAGAGTTTACCCAGCACTCATGGCCTCAAGCAATCCCAACTTCCTCACTTAAACTTCACTTTCCCATGACTGTCTCCTTACTGACCTTCATCCATTCCCACCCAATTATCAAGCTCCTACAGCTCTAACAGCCAATCCAAGTTTTAGCTCAGGCTCTGGGCTTGGTTTTTGTGTTCCTTGTTTGGTTTTATATTTCTGATGACTCCAGGACTTGTAATCATTATGACTTTCTGGACTGACAAAACCAGGGACACTTCATCCTTGTAAACTGTCCTGATAGGTAGTCCTCACTTTGAAAACATAACTGGGTTCTAAGGGTGAGCTTAGCAAATAACGAAGCCTTGACAGTCTATTTGCCTCCCAACCTCTGAAGTTATTTCTATAGTCCCCTTTATAGGTACTTATCTGATGCATACTTAAATTTTTTTCCTGTTTTGGCCTGAGTGCCTCCATTCCACATATGGTCAGTCTCTTCATAGAAGAAAAATATATCAAGTTTTACATCATCTTTTCCCTGGAAAGATAGTTCCAAGCTGTCTTCTACCTAGAAGGAAGATATAAACCTTCACAGACTGAAACAAAGGAAATATGTATGTTTTAAATGAAAAAGACAATGTTTTATATAAAGTACTGGTTTTAAGACACATGTTTTTTCCAATTGGAGCACCTCTGAAATTGGAATGTATCAGTAACACACTATCATCTGATTTCTTTCTTAAATGCATATAAAATAATGTTTCTGCCCTGGCCAGTTTGGCTCAGTGGTTGGAGCGTAGGACGGCAGTCCCGAGAGACCTGGGTTCGGTTCCCACTAAGGGCACGTACCTTGGTTGCAGTTTGTCCCCAGCCCTGGTTGGTCGTGCGGGTGGCAGCCACTCGATGTGTCCCTTTCACGTCGATGTTTCTCTCTCTGTCTCTCTTCCTCTCTCTCCCTCCTGCTCTGTCTGAACAAAAACTGGAAAAATGTCCTCGGGTTAAGATAAAATAAATAAATAAATAAATTTCTTTTTACAATTGATGACAACTCAGGGCAATGACGTAACAGTAATTAAATTATCATCTGCAGAACTTCCTGTTCTTGAGCCCCTTTCTGACTAAAGAAAGGAACCAAAGACAAATTACTCCCTTTCAGTAATCAAGTACAACTATCAGGAAAAAGTTTTTCATTAAAATCAATAAGTACTTAAGTCAATGTTGTATTACAGAAACCCATAGATCATTACAATTTGTACATGGAAAATATAAATAAAAGTTAAAGGTACAAAGAATATTTTCCTAAAGAAACTTATTCTACAAATAATTATGTTCCCATTGGACTGGTGCATCTGTCTATTACTGAATCACTCATAACTGTTTATGTGTTTTTTCCTTCCATTTAGACAGTGGACGCCTCAAAGGTAAGGACTAGAACGTATTCATCTTTATGTCCCAGGTGCAGAGCATGGTGCCAGGCACAGAGTGAGTGTTGGGTAAATGTTTGCTGAATGACTAGAGTTCTATTGCTTTGACTTTGACCTCAAGAAAAAATTTAAATTTTTAATAACCCAGAATGTTTATGATGAGGAAAGTAATTTTCCAGTAATTAAACATACTTCTAGTTGATTTCCTAGACAATATCATCCTGAGAACAAGAAAATTAATAGTAAGGTGATTGCAAGGAATCATAGACTTAGGGCATAGGGATCAAATTGTCTAAAAGGAGATTTCATCTAAGCCACAATGACCTATTCCTAGCTGACCTCTGAGAAAACTGCTGTGACCTAGGACAGATGAAATAAACAAGAAATTCAAGTACTGTTTGAAATGAGTCTATATTTCTAGCCCTTAGCAATCAAAGAAATCTTTCACACTGATGATATGATACCTAAGTAAACATAAAATTAAATTACTCATGAGAACCAATATAACTTCAAGTAGGGTAGATGGGATTCTCATTTATTATATTAATTGTATATTAGTATTGTATTAATTACATATTATAGTGTTGCCTAATATAATGGGAATAAGTTCATCTGCATGAGCCCAACCAAGGTCTTTCTCTCGTCATCATTGTTAATAGAAAGTTTTCCTTTAATAGTGCAGGTCACAAGCTTCTTCTGAACTCATCCTTGCAAATAGCAAGTGATAAAATAATGAATGTAATGTTCTTAATCATTTTTGAGTTAATACAAACTTTATTTTGAGACATGTTACTTATGAAGTAAAGCAGATTTTTATTACCGACCTTCCCAAATTTGTGTTTGAGTGGAAGTCCTGCATCCTGAAATGCTGAAATAATATCAGATCTGTAATCTTGTATAAAAATTCCTAGGTCAACATCTTTACTATAAGAAATAATACTGCACTGTCGATACCACCCTATAAAAAAAGAAAGAAAGAAAAAGAAATAAAACTTTTTTAAAAAATTTAAGTTTGGAAAAAAACAGTCATTATTATAATGAATGATCTTTGTAACAGTGGATTTTATTTCATAGGATTAGACTTACAGTGCTTTACTAAAATTATTTTTAAAAACTAAATCCCAAACTAAACCTGTGGTTACAGGACCCATCTGATGAAGAACCTTTCTTGCCTTCCTTCCTTTTACTGGTCTGAGCACTACGCATGCTCAAAAACTTTCATAATGTATTTTTATTTCTGAATAAACTATTAGCTTTAATAATGTTAACTGGGACATCCATTTTAAAAAATTAAATAACTTTTGAGAACGTTTAATCATAAACCTCTAATGATGAAGGCTGCCTTTAGATATGCTAAAAATAGCCCTGGCTGGTTTGGCTCAACAGTTAGAGTGTCAGCCCAGAGACCGAAGGGTTGTGGGTTTGATTCCTGGTCAAGGGCACGTACCTGGGTTGCAGGTTTGATCCCCGGCCCCGAATGGGGCTGTGCAGGAGGCAACCAGTCAATGTGTCTCTCTCACATGGATGTTTCTCTCTCTCTCTCTTTCTCCCTCCCTCCCTTACAATCTAAAAGACAAAAAACAAAAACAAATGTAAAGCAACAAGTACTTTACCTAGACAAGTTCCACTGCTCAGCCAGAACCGTACTCCCAATTTCTTTAATGTTTTGGCTGCGAGTTGCAACAATTCCTTTGCACTCTTCCGAAAAGCCACAGCTTCCACCGTGCTATCATCAAGGTGCTGCTACAGAGAGACTCAAGAGTCAGCTACTACAACCATTTCTAAACTGCTCGAAACATTTCTGTGACACCCAAATTAAATTTGAAAATTAGCCCCATATATTTTTTTATTATAAAACTAAAGTTTCAGAGTTCCCTGTTAGTCACACATTTATTTTATAAAATAAGTGTACAGGAGTAGATTCTAAGAGACAAGTTAAAGGGGAAGGAATACAACCAGGATGAGACTTTTACACCTTTATCAACTCCCTGCTCCACATTACAATGTAGAAGGCTGGGCAAGGAGGGGAAAAGGAGGCTAATTTTGAGAGCTACCAGCACATCTGAAGCAAAAAGCATTCTTAGGCCAGGTATCCAGATATTTCCATATTCTCTGCTTGTTTTCACTGGAACTCAACAGACTGAAGCTCATTATTTATTTATTTTTTTATAATTAACAAAATCAAGTTCAGAAAAATGTATAATATCTTAGTTCTAAACTTCCTGATAGATTGAGAAAATTATTAAAACTAAACAAAGTCAGGAGAGCACTTCCCCTTCCCCCTCAACCAGAACTATTCTAAACCAGAGCCATTCGGTGAGGCAGAGCAAGAAGTGCACAGTGATAGCCTGGCATACGTATGGGCACTTGAGCCAGTGAGCAGGATGTCCACCTGGAGGGGCTGCCCAGTGTGGGGAGTGAGAGCCCGAGCAGGGTGAGAAGTGTGTCTGCGTAAGGGCAGCCCAGTGGGAGACAGCAACACTCAAGCAGGGCGAGGATAGCATCCACACAGGAGAGGGGGCAACAGAAATGACAAACTCAACAAATAAGCAAATATATTAAGGATAATAGGAGTCAGGTTTCTCAAGAAGGGAGTCACAAGTATGGAAATGAACCCTATGCTGTATAATGGAAATAAACTGGGGATATCAATGTGAATGGATGAATATAGGTGTGTGTGTGTGTGTGTGTGTGTGTGTATACACACATACACACATGCACACTCTACTCCTGTCACTGGGAGGACCTGTGTGCAGCTAAACCCAAACAGCAATGAGCACAACTGGCATCCAGATGCTGGCTTCTAAAAGGAACCAGGACTCAGAGAAATGGCTGATTTCAAGGTTGTGGCTGGGAAATTTACAAGATGAACCTAGAACACCTTGTGTCAAAAAGCAAGAAAGGGCTCAAAAGATGATGGAGACATGTCAAAAACACACAGAAGCCATCACGCAGAGATTCCCAATGGTTAAATATGGAACAATTATAGGATCAGAAATAATAATAATATTAATTGAAAGAACAGAAAACCAATATCATACTGATATAAACAAATAAATTAATTGAAAGTTTGATGATGATATTGACAATATTTACATAGTTTTAAAATACCTTCATGCTAAATGCTATTAATTACAAGGTAAAAAAATAGAGATTTCACAGGGGTGAGGCCAGCAGACAGCACTTTAATCAAGTGATCACCGTGAATGGGATGAATCAAAGTTGTGCAGCCTGAGAAGATGTAACGAGACGACCATCGTCTGTGTTTTCCTAGTAAAGCTGTATAACCTGAATCTAACATGAGCAAAAACCAGACAAGCCCCAAATAAAGGACAGTTTACAAAATCCAAAAGTACCAAGGTCGTGAAAGTCAAAAAAGGATTATGAGACTGTCCCAGACAGAAGGAGACTAAAAGAGACAAGGAAATTAAATTCAACATGGGATGCTAAACTGAATCTTTTGTTATAAAGGTTATTATTAGAAATTAGAAAAACTCGAATGGGGATTAAATGGTAATAATCTATGTGTTAATTTCCTAATTTCTGTATTAAGACCTGTAGAGAAGATTCTTGCTTTTTAGGAAATATTAAATTATTTGAAGTTATGGGGTATATGGTCTACAACTTACTCCCAAACGGTTGAGGAAAAACATTATTTGTTTTGTTTTTGAAACTTTTATAAAAGTTTAAGAATGTTTCCAAATAAATTCTTATTTTTTAAAAAGCTTGGAGGCTGCTTTATGAGATTTTTAGATTAGTGCCCTGCTTGTTTTACACCAGGCATTGTATTTAAGGCAGTCTGGCGCCATCAAGTGCTCAAAGTTATGTATGTTCACTTTAATTTGAATACAAACCCTTCTGGGAATTTTAATTATGGTTCTAACATAACAAATGAGAAAAAAGGAAACATTTAAGAGGATAAAAAAAATTTTAAAGCTATCAATCCCGTAAAGCACTCTATATTAGTAATACCAATATATTAGCAGAAGAGAGAAAAAAACAAAAACAAAGTAGGAACCACAAGTCTGTCTTGCGGCAGTGAAGGACACTGATAACAAGGTGAAGAATGAATACAAAGTTCCACCTGATGCTGTTACAAATATAAATCTCTAGACAGCATTCCAGTCTTCCTATGTGATGGCTCTTTAAACATCAAAACTATGAAGCTATGATAAAGTGATCAGCCCTCTGAGCATCGGTTGTCCATACTCTTTATTCAAATGCTGATGGTTTACCCTCAAAATCCCAAAAGAATGAAAATGTGGAATTAAAAAATGACACTATCCTCATGATTTCTCAATAGTTTAAAACATTTTGCATTTTACACTACCTTCCCACAAAGACCAACAAATGAGTCTGGGCAAATGCTTGCTAGGTAATGAAGTAGCTCTAGTAAGTGTCTCTAAAAAAAAAATAATTTTTTTTGAATGAGCACATTATTCTCCATGCATTTTGCCATGATTATAGGATCTTTTCTTTGTGCCAGATACCATGCTAGACACTGGGGCTCCAGAGGTGAGTAAAATAAGGCCTGCCATCAAGTTCACATAATCTAGTAGGGGGACAAGACAGACATTCACAATTCACTGTGATAATTACTGTGCCACAGGTGACAACCAGAGCAAACTCCCATAAGGGAGAAAGAGAACAGTCAAGTGGAAGCATGAGACTGCATGTTACTTTGTCGTGAGGATATGATGGGCAGCACTTGCCTACTAGAGCAGGTCATCCACACATGTGGTTTTCCAGCATTTCATGCATGAGGCTGACTATGTGTCACAGCTCCACAACTACAGATTTAAGGGAACAGGGTTAGGAAGGCTCACTTGGCCCCTTAGGCCTAGGTCCTGGGGGTCAGCACAGTCTACCAGAAAAACCTTGCATTTGCTGGTGCTGGGCACTTGACCAGTGATGCTATACAGCTGGTACATTTTCCCATTCTGCTCCTGCCTTTGTGTACACAGCTTTCTTAGAAGGGAACCTCAGAAAATGAAGGGCAGGTGAAAGAATCCGAGTACCAAAACTTTACTGTAAATGTCACCGTTTTTCCATTATTTCTGTTTCATGTCATCTCTTAGAGCTGAACTTTCATGCCCTTCAAAATCATCTTTATATCCCCAGGGTCAGCAGTGTTCCTGGGAAACAGGCTTTCAATAAATGCTTATTGAGTTGAAAGCTAGGGCAGCAGAATAAGGCAAAGTTCAAAAGCACTTGGTCTTTGTGTAGCATTTATCTTCAAAAACCCTCATAAACAAAAAAAATTTCATATTCAGTGCCAACCCTCTGAGAAAAACTCTATTTTCCATGAAATGTTCTCTCAGACTTTCCCCGTGGTCCATCTTCTGCAGGGCTTCCTCCTAGCGGCAGAGCTTCGAGATCAGAACAGCCGTGAAGTGTGTGGGCTGTCCTAACTGGAAGCCCAGGCCAGTGCTACCCAGCAAGGTCTACCCAAGTGAAACAAGGTCTCATACACATCAAGTCGTTTGTTAAGGTTAGTGTTTAATCTACTTTTTAAAAAAAATTAAAAGAAAACAATCTAGAAGAAAATAGATGAATAAAAAAAAGGTTTTCTACCTGTTTTCCATAAGTTTCTTCATTCCCACCCATCCCTAGAAGTATTAAAAACAAACACACTTCCTTTAGTTTAAAAAGTATACCATTTGGTTATCTCTCACCTGAAAGAATGCTCGAGCTTCTTTATACCTACACTCAATAAACCTAGAGTGTGGTATTTCTTCTAGAAAGTGCATTGGATCTTTTGGAATGACAACTTCTAGTCCATCAACAGTAATCTGTTGTAATTCTGGCCTGAAAACAAAAGTTAGGATTTATTATAAGGACTTAACCCAGAGTGAGTACTGGCAACCTCTTCAAAACATACGACATAAGCAAAATAGCTGAATGTCACGCATATTTTCTTCAGTTACCTCAGATTTTTAAGATCTACTCTCTTGGCAACTTTCAAATATACAATACAGCAAGGTTATCTGTAGTCACTTTGCTGTATATTACATCCCAGAACTTATTCCTCTCACAACTGGAAGTCTGTACCTTTTCACCACTTTCCCTATCTAAGTATACATCCACAAACACACTTTACCGTGCTGTAACTTTTCACAAATACAATCGTGAGACTGCATTCTTTTGTGCCTTGCTTCTGCCACCAAGCTTGGCCGCACGCATCTGCAATGCTGTTGCACAGAGCACTAGCGCTTCCTTTCTCCACTCTACAGCGCCACCCACTGCATGAATACACAATGTTTTGTTTGGGGGCATTAAGAACAATGTTGTGCCCTGGCCGGTTTGGCTCAGCGGTTAGAGCATCCACCTGCGGTCTGGAGAGACCAGGGTTCGGTTCCCGCTAAGGGCATGTACCTCGGTTGCAGTTTGTCCCCGGCCCTAATTGGTGGTGCGGGTGGCAGCCACTCGATGTGTCCCTTTCACATCGATGTTTCCCTCTCTCTGTCTTCCTCTCTCTCCCTCCCACTCTGTCTGTACAAAAAATGAAAAAATGTCCTCGGATGAGGATTAAAAAAAAAAAAAGAACAATGTTGCTATGAACATTCTTTTTTTTTTTTTCTTTATTGAGTTTAGAGAGGAAGGGAGAGGTAGAGAGAGACATCGATAAGAGAGAACATCAATTGACCGCCTCCTGCATGCACCCCCATTAGGGATTTGGCCCACGTGCCTTGACCGGGAATCAAACTGGTGACCTCTTGGTTCATGGGTCGACGTTAAACCACTGAACCACACTGGCCAGGTGAATATTCTTATATATATTTCTTGGTGCATTTGTGCATGAATTTCTTCCTGTTGAATATTTACATTTCAAAACTGAGTTACATGAACTGCATATTAGATTTAGTTACTAAATGTAAAAAAAAAAAAATAGTAAGAATTCATGACTGGACAATATAGGTTTCACATTTTCCCTTTAGACCCTGAATTTACCTGTCAAAAGCTCCCGGATAACGACCAAACTGTAACTTTCGAAAAGGAACAAAGTTCTTGTCAATGTGCCCTTTGAGTCGTAGGTGGCCATGCCAGAGGTAGTTCCCACTCCTCTCGTGAAAGACCACCAAGTGGATGGCATGTGTGGCCAGTCTGCAGATGTAGTGCAGGGGGATTTCAGTTCCAGAAAGCGAGTCTATTCCATCTAGCCGGGGGTCTTTGCTCTCAATCTTTAGGCACTGAAATCCCATATTTTCAGCTATCCGAAACCAGCCTTCCTAAAACCAATGCAACATCAAGCATGAATATTTAAAACCAAATACTAGTAGCAAAACCAAATGATTCTTATGCTGAATTAAGCCATACATATCTTTGTGCTAATCTGTTTTTTGTCTGAAGATTTGGAAATAAGGGTGGTAAGGGGAAGGAGGTGGTGGAAGAAAAAAGAAAAGTACCAAAGAAAAAAGACATGTTCAAAGACTCTTTATGAAAATAGATACAAAAATTTCCCTCTGGAATGAGAATGCTCATTTTAGCTTTCTCTGAATAGTATCTATAAAATAATGTTAATATACATAAGGATAGCACTTCAACTTGCAATTCTCAATATAACTTCTAATAACCTTTATCTTTAAATGTGCTTTAATAAAGTAGTGCTTTCATCCTATATTTTACATCCCAACACCTTAAACTGCTACTATAATAGAAGCCTAGCATAATGCAAAGCAGTAGAAAATAGACTGAGACATACTATAAAACAAAGTGCATTTTCCAACACCATTAGTTATAACATACATCTCATATAACAAGATTAATATAGATGGTAGATTTTGAGTCCTAATCTCAACAACCAGTGCTATAGATGATTAAACAGTATTAATGATGAAGAATACCTTACATTTGAATAGGAATTTTTAATAGTCAAAGAACTTTTATAAACATTATTGCATTTACTTATGACATCTATCTTATAAAGTAAGCAGCACAGGTACTATAAAGAAACAGACTCACAGAGGTCTAGAGAAACAAAATTAATAATACCAGTATTTATGCATTGTCCAACCAAATCCAAGGCTTGTTCCACTCTGTAACACCACCTCGCTAGTCTATATTTATATAATGTGTACAAAGCTCATTCACATTCATGATCTCATCTGAGGCCCACAAAACTCTGGAAGTCAGCAAGGAAGACATTTTACCTCCTCTACAGTTAGGGAAAAACAGCTCTAAGTGGTAATACCAGACGTTAGAGTTATTAAATCATGGAGCTGTGCCTGGAAGTTGGTCTCAAAACCACAGCATTCATAAGTACTTTTCAAGAGTACTTTACTCAACATCTCTTATCACCTCTGAATGTTGTCATTTGGATGAGATGTATCCTCATCTATGCTCTCGTAACACATACAAACCCCTATCATAGTATTTTTTTTATTAATTAATTTTTGTTACAGATGTTTCTCCTTTTTCCTCCACTGATTCCCCCCTCCCCCTCCCTCCCTGCCCTGTTCCCAGCTTTGTTGTCCATGTCCATTGTTCATGCATACATGCATATAAGTTCTGTGGTTTATCTCTCCCCCACCACCCCCTCTTCTGGGGATTGTCAGTCTGTACCCCACTTCCACGTCTCTGGGACTACCCCATTCCTCAGACTGTTATGTTCATTATATTCCACAAATAAGTGAGATCATATGATACTTGTCTTTCTCTGTTTGGCTTGTTTCACTTAGGATGATACTTTCGAGGTCCCTCCATGTAGTCTCAAAGGATAAGAGATCTTTCTTGCTTACAGCTGCATAATACTCCATTGTGTATATATACCACGGCTTTTTTTATCCATTCGTCTACTGATGGACACTTGGGCTGTTTCCAGATCTTAGCTATTGTAAATAGTGCTGCTACAAACATGGGGGTATATATATTCTTTCTGATTGGTGTTTCAGGCTTCTTAGGGTATATTCCTAGAAGTTAGGGTATATTCCTAGAAGAATTGACTGTAGTTTTTAAAACTGTTTAATAAACTCCATTAACAGACCAAGTTCCTCAATCATAGGAATCAACAGAGTGGCTAGTATCCAGCAGGTGCTCAATAAGTATTTGTTATTGTTTATGTTGTTAAATGAGAGAAAGTGATAATTCTAGTAGAATGCTAACTAGTACCGTAACAACTGTCTTCTTTCTAGATATAGAGCTAAACTGTGTTCTGGTCAAAGGAATGTGGAGAGAAGTATCATACCCCACTTCCAGGCCTGCTTTACAATAAATATCCCATAAGATCTTCCATGCTTTCCCTTCCCAACTGCAGGGAGGAAAGCAAAGAACTCCAAGGTGGAAAAGCCACGTGAAAAGAAACAGCCTGTATCCCTCTTAGAGGACAGTTGTCCAGGAATTTCCCTGACCCAGAATATCTACACTGGACTTAGTATAAAGACAAATATTCCTTTCTGTGCTAAGTCCATCAGAGTTTAGAGTTGTTTTTAACAGCAACTAATTAACTTACTCTCACAAATACAACTTCACCCTGATTTTCCTTATATTAGAATTATCAACTGTAGCATCCCTCTTTTTGCTTTTCTTCCTTGGTATACCTAAAGGCTACAGAGTATTGAATGAGGATGAGAGGGGCCAGTTTAGAGAAGGATCTACCATACAGAGTAAAAGAAAGGCACTGTAATATGGGAAATTCAGGAAATATTTAAGAAGCCAGCCCGACCTTGAAGTGTAATCAGACCTGGGGTTGTGGGAGGAGAGAAGGACTGATGGACAAAATAGCAGAATCATGAAATGTCTGCCTTCTTGTAATCACGGGAGAGAAAAGTCAAGCACAAGGGAGCTTCTCTGATCAGAGTAAAGGCCTAGGTCAAGGCTGTACTGCACACATCCACCCCCAGCAGCCTTTGCAGCAGTTTGCACACTTTATGGCAATTGTATCAATAAAGGAAAATCACAATGCAAATTAAGTCTATAGTAATTAGCACTTGTGATCTAATTAACTCCACCTGTGGTGAAGGTTTAGGGAGGACTATCCAAGGGCTCTGTATGATATCATATGTATAAAAGGATAAATGCACACCTGTGTGCTTTCTCTGTGTCTTGCTGGATCTTTTGCTTCTTTCAATGACTGATCATAATCAATTTTGCCAACTGTAACATATTTCCTTTCTTCTAAAGTACTGGCTTTCAGCCCTGGCCAGTTTGGCTCAGCAGTTAGAGCATAGGCCCACGGACCAAAAAGTCTCAGGTTCGATTCTGGTCAAGGGCACATACTTCAGTTGTGGTTTGGTCCCAGGCCCTGGTCGGGGTCGTGCAGGAGGCAACCGATCGATGTTTCTCTCTCTCTCCCTCCCACTCTGTCTGAAAATAAATGGAAAAACGTCCTTGGGTGAAGATTTAAAATAAATAAAAAAAATAAAAATAAAGTACTGGCTTTCAAGGCAAGTGGCACTGTTATCTAACAGACATTTAAAAATCCTGTGGGGATGTTTCTACTTATCGTAATGACTGAGCAGGACAAACCTGGCACTTACAGGCCCAGGCCGGCAGCACTAGACACCCCACCATGAATATATGAAAATCTATCCTGTGTCCTACATGATTTCAAGTGTTCTAACTGATAATCATGTAGAGAAAAACTTATTCATTAATTATCTGAGCCTCCTTTCCCCAGGAATACTCCTGCCATGTTAAAGGAGAAACTATTTTACTTTTTTTGTTGTTGAAGTGTATTCATCATTTTGGAAAACCACATTAGTAACAACAACATCATTCAATAATATTTGCCATTTTTTGTACAGATAGAGTGGGAGGGAGAGAGAGGAAGGGAGAGAGAGAGAGAAACATCGACGTGAAGGGACACATCGAGTGGCTGCCACCCGCACGACCAACCAGGGCCAGGGACAAACTGCAACCGAAGTATGTGCCCTTAGCGGGAACCAAACCCGGGACTCTCCAGACAACAGGCCAACGCTCTAACCGCTCAGCCAAACTGGCCAGGGCATCATTCAATAATATTTGAAGCTATCACATTTGGTGGTCCTACTGATAAGTGCAAGCATCTGCATTACTTCTTTATGTTTCCCAGTATAGTCATGCCTGAGCATTTACACATATCTCATTCTTAAAGACAAATCCAACAAACATTGTAGAAATCCCGTATCCTGAAAAACAAATAATAATACCAAAAAACAAACATCCAGAAAGAAGGGATTTGTAAAACCAAAATTCAGCAGGAAGCAAAAAACTTAAAAATATGCAGAGTGAAAGACTAAACTGCACCCATAAAACAAGAATGCTATTACGAGAAACAGAGTACACAGAGCTCTTAAAGAATAAAAATATAAAAATTTCAAGCAAAAAATTGAAAAAAACCAATGATATTGTTAACGATTTTGTTTAAAAGTAGAATAATTACATATGTTCTTTCTGATTGGTGTTTTAGGCTTCTTAGGATATATTCCTAGAAGTGGGATCACTCATAGCAACACTATTCACAATAGCTAAGATCTGGAAACAGTCCAAGTGTCCATCGGTAGATGAGTGGATAAAAAAGCTGCGGTACATTTATACCATTGGACACTAAGCAACTGTAAGAAAGAAAGATCTCTTACCCTTTCTGAGACAGCATGGAGGGACCTGGAGAGTATTATGCTGAGGAAAATAAACCAGTCAAAGAAAGATAAGTATCTATGATCTTACTTATATGTGGAATCTAATGAACAAAATAAACTGATGAACAAAATAGATCCAGAAACATGAAGTAGGGAACAGACTGACAAATCTCAGAGGGAAGGGGGTAAGGAAGCGGGAGGAGATAAACCAAAGAATTTACATGCATAACCAATGGACACAGACAACAGTGTGGTGAAGGCAGGGGTGGGGGTAGCAAGGAGGAAGATGTCAATGGGGGGAAAAAGAAGGGACACTTGAAATATTTTCAACACTAAAGATAAATAAATAAGTGAAAACAGAACAGTTAGAAAATGAGATGAAAAACCATAGAGCAAAGATAAGATAATGAGAGGATCAATTCTGGAAGTCCACCATCCAAGTAATACAAAGTTTAGAAAGATTCAACATTACCCTCAGGGTCCTACCTAAATCAATAAGAAGAGTAATTAGCTGTAAGAGTTGGAAAGGAACGGACCAAACTGCTTTTGTGCGTGGAAAATACAAGAATCTGTATTTAAAGAGAGAAAGAAAAAGAGGAAGGGAGGAAAAGAGAATGGGGGGAGAGAGAATCTACTGGAATTTATCTATAGAGTTCAGAGGCCAGTCCAGTTGCTGGGGAAAAGATCAAAATACAAAGTCAACAGCATTCTTGATATAGGTCAGTGAGCCAGGAAAGTGGAATAGGGAAACTGAGTCAGAGAGCTGAACAAACTGGCAGAGTGATTTACAGCAGATACAGGTCACCTCCCTAGGGATAGCATCTAGGCCTCTGCTGTATTTCAGTGTTGCAGAACAGCAGCAAAACCAGGTGGGTGACACCAGGACCAGCCGCAATAACTAACAAACCCCTGCCCTGACACTGACCAATCAGTGGAGACCATGATCCTGAAGGAGCACACCTAGAAAACGGATGAATATTCTGCTGAAACCCTCCTCTAAGATTTCTGCCTGCAAAATAGAAATAAAAGCGTCACGACAAAGGACCTGGTACTTGCCCTCCACCTGGGGAGCAGGCCTTGCCATTCCCTTCCCTCTCTTCTTCCCCCGTGCACATGCAGCTTCTAAACTCTAAGGGACCCCAGGAGACTTGCAACCAGGGAAGCAACGGGCAGCAGCAGCTCGTTCCAGGCAAACCCTCAAACCTGTTCCCAAGGCCCCCTTTTCTCTGACTTCTCAGAGAGCTAAGGCAGCCCAACCGGGGCTCTCCTGTTGCTTCTTCTATGCTAAGCCCTTCTTTGTTTCACTGTCCCCAGCTTTGACAAATGTTCCCTCATAGTCACCTGGACTCATGTTGTGAAATTTTTTCTGCACAAAGTCAAGAACCCACAAAATACCAGCTGGCCCTAGGCAGGCCAGCCACAGGCCAGGTCCCTTTCTGGTAGCATTCTCGTCCACCTATATTAATGAATTGTAAAAGAAGAGAAGAATATCTATATTAACAACCCCCAAAATGTAAGGTAGCTATAAATAATTCTTATAAAAGATGTGCAAAATCTGTAAGAAAAATAAGAATATTCTATTAAAGAACACCATAGGACACCTGAAATTAAAGGACACATATTTCATGTTAAGAAATATTAACACTTTAACAATGTCAAGAGACCCTGCCTGCTATTGTTTTCTCAGACTAGCCTGGATGATGAAAGACACAAGGCCCAGGCACCTATACTGCCATCCTGACAGCCAGCCACCCCAAGGAAGGAGAGCTGACTAGCTGACTGGCAGCTGGGTGAGTGAGCCGTAGCTGAGACCAGAACTGCCCAGCTGAATCCCACCTAAATTACTAAGTCACAGATTCATGAGCTACATAAATAGATGTTTATGCCACTAAATTTTGGGGTGATTTGTTTTACAACAGAAGCTAATTGCTATATAAGTTTAATTAGAAATCAAATGTGCAAGTAAAAAGAAACATTTTTTTTAAGGAGGGAGAAAGAGAGAGAGAAACATCCATGTGAAAGAGACACACTGACTGGTTGAGTCTGGCAGGACCTCGACCAGGGCCGGGGACAAACCACAACCGATGTAAGAGCCTTTGACTAGAATTGAGCTCATGACTCAAGTCATGAGCGGGCCGACGCTCTAACTGCTGAGCCAAACCAGCCAAGACAAAAAGAAACATTTTTGACATGCAAGGTTTTAACCTCTCATTCACCCTTTCTAGAGGGGAATTCTTAACATGCGAGGGGGAGTTACAGAACTCTATCTGCACAGATCAGTCTGTACTAGGGCAGAAAGACAGGGAGCTCCAGGAGGTGAGTTGCCAAGAAAAAAAAATAGAACTGAGAGATGACATGATACGACAGATCCTATTGAGAGTATTTAGAGTTTCATATTTCTGTTACATAGTTCACACATGGATTATCGATAGATATGGGGGGGCAAAGGTATGTTTATAGTTGTGGGTACATGAGAGTTTATTCTTGTTCTTTTATTTACTTATTAATTATTGTATTTTTTATTATATAACAACTTTAAACCTATTTTTGCCCACCCCTGTATATAAAAAACTAGCAAACAACAAAGAAGAAAAAAGTTGCAGGCTCCACTGCAGAACTAGTACACATGCGGTATCGTGCATGGCTGACTACACTAGTTGAGTTCATTTAATCTGACGCTAATTTTTCATCTTCTTACTTGAATAACTCTTCAGAATAAAAAACAATAAAGTTGGGAAGTTAGAGGTATTCAAAATAAAGAAGTAAGCAAAGTTATGGTGTGTGTTTTTTTTACTGTGTGACTTTAAATGTACATTTGAATTTCTGGGGACACCTAAGAAGCACCCTGCTTGAGTATCAAACAAGTACTGTGCACTTACAAAGTGGAAGAAATGGTGCTATAGATTAGGGTACTATCTTCACACACACCTTATGTGGCAGGTACTGAAAATTGACCCCCAGATCTCTCCTACCTGCCTGCCTGTACTGATGGAAAGGCTAAATACCTGTCTTTCTAGCCTCTTTCACAATAAGGTACATATGAATATAGTTCTGGGCTGTGAGCTATAAGCAGTTTACCAGAAGCTTCTGAGAAAATTTTTATTTCAAAAGATGGATAGTATCACTGTCCCTTCCTGTCATCTTCCTGCCTGGAACATGAATACGGTGCCTGAGAGCAGGACAGCTATCCTGTGAAGGTTACAGCAATGAGAAGAAACTTCAGTGATGCAAGGACTGATGTCAGTGGGCAGCTGAATTAACACCAACAGCCACCAATCCTTTAATCACTTGTTAAAAAATTTTTTTCCTTTTATTGACTTTTAGAGAGAGAGGGGAAGGGAGAGGGAGAAACAGAAACACAGATGAGAGAGAACATCAATCGGTGCCTCCTGCACGACCTCCCCCTCCAGGGATTTGGTCCACCACCTGGGCATGTGCCCTGACCTGGAATCAAACTGGCGACCTCATGGGTCGACATTCAACCACTGAGCCACACTGGCTGGGCTAACCTCGTTACACAAGAAAAATAAATTCCCTATTTGCTTAAGCTATTCAAAAAAAAATTTTTTAATGACAGTTGACATTCAATATTATATTAGTTTTAGGTGGCCAGATAGTGGTTAGACATTTATATAACTTATGAAGTGATCCCCCAATAAGTCTATACCCTACTGACATCACACATAGTTATTAAAATATTATCGACCATATTATTCCCTATGCTGTACTTTACATGCTTAGGCTATTATTGTGTTATTTACAGCTGGAAATATTCCTGATATAATTCATAAAAAGCTTTTAGAAAAATTTTAAATGTTTTATATTTTAAATGGCATTATCTCATATTATTTTGCAAAGAAATCCCATCACCTGAAAGCAAACCATCTTACCTCATTCTTCCATAGGTGATACTGCAGTGCAAATGCTGTAAAGTCTCTTGGAACACAGAAAAAGTTGCATTCTGAAGTGGGGCCATGAGAAGTATTTTTGATTTGTTCGAAGTTTTTATTAATCAATTCCAGAATCAAAGGATCAATAAGAAACACAGGTACATTTTGGCTTGATGTTAGCATAATAAATTTTTTAACTGCACGCTGTTTGAGAGGAAAAAAGTCTCCTTAATTTGACTAAACCAATACAATAATCTACCTTACTAAATTTTATTCTTTGATTTTATAAGTATATATAAACTGCTACTCAATAAAGACCATCCTTATTCTTATGGTAAAATAATAGTAATAATACACTGGTCCTTACTCTCAAGAAGTACACAGTCAAGTGAGGAAGATGAATAGATATTTATATATCAAAGTAAAATATATGCAACATATTATAAAGTACAGAACAGTAAGCTACTAATTAATTGTACAACAAAAGGATAAGGAAATCTTTGTAGAGAAAGTGGTATTAGAAATGAAACTTCAAACTTCCAAATTATTTTCTTGGCATTAGCTTAATCTTTTCAAGCAAAAGTAGAAGATGAAATACCAGATCTGTTATCTTTCACGAATCAGTCATGTCAACCTTTTCAAAACCAAAAATCAATTGTATGTGCCACTTGCCTTCATATTTGATATCCTGCTTAACAATCTTTCTAAGCAAAAGATCCCAATTAAAATACATTGCCAGCTTGATCATTCCCATATACAGTTCGACTTTCTAATAATACTGCAATATGTTTAGACATTATTGTGCTAGGCAGTAAGTAGAGTCCTCTACTGAAAAAAATAAAATTTTAAATTAGAATAGAAACAGACTAAACCACACTTAGGAGTAAATAATACCTAAGGAGAGCAAAAACAAATAGAATAAAGAGTGTATATTATTGCTTAAAAGTCGACTTCAATGAAAGCAATTATGATCTCAAAGAAATGTACCTCCTTCAAAAAAGAAAGAAAAGTATGGACCACGAGCCTTCATGAACACAGATGTAAAAACACTTAACAAGACACTGAAAATCAATTCCAGCACTTACAAAAAAAATCAGAAAAAATATATATGTCATGACCAAGTAGAATTTATCACAGGAGAAATAGACAGCATTTAAAACCAATTAATGAAATTCATCATATTAACAGAATAAAGGGGGGAAAGTCTATATCAATTTCAATATAGAAAAATTATTTGACAAAATTCAATACCAACTAACAATTAAGAACTTTCAGCAAGCTAGGAATAAAATACTTCCTCAATTTGATAAAAAGTATGAACAGCCCGGCTGGTGTGGCTCAGTGGTTGAGCATGGACCCAGGTACCAAGAGGTCACTGGTTCGATTCCCGGTCAGGGCACATGCCCAGGTTGTGGGCCCAATCCCCAGTGGGGGGCATGCTGGAGGCAGCCAATAGATGTTACTATCTCTCTCTCTCCCTTTCCCTTCCTCTCTCTCTAAAACCAATAAAGAAAAAGCAAATTTAAAAAAAAAGTATGAACAAAAAATCTATTATTGAATTGTGGAAGTTATTTATCACTTATACTAGTTTTTTTTTTTTTTTTTTTATCAAATATGTTTTGCAAATATTTTCTAGTCTGTGGCACATTTATTCACTTTCTTAATGCTTTCTTTTGATGAAAAATTTTAAATTTTGATAGTCTAATCAAGTTTTTTCCTTTTTGGTTCTTCCCTTCTGTGCTTTACACTAGGAGAATAGAGGAGAAAGAAATGGTTTTGAAAGAAAGATGTTGAGATGACAGACACTAGTACATATAAAGGGCTTAATAAATGTTTGATGAATGAATCTCTTTTAGCTTGGTGTTAAATACAAACATGATGAACACATATGTGGCTTCATTACGATTTTTAATACAGAGAGTAGGGCAGAGTCAAAGAGAGATTCTATAACTCACCTTCTAAATATGCCTTCAGGTTGTTATCAATACATTCACCAATGCTCGATGGAAACAGATGTCCAATTGAATCTAAATCCAATTAATTCTAAATCAACATGGCTATTCTCATCTGGCCTTCAGTAGTTCATTTTGTTTACAAGAAAGAAAAATGTCTTGTTGAAAATAGGACACCAGAACAAGCCTGTCCATCTGCCAGTGTACACAATTTTATCAGAACCGAAAAGGGCTTGCTGGGACTTTTTATTGAAAGGCTAGTTCCTAATCATCATAATTTTCTTTTCCAAGTGCTGTCAAATTATCTATTTAATAATTCATTCTAGAATTTTATCAGGGCTCAATATCACACTTATTGATCAGATTTCGCCTTTCATTCCTTCTAAAATATTACAACAAAAGTATTTCAATACTTCTTTTTTCCCTGTCATTTTGCAACTAATAGAGTGATTTTTTCTTTTTAGTACTGTGAGCTGCTCTCCACTTTTCTGCTCATGTACCTTGGAAGTAAACCCTTTTTTTAAAATCCATTATTTTCTTCCACCTCAAGGATCATCCCCTGAATAAAAAGACAGGGCTGCCCTACTTTTTCTCAGTTATGTTAAGCTTTAAATGACCTACAAATTCCATTTAAAAATATCTCAATGAATCTGTACCCCTGCTGACTGCTTTATATACTAAAGGCTTTGGAAATGTTATTGGTTAATCCAGATGAAATAAAGTCTTCTATTCACTGAAGCTATTATAGCTTTAAAACTTTTTCTGAACATGCTCTTTCAGTTTACATATGAGGACTCTTAATACATGACAAACCTGGAAAGTATATATTACCTTAAGTATCATATTTTAGAATGTTAAAATTTATGACAGAGAACCTTCATTGTCTTCAGATGGGTATATTTCTCAGCTGTTAAATACCAAATGTCAAATTTCAACAAATTATTTCACTCACAGGACAATAAATCTGGTCCAAGTATGTTATGTGTGTTTTTCTTATGGGTGGGATGGGGGTAGAGTAGGGCTAGACAGAGTGCACCAAATGTCCCTGTTTATTTCATCAGCTAGAGTCTTTATAATTGTGACTGGGGAGTATGAATTCCAAGTGTATTATACTTCCCTTACCCCTCAGACTATCCTAAGTGCACAGAGCAAAGCATCTGCTATTTTTAAAATAAATTAAAAGTTCACACTGGCCCAGCCAGTGTGGCTCAGTGGATTAAGTGTCATCCCATGGACTGAGGGGGTAGGTCCTGGTTCAATTCATGGTCAGGGCACATGCCTGGGTTTCCGGCTTGATCCCCAGCAGGGGGCGTGCAGGAGGCAGCCCAGCAATGTTTCTCTCTCACATTGATGTTTTTCTCTCTCTCTAAAAAAATCAATAAAAAATATATATTTTTTAAAAAGTTCACATTGAAATATTTATCTCTGGTGTCAGGTGGGCACTACACTTATTGGGGGATCACTTCGTACATTATATTAATGTCTAACCACTGTGCTGTACACAGGAAACTAAAGTTAATATTAAATATCAACTATAATTGAAATATATTTTTTAAATGTTTTAAAGTTCACATTGATACTTCTAGACTTGATAGTTAAGACACCTAATAATAAAATATTCTAGATTTTACCCTCAAAACAGTGGTTCAAATCCAATTGGTGTCATCAATGACCTAAAATTTTCAGTAGTACTTTATTCCTGCTGGTGATTTGAAAGCCCACTTCTAATCTACAGCTTTTCATGTCTCTGGTTAAACAGATGCCAGAGATTGAAAAGTATCTGGTCATATCCAAAATATATACTAACAGGATAAATGTAATTTTGTATTAGTAACCTAGCATTGTTTTTCACTCTAAGTTTAGCAAAAAAAAAAGGTTAGGAAACAATGTTTTATAAACATGCAGGCTCTAAAATTCATAAACCAAAACAGGGATATATTGTAATATTGCTGGTTTCTCTTATAGAGAAAACATGTTGAATATGTTTTTATTTGGAATCATTATTTTATAGTTCAATTCTTTTTTTTTAATCCTTACCTGAGGATATTTTTCTATATATCTTCACATAGAGTGGGAGGGAGGAAGAAAGAGAGAAACATCGACATGAGAGGTACACATTGACTGGTTGCCTCCCGCATGACCGCAACCAGGGCCGGGGACGAACCGCAACCAAAGTTCAGAACCAGGGCAGAATCAAACCCGTGACTCATTGGTCTGAAGATCAACACTCTAACCACTGAGCCAAACCGGCCAGGGCTATAGTTCAATTCTTTTTTTTTTTTTTTCCTTTATTGATTTTAGAGAGAGAGGAAGAGAGAGGGAGAGAGAGATGGAAACATTGATGAGAGAGAACATCGATTGGCTGCCTCCTACATGGCCCCTACTGGGTATCAGACCCACAACCCGGGCATCTGCCCTGACCAGAAATCGAACTGTCAACCTCTTAGTGCATGGGTTGATGCTCAACCAGTGAGCCACACTAGCCGGGCTATAGTTCAATTCTTAATAACATATTTATTCATTTTAGGAAGCACTATACTTCAGTGAATGAAGGTTTTGGAGGCAAACAGAATCTGGACTCAGTTACTTACTAGCAAACTAACCTGAATCTAAGTGAACTAAGTATGACAATGTACTGAGTTGTTAGAGTTTCCATGAGGACTACATGAGATACTGCATAAAAAGCACATGGCATAGGGCCTGCTGCTTCCCCTTGACCACCTATCCCAACACCTCACCAAGGCAGCTATTATCATTGTCATCATTTAACAAACACATATTCAGTAATATAAACAAATAAACTAAAATGAACATTGTAGTTGAGGAATTTCTTGCTTATTATACATACCCACTGTATGCTATCAAATCCAATTCGGCTTCCTTTAGATTTTGATAAACCAACTCCATTCTAGGAAGATAACAAAAGAACATTTTGGAAATCCAATGTCCCATAACCAGCATGCGACATTACATTTAGGGGAGGCATGAGATTCAAATTACATAACTGGCTCATAATCATTAATCAGCATTCAACAAGTACTATTTTCATAGTCAAGAGCTAAGAATTCTACAATTACACAACTATCCAAAATAGGAAACAATGACAGATTGAAGTATGCTAATTAAGTTATTAAACAATAAAGTATATAGAGCCACATCTCAAAACGAATTAACTTCCACCAAAAAATAGTAAACTCTTTACTATTTCAAATCTCTTTGGAATTAGGATTTATCCATTTAGCTCAGTGGTTTTCAACCTTCCTAATGCCGCAACCCTTTAATACAGTTCCTCATATTGTGGTGACCACCAACCATAAAATTATTTTCATTGCTACTTCATGACTGTAATTTTGCTACTGTTATGTCTTAGGCGACCCCTGTAAAAGGGTCGTTCAACCCCCAAAGGGGTCGCGACCCACAGGTTGAGAACCGTTGCTAACTGGTCTCTGTGTTTTGGCTCCTGCTCCTTTTTGAAATAAAGTCAGATCGTGTCAAATACCAGCTCAAAACCTTCCTATAGTTACCAGTCTTACTCAGAATAAAAGCCAGTCCTTACAAGGTCTTACAAGGTCCTAAACAACATGGAACTCTCTAACCTTACCTGCTATTCTTCTCCCTCTCACTTATCTACAGCCACGTTGATCTCTTTGATGTTCTCAAAACCACCAGGCATGTTCCTGCCTCGGGACCCTGGAACCTCCTTTGGTTTCTACCTGGTATGCACCTCTTCCAGATATCCACATAGCTCATTGAATAGACTGTTTCCTCTTTTCATGATGGCCTGCCCATCCTTCATTACCTGGAGAACTCCTACTCGTTCTATAAGACCAACTAAAAATATTATTTCATCCATGAAATAGTCAAACATAATCCTCTCAAGTAGGTTCTCCAGTAGTTCTTTATTCCCTGCAAAATTTGCACTTACCCCAGGCTTGAAGGGTCAAAGATTGGGACATAGAAGGATCTAGTTTTACAGGACCTGAAGGTTATACAATTATGGAGGTCCTTTTTAAGGAAAAGAATGCAAACTTTACAAAGACATATGACTTTGTAAACATAGTCCTAAGGGCTTGAAAGTGAGGGTCCCTGTTGTTTCAATTTCATTATCTTAATAGTTAAGCCATCTCTGGGGAGAATATTTACTGGTACCCAGACTACACCGGGGACTGTACAGGAGGAATACAGTCACTATCAACCAATGACCCTATAAATAGAGAACCAAGAGAATAAACAATCTGCTCTCTCATTCCTCCTGGTCACCAATCTCCAACTGATGCTTCCCATTGGCTGAACCCAAATGGAAAACAAAGGGCTAGGGAGCTCAGCTAATGCAGTCCATAGAGGTCAGTCTCCAGAGGCGTAAAGTATGGTGAAGAGAGGATCTGGAGAGGCAAACAGACTATACCATACTAAGCAGTTTGGATATGATTCCATAGGTGCGGTATGTACTTAAGAAAAAAATAATTCCGATAGCTGTACAAAGGAGGATTACAAAGGCTAGAGACTGAAGGACAGAAGAGTTCTTAAGCTTTAAGTAGTAAAATAGGCAGAACAGGGTTTCATGATGTGACATGCGCTTTGAAGGAGAATAACATACCACATTGCTATCATCTTTTTTATGTCCCCTTATGTTTCTTAACCCCCTTCCTCTTCAACCCCAAACTTCCCCAATTTATGTGTTTCTAGACAGCAAGGATTGCACTTGATTCATCATTTTGTCTCACAGTACTGTGCTTAGCACACAATAAGCCCTCAAGAAATACTTGACAAAAATGACTGAATGTTCTAAAGGAGTTGCCATATAGTTCAACTCAAGAGGTTAGAAAAAAGCCTAAAGATATCCTGAAACATTGCCTATGGGATATTTGGAGTGAAAATTTAAGTGAAATGAATAAATAAGAGATGGAATCAGATGCAAAAAGAACTAGCAGAACAAGTCTTGTGTCTACTGAACTCCACTGGTAAATGAGTCCAATTAAGATATGCCACTGGAAAAAAAGCATTTGGAAAACAGGTGAAGATTGTGTTCAGGGTTAAATCAAGCATGAAAAGCATCTATCACAGTGTTCAATAACAGTAGTTGTTATTATAATTAACCCCAGTGGTTACAATGTTTGGCACCTTTTACAATTCAGCAATACCTTCTCAACTTTGGAATTTCTTATAGGAACTACAGAAGTATATTCTGTATAATCTTCAGAAGCTATTAATTTCCAATCCACTGTCTCTACATCTTTATGCCTACAGATGTCTAACAAAAGTAAATTATACCATGATACTTCCCTGGTAGGTACTGAATTAAAATACATATTGTACTAAAATGAACTAATTTTGATGTTCTAGCAAAATTATTTATCATTGAATTCTTTCCAATGAGAGATGATCTGTTGAGAAGAATAAGAATTTTTACATAAGTACATCAGAAAATTCCCATAAGATTAAACATCACTGAAGCCTTTGACTGTGTGTTGTTATAATAACATTTAATTGCCATTATGAATTGCTTATTGTACCCACAAAGATGAAAACTGAAGTAAGCAATATTTCTGCAAAGATTTGAAAAACTGTGATTAATTTTTGTGCTGCAAAAGGAAGAATGTTAGGAAAATATACAGTTAAAATGAAGCCTAGTGACAAGCAAGGAGAAAACAATTACCTTTGCTGATAAATAGTGCTTATAGTAGTATAACTGGAACAGCAGAAATGCAGAACTTGTCAAAGTTAAAAGCGCCAAAATCACGTTCTTATTGATTCTACTCATTAGTCTGCGGTGCTCACTTGGTTGTCTTTTGAAAGTAACCCAGTTGGTTTCATCTTTTTGGATAAGAAGATAATCTTGTTTTCCGTGAACAACAACAAACAAAATTTCTAAGGAAACAAAAACCTGTTTTTAATTGTTCACCTCTAATAACCAGCAACAGAAGAAAAAGTTATCTAAAGCTCTATAGAACATTCTTTGATTTGGTAATTTCCTATCCTGAAGAAATGATCAGTTCTGAGACCAAACATAAAAGAAGAAAAATGTTTATTATGGCATTCTTTACAATTACAAATAACAAACACCATAAATGAGATATTTATAAAAACTGACCAACAGGGGTTGGGGGCTTCTCCCTCAGAATCTCTGATTCAGTAGAACTGGGTTGGGGCCTCTGTTGCCTTTCTGACAAGTTAGTGGGTGATGCTGCTGCCCATGCTAAGAACCACTTCCACAGGCAAAAGAAATTGAGAAAGACTCGGTCATGGAACATCATCTGTAGGGTGGCTGTTTGTTGTTTTTTGTGATCTAGGATATGATCAGTGTTTACAAATACCCCATCTTATGTTTTCAATTTCTCCAAGTGTAAAGGCCAAGTTTTTTCATCTTTAGTCCCATCTGATTATTTCTTTAGGACAAGAAATTTAATATAGTTCTACTTCTTACCTCCTCTCCACAGTTTGGCTTAATATATTTAAGGGTTTATTTTTATTCTTTTAAATATACTAACACCCCTATTACTTGACGTCTAAATTTTGCCTTTTGTTCTCCAGCTAAAAATAAGAAGAAACAGCAAGTTTACACTACCTCTTGCCTCCTCTTTCAATCCTGACTTTTATTAGTTGTTTCTACCTTGTTATAGTTCTATTATATTCTGTAACTAGAAATCTCAGTTATTTTGGCCTTATTCTTACTATTTTCCCCGCCACTCCTTTTTTCAAATAACTTTTTTTTTTTCTTTATTGATTTTAAAAAGAGAGGAAGGGAGAGGGAGAAAGAGAGATAGAAACATCGATGAGAGAGAACATCAAATGGCCATCTCCTGCATGCCCCCCACTGGGGATTTGGCCTAAAACCTGGGCATGTGCCCAGACCTGGATCAAACTGGCGACCTCTTGGTGCATGAGTTGACGCTCAACTACTGAGCCACACTTGCCAGGCCCTGCCACTACTTTTGCAGTATCATCTATGATCATTTACTGGATGGCTGATGTTCATCTTCTCACAATTCATCAAAAAGAATTTATTGAGCCCTGGACAGTTTGTATCAGTGGTTAGAGTGTCCGCCCGAGGACCAATGTATCACGGGTTTGATTCTGGTCAAGGGCACATACCTTGGTTGCAGTTTGTCCCCAGCCCTGGTCAAGGTCGTGTGGGAGGCAACCAGTCAATGTGTCCCTCTCACGTCAATGTGTGTGTGTCTCTCTCCCTCTCTTCCTCCCTCCCTCCCTCCCTCCCTCCCACTCTATCTGAAGATAAACAGAAAAAAAAAACAAAAAAGAACTTTTTGGTACTACTTTCTTTGCGTTCTTGCATTGTTCAAGAATGGCTATCAATTGACAGTTTGGTTTTGAGGTCACGTTTTCTTTCCCCTAGTGGTTTATAAGCTTTATACCATTCTCCTGTAATGCTAAATATTCCCTTGACAATATCGGATCCTTCCCCAACACTCCCGTATAGGTAAGTTAATCATTTTAATAGGATGAGCAAAGAGTGCATTCCTTATCTTTGAAATTCAATTTTTTTAAAAAACTAGTGTGTAATGATGTTGATGACTGTATATTAGTTTTTCCTCATTGTGTGCCCTACAGTCTGTAGAATAAAGATTTCTTTTGTTTGTGCAAAGTTCTCTTAAGTTATATGTTTGCATATTTTGTTCCAATATTTAATTCTCTATTTTTAGAAATACAAGTAGCACTTGTTTCATCTCATTTTCATTTCACCTTCCAAAGCTTGTCATCGTGTCCTTTACTGAGTTTTCAACAATGTTAATCCTTTTTGCTTCCAATGTGGCCTTTTATTTCTGATTTTCTTTTTCTTTCTTGAGTTCTACCAGATTATAATTCACCATATACTGTTTTCTTACTATTTCTTCCTAGCTCTTGGGCGAATTAACGTTGTCTCTTATTTAAAAAAAAAAAAAGTGGTTGTTTCATTAAATTTGCTAGGCCTATATAGTTTTCTCATGAGTACCTTGTCACTTGTTGTTCCATTTCTTTTCTCCTTTCCTCTTATAGCATATTTGTATAGACACTGTACTCATTTCTTTCACTATTATTACCTTTGAATGATGCGAGCTCCTCCCAGATCAGTGATTTGTAAGATGTGGAAGGAAGAAACAAGGCTGTGTTCTGAGCCAGAAGATAAGTCTCTCTACAAGAACGCTTTTTATGACAGTGTTTTTTGCATGTGTATGTGTGAGAGAGACAGAGAGAACATGTGTGTGAATAAACAAGAAAGAGGTGGTTAGCCATAACTTCTTGCCTCATCAAGAGAATGCTTCCTTCAAAGATGGTGGATCTGTATACTTTCTCATTTGCTCTTCCTTTCCTGCTCGTTCATGTGCTAAACAATACAAGGAAGCTCCCAGTGCCTTTGTCTGCATCCTGACCCCACTGTAAATAGGAGCTCTCTCTGTCCGTGCTCTACCAGCTCTGAGACCTCTCTCCATCAGCATCCTCTTTTAATTTCTTCCTGCTTACAATTGACAGACATTTCTAATATTATGATTGGGGTGACAGGACTTCTATTTCATTCACAATGTGATCTCTATCTGTTATTCTCCTTGCTATTTCAGGGTAATTTCAGACAGTAGAGGGCACAAATGTCTTTACTTTGCCATCTTAAATCAGAAGTATTGGTTTGGGATCTTAAAACAAGCCAAATGAGCTTCTAGAGCTGAAGCCTATATAAAGCAAATACTGTAAGAAATTATATTAGGTCAACAAACTACTTAAGAGAAATTATATCAATAGTGACATGAATAATCCACTAGATCTACAGATAATGTAAATATATTAAGCAAAGATAACTGAATAAATCACAATTATTTTCTATCTCCTAAAACTGAAAACTAGCAACATAAATTAACATTGATGATGCTATTACATTTTGTTGTCTACTAAAATAAAACAATCAAATCCTCTAAAAGGGCATTACACAAGATCATAGAAATATCCTTCATTTTCAAGATTTCAACTAAGTTTCTTGTACTTGCATTAAATAGTGCATCAATGTACACTGATTCTTAATGAAATCTAAAGTGGCATTCAGACTGTGCCAAAGCTTAGCATCTTCTACACCTGAATTAATAACTGGGAAAGAAAGCATAAAAGGCCCATATAAACGACAAACATAAAGTCCAAATTAATATTTTGTTCTCTCTTTGGACACATCTCTAATCTAAATTAATTCTTACATGAAATAAACCTCCAAAATACATAATCACTTAACTACATGTGTATTATCAAGATGATATCCAATTAACTATACTTTATTATTTATTTTCTATAAATGTCAAGGTAATTCAATTGCAAAAGAGGAATATCAGCCTGTCAAAACATTCTGTTTTGCTAGCACTACATCGGCATTAGGAATGTAGTTACCACTTTAAAAGGAATAATGTGACACTTAGAGGAGAGGGCAAGGATTGTTGATTTTACCTCTAAACTATCTCTGGCAACAACTCCTCCCTCTTTTTCACTGTCATTCCAATTTAGATTCTAATTGTACCTAAGTTTCTAATTTTAACTGAGTCTCCACTTTCTACCTACCCATAATCTTACCTATACACTGACAGATGTATCAAGTTGTTGACACAAGAATCAAGTTACGCCACAATAAAAATTTTAAAGTTCGAATCCCATACAGTGGCATTCAAGAGTATTAACAACCTGTCTGAACAACCTGTCTAGGCAAATTCTCTAGGCTTTCTCCCACTTCACATACTCCATGGTTTTGCCCAAGTTTTCCTGAAATATATCCCATACTTTCCTGCCTCCTTGCTTTTGTTCATTCTCTTTTGCCTGAAATGCTCCCATCCATTTCCATAAAACCAGTTCTACACCTCTTAGCATAGCTCCTGTCAAATGACCTTTCTTGTATGACGTTTTCCATGCACTTCCCAATCAGAAGTGACCATTTCTAGCTTTAAACACCTAGTTTTACCTTGCAGGGAATAATATGTATACTCTACCTTAACAGGCAAAAAGGCCAAAGAAACGTTAAGCCTTGGAGATAAAATGATAAATACCATACAGTTCCCTATTTTCTAAGAGATTAGAGTGTAAGCGTTTTCAAAAAAGAATAGTGATGGTGCCCTGGCTGGTTTGCTCAGTGGTTAGAGCATCAGCCTGCAGACTAATGAGCCGTGGGTTTGATTCTGATCAAGGGCACATACCTCAGTTGCGATTCATCCCCCCCCCAAGTTGAGGTCATATGGGAGGCAGCCACTTGATGTGTCCCTTTCACATCGGTGTTTCTCTCTCTCTCTCTGCTACTCTCTCTCCCTCCCACTCTATCTGAACACAAGAAAGAAAGAAAGAAAGAAAGAAAGAAAGAAAGAAAGAAAGAAAGAAAGAAAGAAAGAAAGAAAGAAAGAAAGAAAGGAAGGAAGAAAGAAAGAGAAAGAAAGAGAGAGGGAGAGGGAGAGGCAGAGGCAGAGGCAGAGGCAGGGAGGCGAGGAGGGAAGAGAAAAAAGAAAAGAATGGTGATGGTGACGATGGTGGAGGGTGTGATGTACCTAAAGAATAGCATAAAGAGTTTCTTCCAAAATGTACAAAGCCTTATTCCTCACCACCCCCCCCACCTATTAGAAATCATTGTTCTAATCTGTGATAAATATAGAGGCAATATCAATAATGGAATTGTCATGAAGAAGTAAATGCTGGTTACTATGGAGCACAAGGAGAGGCAACTAATTGTCAAGTTTTTACTGCTTTCTATTTTGAATTGTAGTTATTAGTACAGGTGAATTATCTCCCATATCAGCCTAAAACTGGCTGAATTAATTTTGAGCAATAATAAGTATGCTAAGTACACTCAAATGTAATACACAATGCTCAAGAGCACACAAAACTATTTTTAAAGTTTTTATTTTAAAAAATTCTGTCTGCAGGAACTTTCATGATAAAACAGAACATGAAATATGAAAAAGGGATTTTTTTTTTTTTAATGCTCACCCGAGGACATTTTTCCATCTTTTGTACAGATAGAGTGGGAGGGAGAGAAAGGAAGAGAGAGAGAGAGAGAAACATCGATGCGAAAGGGACACATCGAGTGGCTGCCACCCGCACGACCAACCAGGGCCGGGGACAAACTGCAACCGAAGTACGTGCCCTTAGCGGGAACCGAACCCAGGTCTCTCGGACCGCAGGCCGCCGCTCTAACCGCTGAGCCAAACTAGCCAGGGCTTATCACTTGTTCTTTAAAGGTAATGGCACTGTCTTATGCTGATACCCCACCCACCACCTTCATTCTTCGAGAATCATCTCGGTAGGGATCTGTTTGAAAGAATGTCTAACTGCTTGACATTTTTACTCCACTTCCCACTCTGGCCTTCTGATCACTTCTCTGGACATCAGAGGCCCTTAGACAATAAATGACCAGTCCTGATACCTAACTTAGGTTCATAAAATGATGTGGGCTAAACTGGTCCCCTCGATGCTACTAACTTATTCTGGGATGTAGAGAAGTGAGGAGGAGGGATGGGTGGTATGAATGTGACAGAACTAAGATTCAAATATCCAAATACTGCAAAATAGAATGGGAAGCTAAACTACAGAGAGGAAAGAACGTGATTAGGCAAAGGCATGTTTAGAGAGATGAGACAGAAAGTTGAAAAGCAAAAAGAAAAAATGCTTCTGACAATGTATTCAAGGTTAAAATACGAAAAAAAAACAAACCAAAATTTTTAGCTGCTGTAAACTAAAAAGGGCCTAGTAGTAATAGATTCTTTCCAGTTTTCCCTAAATACTATTGGTCCTTCATGTTGTTCCTTTCCTTCTTTGCTAACTTCTCAGGAGTGTCAGTAGCATGGAAATAAAAGTCAGAATGCAAGAGTTTAAGAAGTCTATTTATCTGCTTACTACTCATTCACTTCTTAACCCTTTGCCATCAATATAACAGCTATCGTGCCCTGGCCAGTTTGCTCAGTGGTTAGAGCGTCAGCCCACAGACCAGAGACCCGGGTTCAGTTCCCGCTAAGGGCATGTACCTCAGTTGTAATTTGTCCTCGGCCCCGGTTGGGGTTGTGTGGGTGGCAACCACTCGATGTTTCTCTTTCACGTCCATGTTTATCTCTTTCTCTTCTCTCTTCCTCCCTCTCTATCTGAAGATAAATGCAAAAAGGTCCTCAGGTAAGGATTTTTTAAAAAAAGGATAAATATATATATATATATATATATATATATATATATATATATATATCAGCTATCTTAACATGCTGACATGAAGATTAAAAAAAATTTTACTCTCCAATTGCTGCTTCAGAGAAGTCATAAATATATAGTGATTTGTTTCTGAATGTGTAGTAATGAGGTTGAAAGAGTGTCTGAAACCGTAGATGTAGATAAGAAAGAAAGATAGGGGAGGATGATGCCCCAGGGACAAGTAAAAGGGTAAAGAAGTGGTATTGCTTAATATGCCTGCTATTCTGCGCTTGGTGGACGAATGTTCACCAGTGGATATTATCTTTACTTTCTCTTAATCATTCTACTAGGTATACTTCCCGTATCTACTGGTTAATCACTACTTATAAATATTCCAGCTGACCACTGGAAGTGTCCTTTAGGTATTCCACTGGCACCTAAACCAATCACTGTCTACCTTCAAATCAGATTTCTTCCATGACTGGACCATCGATTCTGTTAATGGTAGCCCAATTTTCTCATTTATGTTCAAAACAAAATAGTTGTTGTGGCTCTAACTCCACATCTGAGTCAAACTGTGTATGGTCTTCTCAGAGTCTCTAAAGGTTGTCATTTCTTCATTTCCAGTATAGTCAGCCTAATTTCAAGGCCTAGATAGAAAGCCTCCTAACCTGAACACTCTATCAGGCTTTCCTCAAAACACGTGTCTTAGGGACCCAAGTCCATTTATTTCTAGAGTCACTTTGTGTCACTCCCCCTACTTCAAGACCTTCTGTGGCTGATTCAGTGCTATTCCCTGTATGACCCACTCATCCAGTGCTGCCTCACCTTGATGCCCTTGCCTATATTATTCCTTCTACCTATAGAGCTTCCTTTCCCCATCCTTCCGCTCTGTCTACTGAGTAGTTTTGGGTACAGCCTCTCAAGACAGACTGCTGTGTTCAAATCTTGCTCTGCCACTTGTAGGCTATATGGCCTTGGCAAGTTACTTAATCTTTCTATGTCCCCATCTTTAAAATGGATCTGTACGGTACTTGACTCACAGGGCTGTTCTGAGGATTGGACAAAGCAACACCCGTAAAGCACTGAATTGCACCTAGAACACGGTAAGTATGCAATACATGTCAGTACTAATTAATAAGTCATCTTAAAGATCTACTAGTAATTCCCTCTGCTCTCAGACAATTCAAGTACCACTTCTTTATATTCCCACAGCACTGTATATATTTGTACTATTTTTTGTAATCAGTCTTAAATTATAATTACTTGAGATAGGAGACTATCATATATATTTCCCTATTCCCCAATATTCCATATTCTTCCACAGCACCATTTAAGCACAGACATAGATTCAAAAGGCAACTTTATACATACAATGAACCTGTTGTCCCAGAAGAGCTCTGTGTCCAGAGCATAACAACACTTGAGATGAGTGGTGAGCGTGAACAGCTACAGGTGAAGAGCGGCAGCCAGACTTTATGTCACACAAGTCTCTTTGGTTTGTTTCCTCATTAATTCATTCTTTCATTAACTTCACAAATATTACTGAGCCCTCTGTACTAGACCAGAGATTCCCAACCGATATGCCGCGGCAGGCACACTGGTATGCCACAAGAATCTCCAAAACTTGTTAATACCTGACTATTGAGTCAGGGGCACTGACCTCTTTTCCCTTAGATTGTCAAATAAAAAAAAGACAACAGCCAACACAACAATAGCTGTCCAGTATGAATGAATCAAAATTATAGTGTTTTTTTTTCAGACTGGCAAAAAAATGTAAATTTTGGTGTGCCATGGAATTTTAGTAATTAGTTTATGTGTGCCATGAGATGAATGAGGTTGAAAATCGCTGCCCTACATACTTGGCAATCTGCTAGCTGTTTCCTGTCACAAGATTATAGAGGTATAGAAAATAGATTATGCTTCTTTCAAAGGCAGCAGAATGTTGAGGAACCAAAGATTTCTTTTGACCCCAACATTATTTACATATGTTATTTCACAGGTTCATTTAAGAGCTATTTTAGCATACACACCAGAGTAAGAATAGTGGTTTTCTTTGTGTTGGGAAGAGAGTAGATGCTTTTATTTTTCTTTTCTGTTTATCCTATGTGAACATTGGTTGATTCTGTATTTAGAAAACGAAAAAAGGAACAGGTTTAAAAAATAACTTTAAAAATTCTTCTCTCATTCTATGGCTTAATTAACAAATACTCATTTACTATAGCCCACTTGGGAGTAACAGAATGATGTTAAGCCAAGTTCTTTTTAACTAAGTAAAGCCTTCTCCTCAAGAATTAATTGCTTGATTCAGAACACTTGGGTATTGATCTTAGTAAAACTATAAAGCTAACAGAATCGAACACAGGGCTCAGAGTGTATCAACTACGTGGTACAACATAGGAAGTGTGAATATATGTACATAGGTTGTATCTGCATGAATGTTCAATAGAATATCAGTAATGATTATCTCTAGTTCAGGGGAATTTGGGTGATTTTTACACTGATCAATATGCTTTTCTATACTGTTCCAATATTATAATAATGAGCATATATTATTTCCACAGACAATAAAATTATTAGTAAAAACACTTGATGGGTAATAGTGGCTCAATAACTGCCACATTTGCTACTTAAAAGTATGGTCCTCAGACCAGGAATACCAGCGTCATGTTGGAGCTTGCCAAAAATACAGAATTTTCAGGCCCTACTAGAGACCTACCGATTCAGAATCCACATTTTAACAAAACCCTCAGGTGATTCATATGTACATTAAAATTTAAAAATCACTGATCTGCATGCTAAGGCCTTTACGTGGAGAAGATAGGAGCAGCATCTGCCTTGTTCATTATATCACTAGCACCCAATAGTGCTTGAAATATATAGGTATTTGTTGAATAAGTAAATATGTAAATACTATTACTACTGAGTAGACCATTAGAAAGGTAATGGAGATTATTTCTATTTGAATTATTTGCTTTCAGCCAACTTTCCAGAAGTAGGTGCTTAATTTTTACTGTAAAATGCTGTTAAATTACTTAAATAACAACGCTGGCCCCAAGAATTCCTATGACTGCATGTAATCCTTTCTTAAAAGGAGTCCTTAACTTTGCTCTGAGATCCGCATGTTTCCTTCAATCATTTCTCTAGCCTCCTGTCTATGGGCACATCTTATATTTTCTCTCTCTACAAGCTATCCCTCAAAGCAAATTCATTTTCAAGATTTTAGCTACCACCTCTGAGAGAAAACTTACTATTTAAGCTCCAGTCTATGAACTCCATCTGCCTACATTTCTAACTTTATTTCCTACACCTCAAATTTAACATGTTCAAAAGTACCAAATTTAATTGCCATCACTATCTCCCTCCATCCTCAGACTCATGTTTTACAGGTTTTAGAGAAGAAAGACCACCTAGTCCAGCAACATCACTTTACAGTGACTAAGATCTTGAATGAAATGACAGCCCACGTGGCTACTTATTGGCAAAACCGTAGCAACAATCTGAACCACCTTATTCTCAATACACTATTGCATGCTGGAATTCTGATAGAATTCTCATTTTTGTCAACAGCGATTAAATTCACTTTTTAGAAACCCTGGTTCAAAATATCAATCACCTAGACACAAGAAATCAAGTCCTGCATATTACTGGCATCTCTCATTCCCTTCTTTTTTAGAACGTAATGCACTTTCCTTCCACTTGAGGTTCCTTCAACATCTAGTGCCATCCTTCTCAAATCCTCTATCCTCTCAAAACCTACCTGCACAGATAAACTCTTTATAAAATATGAAGGACAAGTCCGGACGTCTCTATCTTCACACATGGTGCTCCACAGAGCTCCGTGATTCAAATTCTATCCATCCTCTGGATGCAGCTCAATCTCGTTTTTCCTACCGGGCTTCCCTCTTTTCCCAATTCCTGTTACTCTGCTCCGTAACTCACTTTGATATGTTATAGGCTGATGTTCCTTCTTGGGAAACCCGCAGTCTTTAAAAGTAGAAAGAGCCTGATGTCATCTAGTCTCTCCTTTTGCATCTGAGAAAACGGGGGCCCAGCGAGAAGTGACTTGCAATCGGTGATGGTGATGAAATCTAAACTCAGTTCTCCAGATCCCTTATCCAAAGCTTCTAAAAGTCACCTCGACACATATCCAGTCTATCCTGACACCCACCCCACCCCCGACTGGCACTGCAAACAAAAGGGAGACGTCAAAGCCAAATGAAACTTTATTGAGCATGGCTAGCAGTAGCCACCCCATTATTCGGCAGGCAAAGGGCGTGCTTTAGTTAAAAACAAAAACAAAAAACAACCACCACCCTCCAAATAAACTAAAAGTTGAAAGCATCGGAAGAGAGAGATGGTTAATGAAATTACGCCCTCTCCGTATAGCGGTGCAGCTCCCCACTGCCCAGGGACGTCCAAACTCCTTCGCTGGGATCTGGGTCCTTCCCAGCGGAGACCCCGCGGCAGCTCCCGCACCTCCACGGCCGTTCTCCCCACGCGCAGCGCGGCCAAACCCGGCAGCTCCGCTCACGCGTCTGCGCCTCTGCACCCAGGTCCACGACCCGCAGTGCGCTCCCAGCCCGCCCCCCAGATCCGCTTGCAAATCCCGAGTGGCTCTCACGACCCTGCTCAGACGCCACTACCCCAACCCGGGTCCTACAAGGGTCTTCACCGCCCACCAAAACTGAACGAGCCCCGTGAGGAGGGTTTTAGTTGCTCACACGCCCGGGAGCGTGGGAAGGACCGCCCGAGCGGACGGGCACCACCGGGTGCTCGTGGACTGACCCACTGGGGAGCCTCCTGGAGCACGGTCCCCCTGGGGCCTGCCTCGGCCGCCGCGGGGCGAAGAGGTGCCCAGACTGCTGGGGGATACCCAGGAACGGCACCCGAGTCCCAGGGGAAGGCAATCTGAAGGCACCCGCCCACCGCTGCGACTAAGCTGAGCCTCCGATACCTTACCTCACCCAACAGCGCGGCAACTCTGCTTTACGGCATTCACAGCAACTGCTGCAAACGGGGCCGTCAAGTGCAAAGCTGTGGACCACGGTCCAGTCGGTGACAGCCTTTCCACGTAGGGACGCGACTCCTGCTGCTTCCTCACTCCCACCCCTCCGAAGGCCTTCTTAGAAGTAAATACTTTTTAAGTGCATAACAGATCTTGTTCTATGTAAACCTAAAAAAGGCAGTTAAAGCAGAGAATTTACACTGGCCATTCTTTTGGTTTGAGGTAAGGTCTTTTTAAGTTTGGGTCAAAGGATCGGAGTTTCTGTTTCTCTTATGTAAACCACATAGTGCAACATTTATAATTTTTAGTTTGCTTATCTAAAGTGGACCTAAAACGTAAAGATACAAGTGAAAGAATCTGAACTGAGTGATCGATTTTTATATTTTGCCACCCTCCCCCATCGTTGTCAATGATCTTGAATGCAAACTGACTTGACAGCAACTTTTTATATCTTCATCGCAGAAGTTTCTCCAACTTTCCTTATAAGTAACTTTTCCTACTCGTATTTCATTGGTTAATTTAATAGTTAACATACAGTTACGGCAATGCCTGCTACTGGCATAAACAGATTTGGGAATAAACAATTCACTAGAGGGAAAAATACATCTTAACTGGTGGGAGTACTTATCCAGGATACTAGCGGGGAGCCCAGCTGTGAGCCTTCCAATCAGTATGATTTAATCTGGTTAGCTAATCCAGTTGGAGAAGGGATACTGGATGGGTAAAAACAGCCTCTATTATAAGCAAACATCCATCTTTCAAAAATCACTGATGCAGGGCACACACACATCCTAGGTTACTTCAACACTGTAGGGCCTGGAGCAAGGGTACAAATGGAAGGTCAACTCTGACATACTTAAGTGTCTGAATAGGTAAGAATTAACTAATTAGTCTGTTCTTCCCCCAAGCCCCTGGGTCTGTCTCCTTTTCTAGCTTCAGCATGCCAGAAGGGACCTGGTAAGCATGCATGTGCACTCTCCAGTCTGCATTACCAAGTTCCATCCACACTTCTCACCAACTTCCACCCCTTAAATATAGCGGTATATACACCTGTAGAGCATTGTCTTCAGGGTGGACTTGGGCAAGAGGCCTGCATGTGTTCTGGAAGCAAGCTTTGGGCTGATCTGGCAGGAAATTCTGGGTAGAGGAATGCAGAATCCAAGTGGGTGCAATCCTTTGGTTCCTTCACTTTTTCATTCCATGGAGGAACAGCCAGAATAAGCATCAGGGCAAGGGGGCTCCTCTTGACCAAGTCTAACTGCACACATATATACCCATGGTATCATACTGTTGGACTTGCTTCTCCCATTTCATATCATGAATACCCTTCCATTAATAGCATATTACGTAACAGCTGTGTAAGGTTACTTGGAAACACTACAATCCCAGTGACCTGCAAAAGGGGCATAAACATACTACTTGCACCATGCAGTGTACATATAAAATAGGGTTTAGTAAGAGAACTACTTGGGACAGAAAAGAGCTTAGTTTCCTAAGCTCTTATCCCACAGAGATCCAGCTAGACACAGCAGGACTGATATACCAAGGAAAGGGCTCTAATTGTGGAAGCCATTACCCATAATGGTCTACACATTTCTAACATTTATGGATGCAGGGGTGGTGTAGTGGCAGGCAAAATACACCTAAACAAATACATAACAATGATAGCTTGCTATTGCAGTTAGAAAAGGGGAGCTTTCAGAATTCTGGTAGCCCATTCTTTTCTTTGGTTAACAATTAAGCTGCTTGTATTTTGCCATCGCAATGTTGCAATTAACACTGGCTTATTTGTGAGTATATATGTAAGAGAAATACCTAGAAATGAAATTACATTTTCAAAGGGAAATGTATTTAAACTCTTGCTATTGCTAAATTGCTCTCCAGAAATGTTGCAGCAATTCACATTCCATCTTCTATATGAGGCTACTGATTTCTCAATATCTTTGTCATGCTCCTCTCCCTATGATTAAAGACTAGCCAGTTTCCCTTCATTTTTCTCTTGGTGAAAATGATCTTAGTTATAGGAGCTCAAGCTTCATCTAGTCACTGATTGGTTTTCTTTTTTCCACTAAATTGATTTCAAGTTAGAATACACATTTTAAAAAGGCCTTTAGGTTCTAGTTCTTACTCTTAGCTACCATCTACCAAAATGCAATCTGAGATGTGACAAGCTCCAAAGTTCCTAACTTACAGTTACTTATAGCATGTTTCATCTTCTATCAATAGCTGCACTGTACAAAAATAGCAGCTATACAGAACTTTCCATCATTGCATGAAATTCTGTTGAACAGTGCTGTTCTAAAGTAGAGCTTCTTTGGGGGCAAAGGGACTATGACATTTTTTATCTTGTCATCCTCAAAAGCACACTGTATATTTTTTAATGAGACATGATAAAATGCAAACACTGAATCAAAAGAAAGCAGAAAAAGAAGTTTAATTTTTAGATGAGACAATCAGGTGCTTTTATAAGAATTTAACTTGGTCATTCTACACAGAGCATACAATCATTTCAACATACACATTACTCCACTTTGAATACACTATTTTAAAGTTAAAAACCATTTAAAAGGCTTTGTCTTGTTTCCAAGGAAAATGAGGCAATATGCGTATTAAAACACTAGTTTGCAGCACTGAGTATAAGTAGTTCATGTTTTTCATCCACAACTTAAAGTTTTAACCTGAGGAATTAGAATTTTTATTATCAGAACTGCATAGCAAAACCATGTCTATATGATAACGTATCAAATAATCTATAAATAAAGGTAACCTATAAACCATTTAATAAATCCAATTTAAAGCAAAACAATATGTTTTAGGAGAGATACTAAATGATATCCAAGTTAATAAGGTTTTGAAATGCTTCATCTTATTTTTTTTTTAAATGACAATACAACAAAAGTCTAATGTTAAATGAGCACGTATACTTTAAATCACTTATCCATTGACAACAAACTTGAACCATCTGGTTGTTTGGAAAGAATTATTTAGGCCAAACTCAGTCTTTACATGTGGCACCGAAGGGTCATAAATTGAAAGTGCAAATGCCTGGATGGAAACATAGCTTAAATCATTTATTTATGCTTTATGCTACTATTCTACAGTGACACACTAAAGCCATGGGAGAAATTTTACAGTTCTAGAAAGTCTTGATATAGAGTGACAGGCCTGATGAGAAAATACAAAAAGGCCACACTGTGCACAAACTACAGAATGTTACAAGGCATTTTAATCAGGGTTTAAAAAAAAAATCACTTTTGAAGTCCTGACGATACCACTTTAAGCACATGCTTTATCAAAGTTAATGGCATCTAGAAGTATCCAAACACTTAAGTCCTTTATTAACTGAAAAGAATCCCTTACATTTACATAGCATTTTACCGTTGTTGAAGAAATTTCTTACACTCCATTTCATTTTATTCCTCACAACAGCCCTGTGAGGTAGGCTGAGTAAGTTACAATTATTTTATGTAAGGCAATGGAGGCCCAAAGGTGAGAAATGATTTATGTAGAGATCTAGCGTATGGTAGAACTAGGTAATTAATTTTAAATATAAAAAAAAATGAAGCCAGCCCCAGCCAGTGTGGCTCAGTGAATTTAGCGTCATCCCATGGATTGAGAGGTCCTGGTTTGATTCCTGGTCATGGCACATGCCTGGACTGCAGGATCAATCCCTGGTAGGGGGCATGCAGGAGGCAGCTGATTGATGTTTCTCTCTCTCTCTTCCTTTCTCTCTAAAAATATCAATAAAGACATATTTTTAAAATGAAGCCAAATATTTTTATATAATATGCAGAAAATTTAGACTAGTGGCTTTTAATATAAATTACTCTAAAACTTTAGCTATTATATGTCTTATAGTATGAATTATTGATTCTAAAGAGTCTCCCTTAAAAGGTAAACTAGACTCAGTGCTTTGGTACCTTAGAGATATTGGAAAAGTTTAAAAAAAAAAAAATTCTCATAGCCCTTAGGCTCTCCAAAAAGTTCCAATACTAATAGAAATGCCTTTTACCAATCACTTACATTATGACTTAAAAATAAAAATCGGTACAAACTTAAGAAACTACTAGCCAAAGTAAACACATTCACCTACCTTCTGCCCTACATACTGTGATAGCTCTATGTCCATTCCAAAGGACCAATATATACTGAATGGGTACCATGAAGAAAATATATCAGTTTAAACTAACATAGCTCAAATGGTTATACAGAAAAAAGTCATTACCTTATATTGACCCAGAAATAGCAAATACTGTTTTAATTTAATAATTGGGTAGTCTGAGGAGAAAGTACCATGGCAATCTCTGATATTTATAAGCCAATATTAACCTTTATATGGCATGTCCAACAATATCTTTTCAACAAAAACAAAATATACCAAACGTAATCCATTTAATTCCAAATTACTCAAAAAGCTTAAAGTATTTACATTAATTAAATATTCCAAGTAACAAAGCTATCATAGGTGACATATCAGGATCACAAATATTGGAATAATGTGAATACTGTAACATACAAACAAAACTAAAACTTCACTGAACATGAGGTAAACTTTCTATAATGATTAAAGAAACATTCACAATCTCTTATAATGCCCCAGGATTGGCATTATGAAATGTACATTCTGGTTAAAAATAGCAAATAACTTTATGGTTACTTGGGTATTAAGTAAATTTATGCTGACCATACACTTCCCTAAAAGAACATATCCTGTATAAAAATAAAATCAAGGAAGAAACTTTTCTAGACCCATTTTTTGTGACTATATAAAAGTGAACCATATTATGTGCAATATGCTTATCAAAATTTGAATTTTTTATAAACTATAACAAATTTACTTTTTAAAATTTATGACATATTAACAAAACATTGTTTTAAAGATACAAACTTTGTCATCACACCACCCAAAAGCAGCAAAACTATATGCACAGTAAATCAAACCTCATTAATTTTGGAAATCTGAATATAAAGTATGACTGCAACATCATAGACACTTAAAGTATTTATGGTGTAACTTAGCCAAAGAATGAACACTGATGTAACAAATACAGGCTTTTTGAAAAAGAATTATTATGATGACTTGAAAGTATAGTTCTTCATTTTTTCAACCTGGAATCACATATTTTATAGTACGAAGTCTACACTTTCCTCTTCTAAAATTATTACTCTTTGAAATAATCACTTTCCATGATATCCATGATAAACAGCTACCACTTTATGGAGAAAGTATATAGAAAAAAAGTAATCGTTCTAGGTAAGTCATGAAATAGAGTATCCTAGCCTAATTAAAAGATTTCATGACAAATTATTTACTTTTATAATTTATACAAGCAAGGATCAGTCACAAAAATTCAATTTACTTATGATATTGTTCATGCTTTAATTTCATAAATGAGTAAATAAAGCTAAGCCAGTATGTTTCTTTAGATCATAACACAGGAAAAATTGCTTATAGAACAAAGTAGGGTAAGTCTAGCTGTACAGCAGCAGTTCATGGTTTGTCAAACTGGTACACATGCCATCAATTAAACCCATGTATAGACAGGCATGCCTCTAATACTTTCCATTTCTTTACCCACACCTAGAACATTCAAAGAATCACTGTATATTAAATTCTATGTGCAGTTATTAAATGCTTGGTATATACATATTTACCAAAAATTAAAGACATATGTTACATGGTCAGCCCAAATAATCATAATGAATTGTAAAAAAATTATTTTTCTAAAGTGCTTAAGGCAATTCCTTCATTTCTTTATCCAGTTTACTAAAACTGGTTTGGGATTCAAATACTAACAGAGAAATGCAATACTAAAAGCATGTTTTTATAAAACATAATTTTTTTAGAGCTGTAATACATCCATTACTGTCAACCTCTCATGCATTTCTTTTACAGAAAGCAATCATGTTTGACCTGTCAAAACAAAGAGTAAATAATCCAGTAAAGAATGTTTGAAAGGGTATACCAACTTAACACAATGTACTAAATTGAGCAAAAGAGCTCAATATTTTTAAAGTTAAATGTCAATGACAATATTATATATATGGTCAAGTTGAAACAATTACATTAACTTGAGATTATTTAGTTAGGCACTACAGTTGATTATTTTCTAGTTTGCAAATGAAGGTGGCAAGTTTTCTCCATTTTCACTTGACACAAATAAACTTAAAACAACTAAATTAAAACCCCACACATTTTGCTCTTTACTTTTAGAGACCTTTAAGAAGCACAGTAAGAGGTAACCTCAGATTCTTAATTTGGAATAATAGTATTACATCAAATGAATATTAGAAAGTTTTTATGAAGGGATTCACATGATAGCATCAGCACAGGAAAGAATCCTATGCACTCCACTAGCCCCTGATTAATCCTTCTTTCCCCATGCCCCTGCAATAGAAGGCCTTCACCAGTATAACATAATGGTCTCTGGCTTAAATATCAGTTGACAATGCATGGGGTGTGGAGCATGGAGTAAAAAAGAGCATCCTTAGAGGAAGAAGGCACTGAATTAAAGAGAAGACACAATTATATAAGACACAATAGTAAAAAGTTTTATAGAAGAATTTCTGGCTTTTTCTGTGTCATTTTTGCTAAAATACACATGAATAACAGTTCACATAAAGCAACTCCACCACTAAATTACTGCTTTAAGGTTTGACTCTATGGAAGAAAATTACAACTTCCTGTTTCCTTATGTTCTTGATAACCCTGCTGTAGGGAAGAGAACATCCAAAAATTTCTATCGAAATCTCAAGGAGGAACTAAAACCAAAATTATATTTGTCTGGACAATCAAAAGAATATCTACTAATGTATTTCATTCTCTAACTCCCTTATAATCTTTATAATTACGAATATGTCATCAGACAATGGTGCAGATATAAATATCCTTTGGAAAAAATATTACCCAGTTCAAATAAAATTCCTCATTTAGATTTGTTTTAACATGAACAAAACATTCTATCAGTAAGGGGTGAACTTTAAGAAAGAATGAGCTATTCCTATTCCACAGGCCTTTCTGTAGATAGCAACTGTAATGTAAACAGAATCAGTCACTTCTTGGAAGAAGGTTGTCCTAGTACCATATGCTTAAAAGAGAATGAGGGTTAAAATGAGAAAGTAAAAGTTTCAAAAATTAAGGAATATACAAATTCAGATCTCTTTAAAACACTCAAGGAATTCTTAAACACTACTGCAATTACAACTTTCAGTTTGGCTCAAAGTACTTGTGTTAAAAAGTTAAATCAACTTTTAAAAAACAGGTATGTTCTCAATAGCCATGTGTTTTACTAGTTGTTAACATATTTTCCCGAGGGAAAGATTATTCCATGATAATTTTTGGAAGAAAACACCCTATAGGAAGCAAATGAATGTAACAAAAGGATTGAGAGAAAATAACCTCTAAGTAGTTATGACCGAAAAACTTACATACCAAGTAAGTCAGAGATACGTAGGTTTTTTCCCAAAACACTTGTTTAAACCATTCCATATCTTACCAAAAGCATATATAAATGCCTTCAGTAAACAACAGTTCCAAGCACCTCCCTTTATAGTCTATCTTCCTTAGATAAAACTTGAGTAGTATAGGTTTTCCCACCTTCTATATAACTTTAATAATTCATTCCTACTAAATATGTTATGATCAGTATAAGTATTATGTTATTACTAAATCCAAGTGGGAACTTTACCAAAGATAACTACTAAAGGTAGTGTTAAACTAGACAACAAAATCAGAAAAGATAAAGCTTTTAAAAATCTTACCCATCATCCAAAACAATGAAATGAAAAAAAGTCTAATTAAACAAAGCAACGTATAAAGAATATCCCTTTGCCACTGTTAGTGCAACAGATAAAAAACTGAAATTTGGGTGATTTAAGCTATTATGTCTAGAAACTCTATCCACTCTTTATTTTGAGTTATAACCATAAGAAAAATACCATGACATTTAGAAAAGCGAAAATTATATATAATCTAGTCAACAAAACAAAAGAGGATAATTTAGCATAACTCAACTTATTTATAAAAGGGGAAAAACAAACCATTGTAAGAAAACCTGTCTAGAATCCCCAACCAATTATTTCAATTTTTAGGAAACCTCAGAGGACTGTGAATTTTAAAAAGCTTCAGTGTAAGAACTAAATAATATGTAGTGATAAGACAAAAAAAAGAAAGTACAGATGAAAGAGGGCAAGATTTAAACACTTTTTCTTCAGGCCCTAGTATGTAACTAAACACATTAGAAGAGCCAAAGTAATCCAAGAAACACAAAAATGAGTTTCTATGTAACTATTTAAACACTGCCCTTTCCTCCATTTCCTCTTCAAAATACCAGCTTCTTGCTCAGTCTCTGCTTTGCTTCTATGATACTGCACGGTAGGTTCCTGTGAATACTTGGTACTAGATGCTTAACGCTAAGATTCCAGGCCTTAAAGCAGAACGTAGCAAACTCATTTCCGCCCTCATCAGTTTCTATGATTAGGCCACCCAATCAGAAGGAGGGGGTATGCATATTCTGAGTAGGTAGGCATTACTGAGTAACAATATTTAGGCTGCTAGCTGAACCAGTCATTCCATTTTCACTTTTCTGAAGTGTTCTCACAGCACTTGGAACCTGCATCCCAGTACTCAAAGAAAGTCCACCACACCAAACCTAAGAAAAGATAAAAACAAAGCTTCAGTCAGATTTCAAATCAAATTAGAATTTTCACTTGAAAGGCAATATGCTACATATGTAAACAATAAACTTCATATTTGAACTGAGGATAAGTGTTAAGGCTAACTTAAGAGTCCTTTAGAACCACAGAGGCCAGAGGGAGTCTTTGTGGTAGCAGAACCCACTGGAGCTGCACACAAGACAGGGACCTAAGGGCTGCAGAAATTTAGGGGTTGAACTATTCAATCTAGGCAAAAGACACTGGCTATCATTACTGATGCTAACTTCCATAACCAAGAGAAGTGCACAGAGAGCCAACTTCCCTATCCCAGTTATTGCTGTAGATTTTGATGAGCTGTGCCCTGAGACTATAGGAATCTAACACCCACCTGTTAACAGAGTAAAATCCATCAGTTTCTTCCCTAACATAACAGTAAGAACACTTTTATAATTCTGTAAAAAAGATTTCTAAGAAAAATGCAAACAGCAATATCCAGATACACTTGCCATATTCTATTAATTACCAGAAATGTGAGTTTATGAAAGATAAACTGCTTTGCTTGTGGACAGCAGCTAATATTTACAGTGCTTTTATTCAGAATTGCCAAAAACTGGAAAGAACCCAAAGGTCCTTTAACTGGTGAATAGATGAAAAACCTGTGGTTCATACATATATGGAAACTACTCAGCAATAAAAAAGATGGGGCTACTGACCAACACAACGACATGGATAAATTTCAAATGTACATGGATGGATCTGGAGACTATTATGCTAAGTGAAAAAAACCAGTGAGTTCTAGAAAGACAAATACCTTATGATCTCACTTATATGTGAAATCTAATCAAATAAACTGATGAACAAAATGGAACCAGATGCATGGATACATGGAACAGACTGATAAATCTCAGAGGGAAGAGGGGTTGGAGGGACTGGATAAAAGAGGGTGAAGAAATTAGTCAAAGAACATATATGCACATCCCAGGGACAAAGGCAATAGTGTAGTAAAGGCCAGGATTGGGGTGACTGGGTGGGGGTGGGCAAAAGGGGGAGTAAGTGAGGGACATCTGTAGTAGTGTCAACAATAAAATAAAGTCTACATACCATTTCTATGATATTTTGGAAAAAGCAAAATTATAGGGACTAAAAACTGGTTAGTGATTGTCAGGGCTTGGTGTGATAGAAGATGTCCACTACAAAGGAACATGAAGGGATTTTCTAGGGTGATGGAAATGTTCTATGTCTTAATTATGGTGGTGGTTATACAACTGTATGTATTTGTTAAATCCTATAGAGCTGTACACTACTGTAAATTGTACCTCAATAAGCCTGGCTTTAAAAAAGAAAATCTTGTACACAAAAAAATTTAATAATCATTTTACTTAGTTAATAAAAGCAAGCCTTCAATAAAGAAAAAAAAAAAAATTTAACCAGTTTAAAAATACATTTCCTAAAGTATCTTATGACATTTACTAATGTAATTATAGTTTTATTATTTAGAATGAAAAAGCAATGAATAAACTCATTACATATCTACCTGACATAAACTCAAATTAAACATGAACTTTTTGTTACAGATGTTTCTCCTTTTCCCCCCATTGACACCCTCCTCCCTCCCTTTCCCCGCCCTGTCCCCAGCTTTGTTGTCCATGTCCATTGGTTATGCATACATGCATGTAAGTTCTGTGGTTTATCTCCCCCCACCCACTCCCTCTTCTGGGGATTGTCAGTCTGTACCCTACTTCCACGTCTCTGGGACTACCCCATTCCTCAGACTGTTATGTTCATTATATTCCACAAATAAGGGAGATCATATGATACTTGTCTTTCTCTGTTTGGCTTGTTTCACTTAGGATAATACTTTTCAGGTCCCTCCATATCGTCTCAAAGAATAAGAGATCTTTCTTTCTTACAGCTGCATAGTACTCCATTGTGTATATGTACCACAGCTTTTTCTTTTAATTAATTTATTTTTGTTACAGATGTTTCTCCTTTTTCCCCCACTGACTCACTCATCCTCTTCCCTCCCTGCCCTGTCCACAGCTTTGTTGTCCATGTCCACTGTTCATGTATACATGCATATAAGTTCTTTGGTTTATCTCTCCCCCACCACCCCCTCTTCTGGGGATTGTCAGTCTGTACCCCACTTCCACATCTCTGGGACTACCCCATTCCTCAGACTGTTATGTTCATTATATTCCACAAATAAGGGAGATCATATGATACTTGTCTTTCTCTGTTTGGCTTGTTTCACTTAGGATGATACTTTCCAGGTCCCTCCATGTAGTCTCAAAGGATAAGAGATCTTTCTTGCTTACAGCTGCATAGTACTCCATTGTGTATATGTATCACTGCTTTTTTATCCATTCATCTACTGATGGACACTTGGGCTGTTTCCAGATCTTAGCTATTGTAAATAGTGCTGCTACAAACATGGGGGTACATATATTCTTTCTGCTTGGTGTTTCAGGCTTCTTAGGGTATATTCTAGAAGTGGGATCACTGGGTTAAATGGAAGTTCAATTTTTAATTTTTTCAGGTAACACCACATTGTTTTCCATAGTGGCTGCACCAGTCTGCATTCCCACCAGCAGTGTACTAGAGTCCCCTTTTCTCCACACCCTCACCAACACTTGTTGTTTGATGATTTGTTGATGGTGGCCATTCTGACAGGTGTGAGGTGATACCTCATTATTGTTTTAATTTGCATCTCTCTGATGATTAGTGATGTTGAACATTTCTTTATGTCTCTTAGCCATTTGCATGTCCTGTTTGGAGGTGTTTATTTAGTTCCTCTGCCTATTTTTTAATTGGGTTCTTTGTCTTCCTTTTGTTGAGTTGTATGAGCACTCTATATATATTGGAAATTAAACCCTTATCTGATGTATCATTGGCAATTATGCTCTCCCATACAGTGGGTAGCCTTTCCGTTTTGATGACTGTATCTTTTGCTGTGCAGAAGTTTTTGAGTTTGATATAGTCCCATGTGTTCATTTTCTCCTTTGTTTCTATTACCTTAGTTGATATGTCAGTGAAAATTCTGCTGCGTATGATGTATGAAATTTTGTTGCCTACAGTTTCTTCTAGGATTTTTATGGATTCCTGAGTCACATTTAAGTATTTTATCCATTTTGAGTTTATTCTTGTGTATGGTGTAAGTTGATGGTCTAGTTTCATTTTTTTGCATATAGCTGTCCAATGTTCCCAGCACCATTTATTAAAGAGGCTGTCCTTACTCCACTGTATGCTCTTGCCACCTTTGTCAAATATTAATTGAGCATATTGCCTTGGGTCCATTTCTAGGTTCTCTGTTCTGTTCCACTGGTCTATATGCCTGTTCTTGTGCCAGTACCAGGCTGTTTTGATTACAGTGGCTTTGTAGTATAACCTGAAATCTGGTAATGTGATCTCTCCAACTTTGTTCTTCTTTTTCAAGATTGCTGTCGCTATTCAAGGTCTTTTTTTATTTGTTCTAATTCTGTGAAGTATGCCGTTGGTATTTTGATGGGTATTGCACTAATCTATAGATTGCTTTGTGTAGTATGGACATTTTAATAATGTTAATTCTTCCAATCCATGAACAGGGTATGTGCTTCCACTTTATATCTTCCTCTATTTTTTTTTTTCAATGACCTGTAGTTTTCTGCAAATAGGTCCTTTATTTCATTGGTTAAGTTTATTCCTAGGTATCTTATTTTTTTTGCCATGATGGTAAATGGGACTGTTTTCTTAGTTTCTCTTTCTGTGAGTTCATCATTGGTGTATAAGAATGCCACTGATTTCTTGACGTTAACTTTGTATCCTGCTACTTTTCCAAATTCATTTATTAAGTCTAGATTTTTGATGGAGTCTTTGGGGTTTTCTACATATAGTATCATGTCATCTGTGAATGATGACAGTTTCACTTCCTCCTTTCCAATTTGAATCCCTTTTATTTTTTCTTTATGTCTGATTGCTGTGGCTAAGTCTTCCTGTACTATGTTAAATAAGAGTGGCGAAAGTGGGCATCCTTTTCTTGTTCCTGTTCTTAAGGGAAATGCTTTTAGTTTTTGTCGATTGAGTATGATGTTGGCTGTAGGTCTTTCATATATGGCCTTTAATGTCAAGATATGGTCCCTCTATTCCCAAATTGCTGAGCATTTTTATCAGAAATGGGTGCTGGATTTTGTCAAATGCTTTTTCAGCGTCTATTGATATAATCATATGATTTTTATCTTTCATTTTGCTTATGTGGTGTATCACATTTATTGGAAATCTACCCTTTGGTAAAAGTATATATAAGACTCAGAGGGAAAAAATAACTTTGAGTTCCATATGGTAAAATTTAAAAAAAAAAAGAGTTCCATATAGGCCAATTTGGAAAAACAGCCAAAAATACATAATACATCAGAGGTTTCTGGTAAAGTAATAATAATAATTATAGCAATAATAATAACCCTTCCCTATCCCTAAGAATTTTTCTGTGAATAACTTTATTCATTAATCACTTTTACTTTTTAAAATGAATTTATTGGAGTGACATTGGTTAATAAAACCATAAGTATCAAGTGTACAATTCAATAAAACATCATCTGCATACTGCATCATGGACTCACTACCTAAAGTCAAGTCTCCTTCTGTCACCATTTATCGGCTCTTTGCCCTCCCCCCCATTCCCCTTCCCTTCTGGCACTTTCCATGCTGTTGTATGCAATCACTTTTACTTTTTAATTAAAAAAACTAGTAGCCTTGGTTATTAGCATTAGCATTATTTTAAACTTATTTAAGATTTTAGGATATCTAGAATAAATAATAATCAATTGTGATATTTTAAAGTACTGTATTTTAAACCCACATATACCCTGAATACTTTCTCCTCATAGGTGAGTAAAAGTTGGGGAGATGATGGAAGAATCATACAAAACATTCCAAGTCTGCAGTGAATATATACCATCCTGATTTGTATAAGTAGCCCCCAAATTAAAGAATGGTCTAGCCAGAATAATGATCTTAACTGTATTTCAGAACTCGTCACTATAGCCCACCCTTATAGAGAAATGCAAAAAATAAAGTAGTTGGGAGAAGCAGTAACATTTGCTTAATTAAACAAAAATAAATTAAAAATCAAGTTTCATTTTGTATGGAGAATCATGATTTTGTCTTATATAAATCAACCTGAAATTGAATAGTCCTGAAATGATACCTGTGTGTATAGACACATACATATTTAGCCTACTACACACAGACAGTCATCTAATATTTTACAAAGATGATACTGCACTTCAATGAAAAAGGGATGATCTTATCAATAAATGGTCCTGGAATAAGTGGTTATCCATATGGAATGAAAGATTGTATCCTGATCCCCAAAAATATCCTGATCATACCAAACATATCAATTCTACATTGTACCAGCATTGTAAATGCAGTATATATCTAAAATGTACAAGAAAAAGCTTTTTGAAGAGAAGAATGTTTTCATAATCTTGGGGTGAATAAATATTTCTTAAACAGAACAGAAAAAGTGCTAACTATAAATGAATAAACTGGTAAATTGAGCAATACTAAAATTAACAACTTTTGTTCATCAAAAGACACCAATAAGAGAGGGAAAAGGAGACCCAAAATGAAGAAGATATTTGCAATACCTGTATCTGGCAAAGGACTCAGACTAAATAAAGAATTCCAATAAAAAATAGGAAGATAAAAACAATGAAAATACAAGCAAAAGACTTGAACAACCATTTCACAAATGAGTATACTCAATCAACATATAAAAAGGTATTTAACAGCTCTAGTCACCAAGGAAGTGTAAATGAAAACCACAATGTAATATATCTAAGAACTAGAAAGACTAAAATAACAAAGGCCTGTAAGACCACTAGGACTAAAATAAAAAAGGACAATACCAAATGCTATTAAAGACATGGACGAATTCAAATTCTCAAACACTGCTGGTGGTAAATTAGTATAACCAATGACTTTGGAAAACTCTACTATAGTTGATCACATACCATATGATCTAACAACCTCAATCTAGTTATACCCAATAAAAAATACAAGCATTACCAAAAGACAAACTAGAATATTCATAACAGTTCTATTTATAAATATGTCCCCACAGGGGAACTACCCAAGTATCCAACTAAATTAGAATGGATAAATTATGACATAGTCATATAATGGAAAACTATATGGAATGAGTGAACTACTACCACATATAACAACATGGATAAACCTCACAAACATACAGCTGAGCCAAAAGATATTATATGATTCCATTTGTACAAAATTGAAAAGGAGACAAAATGAGTTAATGGTATTAAAATTCAAAATAGTAATGTCTGTGGAGGAGGACCAGTAGGGAATGGAAATGGGCAAAAGGGGCTTATGAGATTCCGGTAATGTTCCATTTCTTGATGTAGATGCTGGTTACAAAAGTGAGTGCAATCTTATGAAGATTCATCAAACTGCATGCTTATGATTTGTGTACTTCCATGTATTATCATTTACTTCAACAAAATATATCAAAAATATACAGACAATCACAATCACAGATTTAAGAGAGGTGGACTGGTGAAAAGGAAGGGGAAGGAATATGAATAATAAATAAGATATTCTGTTTTCCCAATATATAGCATAGGTTGTTCTCTTAAAGTTGCCAAAACCATATACAATATAAATTAATACTAACCATGAAACCAGGTAGTAATGGCTGAGTAAATTTTGTCTTAAAGGAATATAATAACTGTTTTGAATGTGCATCATAGAAAGAAAGTTGACCTAAAAGGAAGGGGGGAAAAAAGCCTCATTTATTATACAAAATATAACATCTAATTAAGGCTAACATAAACCATGCATAAAAGTAGTAACTAAATGCGTATTTTGACATTGACTATAATGTTACAAACTATAATGCCTGGACTTAACAATTTTTTACTTGAAAATCAGTACAAAACATGCAAATCCAGTTTTTGTTCCCTGGTTTTCAGGATCTTCAGGATGCTTCCTTACTCTGGCAGTATGCTAATTATTCAACTGTAAGCTATTTCTTTATTTTGTCATTATTTAACAACAAAAAAAGTGATTTTTCCTCATTTTTACCATAACCAGTCTCTACTCAAATCCTATCACCATTTTACTTTATCTATTAAACTTTGTCTTCTAACCATGTGAGGCCATATTAATACTTCAATCTCTAAAGTCACAGTATAGTTATTGTGGCTTCAGCTTTGTTACTTTTTAAAATCTCACAGTCTAGCTTTCAATATGATCAGGCTGTCCACCTGATGGCCTCTTACAACTGTTACCACTTCTTCAAATTCTTCTCTTACTATTCTCTTGGCTTGTATCCTAACTCTAAGAATATCTTATTTTTCTCCTTATTCTAAATATAGATGCTTGTCCAGGCTCTCCTTCCTCTCTACAGTGCTCCCTTAATAAATCTGCTGCCACCAGAGAAGAAATGAAACTAACATTTATCCTACTATTAAAACCTAACATGGTCACAAAGTTAGTGAACAGAAGAGCAGTCATGTTTAGTTGTTTTGTACAATCTTCAGTAGCCACTCTAACGACTAGCATCAACTCTACTTCTCTTCTGAGTTCTAGCACTGAATTTCTAAACATTTGCCAGATATGCCATGTGGCTGTCTTGCTGGCATTCCATCTTTCCCCAGGACTCTTTCTGTTTTCTAGTCTGTTGAAGATACTATCATCCTCTTGATCACACTGAGTCATCTTCAGTTTTTCTCTGTCTCTCCCTCCAATCCATATTTAGTTATCAAGTCCTATGACTTCTACTTTCACACCATCAAATCCATTCTTCTATTATTATGATTTTTAATTCTCACCCACGGATATGGTTTTTGTTTTTGTTTTTTTAGAAAGAAGCAGGGTGAGAGAGAGAGAAAACATCAATAGGTTGCCTCTCTTATGTACCCCCTAACCAGGGATTGAACCACCACTTAAGTATGGGCCCTGACTGGGAGTCGAACCCAATATCTTTTTTGGTGTATGGGACGATGTTCTAATGAACTGAGCCAGCCGGCCAGGGTGGCGATCCCATTCTTCTTGATTCTCTACTTCTCAGGCCCTTGTTCCTACTAATCACTCAGCAAACACTTATTAAGGGCTTACTATGTACACAAAGCACTTTCCAGGCAACAAGGATAAAATACTTAACAAAATAGACATGGTCTTGCCTCCATTGATTCAAGATAGCCTCCTGAAAAGTTTTACTCCGTCTGTTTGCAATCTCTTCCACATTTAACCATATACTCTCTAGTATTTCCAAAGCTAAATTATCATCATATGACTATAGTTTTCTAAAATGTGCAGAAGCTCCCCTCCCTCAACTACTAAAAAAAGACTACCCTAGTATTATTTTTCAAGGCCCTCAAAATCTGATCTCATCCTACAACTCCCTCCAGCACCCTATGCTCTAAGTGAAAAATTACACTTCCCACCACTATCTTTGAGAAACCATACAGTACGGGACAGAAAACAAAAGATGATAAGCAAATGCTTATTGGTAGCTGGAAAAGGGGGGAAAAATGTCTGCCAATAATTTTACTATTTATCCTGGGGAAATTATTTATCTGATTCTAAGTCAATAAGACAATAAAGCAAAATTGAGGTCATCACTAAAAATAATCAAGCCAAATGAACTTTCCCCTTTTTTGTTTAAGTAACGAGAATGATAATTTATGAATTATTTACACAGTGTGCTTAAAATGGTAAAATGAGGTTTTAACAGCTTAAGATGTCAACTTGGAGAAAAGCATCTAGGGAATAACTTTCACTCCTTATTTCAATAGTATGTCACCTTCAAAATCTTTCTAAATATTGAATGACAGTAGAACAGATACTTACCAAATACCTAATTAGAAAAGCTTCAAGAAATTTTGAAAAAGATAAATATCGAATTAATTTTTAGATGATTTTAATAAGAAGGAAAGCTTGGCCAAATCTATTAAGATTGAACTTAAGGATAAATACAATATTCTCCATGTGAACAAGAGCAATAAAAAACCCAAATTGCCTAAAAGGAAAAAGACAATTTGACAGAACTCAGATTAGTGATTACAAAATACCCATGGGGGATATAAAGTGTAGCATAAGGCCCTGGCCAGTGTGGCTTACGTTGGTTGAGCATCATCCCATGCACCGAGAGGCCACTGGTTCAATCCTGGTCAGGGAATATGCCCTGATTGCAGGCTTGATCCCAAATAGGGTGCATGCAGGAGGCAACCAATCAATGTGTCTCTCTCTCATCAATGTTTCTCTCTCTCCCTCTCCCTTTCACTTCAACATATTTTTTTTTAAGTGTAGTATATGAAATATAGTCAATAATATTGTAATAACTCTGCACAGTGCCAGCTGGGTACTGGAAATATGGGGGGAACACTTTGTATGGTATGGGATTGTCTGGCCACTATGCTGTATACCTGAAACTGATATAAAATAACATTCAATATAAACTGTAATTGGAAAAATTTTTTGTATTTAAAGAAAAAGTCATAGTGCTAGAAACTATGCTACCCTGTGTTGGTCAGAAGTATGTGTCCTGTTTTGAGAGTCATCTTTAAGAAATATATTGACATAATATACAACCATAGGCAATTAGGGTTTGAAAAAATTAAATAAAAATAGCTAATTGTACAGAGATTGTAGAGTATGGGGAAAACGGAAAAGAAGCAGTGTTAATAGTTTTTAAACAAGAAATATCTTGTATATGTGAATTTGGGAGCATAATTCTGTATTTCTTAAGATGACAAAAATTAAGAGCAACACTCTCAGAAGTTATTTGGAGACAAAGTGAGTCAATTTAAATAAAACCGAATCAAGTGCTATCCAACAATGAAAGAGGCTGCCTTCTAAGACAATACACTTCATATAAGAAAGTTCATCAAGCACAGGAGTGGCAAGCACCTGCAGAGACAATGTAAAAAGGACTTTATACTGTGTGGTAGATGGACTGGGTAATTTCTAAGGTCTACTCCAACTAGAAAAATCAGACTCCACCATTCTTCACAGGTAATAAAAGAAAAATAAGAAGGAATTAAAATGGACAAAGAAGTTTAGCTTTAAGACTAAAATTAGCAAAATCTTTCTTTCAGACTCATTTAGTATACTACAGATGAGTGCTTTCGTAGGGTTGCAGGCAGACATCACATACTTTTCCAGTCAATTCCAGACCTGGAAGTATGCTTGTGATCAAATCCTAGTAGGTCAAAACACCCTTACCACAGTATTAATGGAAATTATCTAGAGATGATTACCAGTAAAAGTACTGAAATACAAGCAGCTATGACAAAATGAATCATGAGAACATCAGTAAACTTACCCCCATCAAAATCACAGAATACACCTATCCTCTCAGGAACAGTAACATCCAACGCTTTGACTTTATTGTTATGCTTTGCTGCAAATGTGTTTTGTAGCCAATTGTTGACATGGATACACCAACTAGTGTTTGTCTTTCCTAATTGGTCAAATTTCCCCAAAGTCTTGTATGCTACTCCCACACTATAGGATTTACAATCCTTCTGGGCCTTGACCTCCCAATAATGTTGTCCGCTTTCAATAACAGTGTCTCCTGCAAAAGACCAGAAAGGTAAATTTGACTCTTATCTCTTCCTTAAGAGTCATACAGTTTTGTGCCTATCCCTTGTCCCATAAAATGACACAAAAATCTGATTCAGGATGTTAATACATAGACACTAATTGCAGAGTATCTGCTATAACTTATATACTTATTACAAATTTTTCTGAATATAAAAAGCTTCAGAACTTCTCCTCCTTACTATACCTCAAGAGTTATACTTATATGTGGAACACTATATAAAATGGAGTAAGTTTTAAATATATCTATAATAAGACAATTTGAAAACCTGCCAAAGTAATTAGGCTTTTGGGGGGAGAAACTACAGCAAATACTCCTTCAAAACAGAGGCAGTCACTCCAGCTCTAAGTGAGTAGAAAATCCATCAGTATCACTGTGATAACTTTAATATGAGATAATAAAGAACTATTATTTTTATCCTACCCAACACTGTATATGATTCCCCAGTAAAACGATCTCTGCTGCCTCTTACGGCTGGTGGCCTGGAGCCTACAGATGTCCGTTTTGGAGATGGTGTACCACTTCTATATAAACAGGAACAAAAAGAAAAACAAATATTTTATGTTGTAAATGTTTCATAAACTAAAATTATAAATCACAAAAGGAAATTCTGAAAAGATTTTTTTATTATGTTGCAAAAATAGCACCATTTAATTTTATCTGAATTATTACACAGAGTTATCAATGATAAACACATGTAAGAAGTCATCAACACAAAGCAGGCTGAAAACATTAATATCATGCAGGCTGAGCAAGTCTTACAGAAAGAACACACAGTTGAGATAAGAAACAATGCCAAAATGAGATGAGATACAAAGGGGAAAAAAAGAACTCAAGAAAGATAATGTATTATAGCTTACATTTCTTGCAGTTAACTTTAAATAAGCTTACTACAATGAAAACTAAGTAGTTTGTAAGTAGTATGCATTCTTGTTCTGGATCTTTCCTTCTTAAAAAGTGAAACAGCAATTGCCCAAATCCATGCATTAATGTCAAGTAATAAAAGGCATTTCTCCTACTATAATGGACAAGATCACACTGACCTTCCCTCATATCAAATTACATGGTACGGTAAACTGAACAGCATTAGGCTTTTCACTAACTCTCAACAACTCAAAATAAATCAAATCCCAAAGATGTTTAAAATTTAATATTTCAATAATAATGATTAACAGCATTAAAACAACAAAACATTTATAACTTACCAGTAGTAAAGAAATAAAGGGAAGGCATGGAGAAAAGAAAAACAGACATAACTACTGAGAATGGCAGTTTAAATTTCAGAGAAAAATTAAATAATGCTACCACTGTAGCAATTCCAGACTTATGACCTGAGTACATTTTTGCAAGAAGTACAACAGCTATTTTTGTCCTATGTCAAACATGCCCCATCCCCAATCTTTTTAAAGACACCTTGGCCGCTTAACTATCTGAATTAAGACTCTTTGTTACCTCTACTCTGGATTATTTTACCAGCCTCCTAATGATATTGCTACCCAATTCATTTACTGTTACCAGATAAACTTAACTCTGATTCTCCTACTTTAAAATCTACTGTACTTCCTTACTGCCTATAAACAACTCAGCTTGGCATTTCAGTTTTTCTTGATTTGGTCCCAATCTTCTTTTCTGATCTTTCACCCCTAGAGAACACTATCCAGTTAAATGTAGCAGCTGAAGTGTTCCTTAAACTCAGGCAACCTGCTTCCATGCCTTTCCTCTTACTCCCTCTCTAAATGCAAGTCCAATGCCATACATTCTCTGTTTCCTTGAGAACTAGCCTAAATACCATCACACTCATGAAGGGCTCCCAGATCCTACAAAGCTAAATAAATAACTCTTTGAGTAGTCCAGCTCCAGGCCAAAATCCTATGTGTACTCTTTCAGGCCCAACCATAGGCAATTATAAAGGCTTTTACTGGCAGGCCTGGGGGGAAGGCTGCCTTTCCCACACCAGACCTGGTGCACAGCCAGTTCACTGCAGTTTCTGGAGGGAATTGCACTCCCCTGCCCCTACCCCATGCTCATATTCACATCTGCATTCCTAGCTTAGGCACCTCTATTCAGAGATCCCCTTATAGGTATGGACCCTCAGCTGAGACCCTTTCCACTGCCTCTGCAGGGATCTCTAAGAAGGGGGCAGGGGTGGGGTGGGTGTAATATGAAAACACTTTTCTGTCTCAATACTTTTCTAACACTTCCTGTTTTTCCATCTTCTTGGCCTCAGGTCCATAAACAACAGGATGAGCCCTTTGTTTGGGGCTTTCTCAGCAGTGAGATGATATCCACCATCTGTGATCTGCTGATTTACCTGACCCTCACCTCATTCTGTTGGGGAAAATGGAACACTGAGAGAGCTAGCACCCTTTCCTTTGTGGCCTCTTGCTTATACTACTATAGTCAGTGAATAAAAGGCTTGATTGTTACTTTCAGTTTGGCTCAGTGTCCTAATTCACCACTTCAACACTTGGCAGCTCAGGACATCTTTCTTCCTCTAAATTCCTTTATTCCCACTTACCATTACACATACTCTCCACCTGTATTATTGTTATTTGTATATAGATATGTCTCTCATCTACCTAAGTCAGGGAAAATTTCCTGAAGGCAGGGACAGTGTTTGTTTCTATAAACCCTACAATATTCAGCTGACATCCTACAGTGAACAAATATTTATGGAAAAAATAAATGTATATAATACTCCAGAAGTAGTCTATGTAGAAAATACCCTTAAAAGGAGGGAAGGGAGAAAGAGAAATAATCTATGAAACACTAAATATAATCAGACTAAAAATCTCCAAGTGACCAAATGAAACTTTATAGACTCTATTAAATCTAGCAGCATTTGCACAGCTGGTGTGGCTCGGTGGATTGAGCATCATCCCATGGACTGAGAGGTCCCAGTTCCATGCTCAATTCCCAGTAGGGGGCATACAGGAGGCGGCCAATCAATGTTTCTACATCAATGTTTCTCTCTCTCCCTTTCTCTCTCTCTAAAAAAAATCACTAAAAACTATTTAAATAAAAAACCTAGCAGCATTTTATAATTTATAATGTACTATGAAATCACTTTTGCCAATGAGCAAATAAACTAAAAAAAAAAACAGACAAAGACAATTTTGAAAAGAGAACACATTCTGGTTTCTAATAAAGATATATGGATCTTCAAATTAGCACATTATTACTTGTGTAATTGGAATTGATTCATCTTTCTGGCACTGTCCTAATAATTTAACTAATAACCTTTACTTTTTCTCCTGAGGCTTTCAAAACTGCATGATTATTATAAAATACAGAACACCTGAAACCTGGCTCATGGCAAATACAAATAAAAGCAAAGCTGTAAAGTTAGATATATTTAATACAGCACAACAAGAAAGATGCTAAGTGTAAGTAAATGCCGAAAAAAGTCAGATGAGGGAAAATAATTCAAGAAAGACTAAGCAGAGCTTATTGTTTTGTTATCATAAACAATATAATTGAAATATGCAGCACACTTTAATGCTGTAAATTCGAAACATAAGCTACCAATACAGACAGTCTACACAGAGCACTATTTTAGCTTATGAAGGCAGATGCAATGGCTTCTGCTTACTGGTTAAAGAAAAAAAAAATTTAAAGTTATTCAGCCAAGCTAGATATACTAAGTCCTAGAACTAGACAAAGATCATCACCTTGTATGTCTCTTCAGTGAAGTAACATGGACACTGTCAGATAAAAACAGGCAACTGTTAAAGAGTGCTTTACACCTTAAATTTAACAGCTTATAATAAAATTAGATCAAAAGCCTGATGAGGAAATTCTTTTTTTTGGTTTGCTGTTGTAATTCACAGTGATATTAACTTATTTCAGTTTGAGAAAAATTTTCCTCTGTTAAAAAAGAAAGAGGCCTCACACTTTGAGACTATCTAAGTAAGTCTAACAACAACTAAAGGTCCTAAGCCACTGGTTCATAAGGTTGCTGATGGGGAGCAAGGCACCGGGGTTGTGCATGCTAAAAGCTACCATTCAGGGCGGACTTTCAGGTGAGACTGGTGATCTAAAATTCAGGAACCACACTAGGAACTTCCCTCTAGGCACTTCAAGTTGCTGTAGATATAACTTAAAGAAATGGAACACTGAAATAAAAATGTATACGTAAGAAGAGAATTAGGAGAGAAACTAAGAAAAAGTAATAAAAATGTTAGTGACCAATTCAAGAACTGACCCACAATATTGTTTCACTTCCATGTTATTAACATATCACAAGTCATAGTGATGTACAGAATAAAAATATCATTACATTTTTATAACTTATACATTAAAATGTATGCGTTATCATCAAATAAGAATCAATGTGCAAAACATCTGTCCAGATAATAGATTTAAAGAACTAGCTTACCTGCCCTTGTTCTCTTTTCCTTTCATTTTATTTTCTTGACTTTTTCCTCCAGTAGGATCCCACTCTACATAGGTATCTTCAACTCTCAGGTTCAAATGGGATGATGAGTTATCCAAACTGAAGTTAAGTGCTATAAAAAACATTTCAATTTTGTAAAAATGTAGCATATCTCTGCTTTCTGAAGCAAGCTATCATCACATTTTTTTCCTCCCCAATTTTTCCAACACTATATATGAACAATAAAATCAGATCTGGCTGGGTGGCTAGGTTGGTTGGAGCATCATCCTATACACCAAAGGGTTGCAGGTTTGATTCCCGCTAGGGGCATGTGGAAGGCAACCAATCAGTGTTTCTCTCTCACATCAATGTTCCTCAATCAATCTTTCTCTCTCTCTTCCCCCCCCCCCTTTTCCCCCGTCTATAAAATTAGTAGGGGAAAAAAAACAAATCATATATCCTTGGGTGAGGATTAACAAAAAATAAAGTTCAAATTCCTATATTTAAAGTTTTCAAAGATAAGGCAGTAATTTACTAATTCCTACTTTATTTCCCATTATTATTATTTTTTAATCCTCAACCAAGGACATGCTTAGTAAGAAGAAGAGAGAGAGGGAGGGAGGAGGAGGGAGAGAGAGAGAAAGAGAGAGAAGCATTGTGTGAGGGAGACACATCAATTGGTTGCCTTCTGTACCTGCCCTGACTGGGGAACATACCCACAATCCAGGTATGTACCCTGACCAGGAATCAAACTGGAAACCTTATGGTACACAGGACGATGCTCAACCAATAGATCCACTCTGCCCAGGCTCTCATCATTCTTTACATATCTTATACTACAAGCAAATACAATGTCCTTGCATGGCCATTGCTGTTTCTGCTATTCCTTCTGCTGGAATCTCCATCAGTATACAAAAACCTCAATTCCCTGTTATTAGAATATCAGTTGATTACCAGTTGATTGTTACAACTAGATAGGAAGAGGCATTATAGAATTAAGAATGAGGAGAAAGTGATGTGGTGTAAAAACAATTATAGAGCCTAGCACACATATTTTTCCTGATGCTCTAATACTTAATAATTTCATATTTAAACTCTCAGTAGGTTCAAATTAAGACAAGCATGGAGAAACAGCAGTGAGGGCAGAAGCAAGGGAACTGACACTGCTGAGAGAGCTAGAGATGGTTTACATGACAAGGGGAGAGGGGCCCTACTTAAATGAAAATAAACCAAAAAAACACACAAAACAACACTTTTCAAATTATTTGGTATTTTGGGGAACTAAGTGTACTAACCAAAAAACTTACTCAGGACAGCTAATTAAGGAAATCATTATAGCCTCTCTCTGAAAATGGAGGGTAAATCATTAAAACGTAATGCTGAATAAGGCACAGTTCCTCCTATAATAAATGCAATTCCTAGAATCTCTGTCTTAAATATCATCTTCTAGTTACCAGCAAATCTCTCTCTCTTAGTTGTATCTCCCTCCCAAAGTTCAAACTTCTGGCAATTACTCATTGACGGAATATTCCTTTACAATACGCCATTTCACCTAAGGATTTAGCTGAGGCTTCAGCATGCCTGTGAAGTATGCATCATCAAATAACAAAATATTCATATGGAGAGCCTAATGTTTATCTAGTAAATCAAGAATCCTTTTATCCTCTACTGTTCTGTAAAGAGCACTTTAATTACAACCTGGCATCTGACCCATTGTTAATTGGGGTCTTTATACAACATTCTAAATACAAATTTACTGACCATAATCACTTCTAGTAGTTGTCATGCTATGCAATAAGTTAATAGCTTTCAAAATTGCATGTGAACAGACATGAACTTACAGAAAGAAAAAATAATTCAGCTTTTTAGTAAAAATGGAACTAGAATTCCTTAATAGGTAGGTTACTAAAAAGCTAGGATTAAGTAAAATTGAGACACTGTGCTACCAAGAATGAACTGCCTTATGAAAACAGGGTTAACCTCTATATTAGCTATTAGCTAACTTAATGCATGTGAGGGCATCTACATTTCTGAGAAAGAAAAGTGGATCTAACTCAAAGGTGCCATCAATTCTCAGTTACTTGTTAAAATTCAAAAGCTGGTTTAAGAAAATAAATAAAAAGAAAAAATCCTCAGGCTGTGCTCTAATGTGTCGTATGATGGAGAGAAGGGTGGAGTCAATAGTGGCAGAAAAGGTATCACCCCCCAAGTCACTTGAGATCAGACTTATTAAATACCACAGCACCCAAACAAAAAGACATGTTTCAATCCCAGGGTGTAATCTTTTACCCCTTTCTCTCTCTCTCTCTTTTTTGGATGCTATCCTTTTATGAAACCTCAACCAAGTCTTAGAGGCTAAGGTAACAGGGATAATACCATTTTTTTTTTTTTTTTTTTTTTAAGACTAGCTTTGCCCTGGCTGGTTTGGCTCAGAGGTTAGAGCATTAGCCCGGTGGACCGAAGGGTCTCAGCTTCAATTTCCAGTCAAGGGCAAGTACCTGGGTTGCTGGTTTGATCTCTGGCCCTGGTTGAAGACATGCGGGAGGCAACCAATCAGTGTCTCTCTTCCTCCCTCCCTTCCATTCTATCTAAAAATCAATGGGAAAGTATCCTAGGGTGAGGATTAACAACAACAAAAGACTGGCTTCAATAATGAGTTCTCAAATGTTAGTCCTGTCTCTTATATAATAAGCCCTGTACTATAGCTAGTTACTAGTTTTCATATCTTTAAAAGTCTGTTAAAACAAAGTACCAAAAAACTCAGAATACAGAAATATTTAGAGTTCAATATGCACTGGTGGCTGCTTTCTTGGTATTGTAAAACATTACAGCCATTATCATTGGAGGTCAGAAAGTAAATTGTGATTAATACCACATCATTTACCTTTACAAGAAGTACGGGATAATATAGTTTTAAAATTCTGGTCATAAGGACTTAAGGTTATGCATCACTTTTGACAATTCCAATGACAGAAGATATAGTGCCACATATACTGAGGAGACAGATAATGTTCACTAGTTTCCACATCAAGCACCATAAGTAGCAGAGTATGAAATATTGGTAGACCTCAACTGGAGATATGGAGATAAATATTTAATATCCTTCTCTCCCTTTCCCTCCAGTTCTTTGTTCATACACTTATTTCTATTGGTTGGTTAACAAGAGCTGCAGCAAGCCAAGAAAATTAGTAAACAACTGTTCAACATGTCATTTTTTAAAAATCTGGACTTTTCCTCTGGAGTTCTTGCTTTCATTAATAGCCACTCCAGTGCTATAGAATAACCTTAGAAAATCTGTGACCCATAGCTATTAAAAGACAGATTTTATTCTGGATCTCCCTGAAGCTCAAAATCACTGTTCAGTGGGCCCAGGGTTGAGTTTCGGTCTATCCACACTATGAGAGAGTCCATCTCATAGTGAGAAATATTCGCAAAAACTAGAATTAACTAGTTTTTCTCTACGAATCCTTAGTTTACAAACTTCAATGTAGTATAAATATATACATACCATTGAGATGTACAGATTCTGATTCTGGAAGTAAACCTAGTCAATTATCATCTCATAACTGGAAAGATCTCTATCATTATGACCTTCAAACTGATAAATATCTGAAAAATCTCTGTGTTAAATATGGGAGTTGAAATCTTGGAGTTTTAACTAAATCCAAACTGCTCTCATAGACTCTGCATACCTAGGTTCGCGCCTTCAATAGGGGCTGGCACATAATTTGGAAACAGATTCTTAGTCACACCTTTCCCAGTTAGTTCTAGGTATCATACACAAGTCATTTAACATATTTGAACTTCACTTTCTTCTGCAAAATGGCTATCAATACTATTTATTCTACTTATCTCTTAGTATGGTTTTAACAATCAGATGAAGAATGTGAGAGTGCTTTGTAACCATTAATAAACTATATAAATGTTAGTTTCTACAATAAGATTTAAGAAAACAGAGAGAACCTGAACTAAACTGAAGAGGTACTTCCCCTTTACTGAGCCATAATCCATTCCCTGGGAAAACATGGGACAGACCTCAATGATGTTTATATATTTATACTAAACAAAAATGTGTAAACTAAGCAACCACCTGAGAATGTAAGACTATCATTTCAGTCTCCTTTACCTATCTGAATACCATGATAAAGGAAAATCTAATGTAGTCCTAATTTCTCCATCTTAAAATTCCTATTCTTGGGAATTTGGGGTAGAGGGAGGAGAGATGCAACAATATATAAAACGCTTCCTGTCACAAAGTCTCAGACAACTTCAGATGCTGTTTATTTTATGCTGTATAAATATCTACTGATCTTACCTTTGGTCTCTAAAGTCACTGGGTCAGAACACTCTCCAGCCACAGCTTTGTTACAAGCTCGCACTCTGAAATTCATATACTTGGAATCAAACTTTAAGCCTAAAAAAAATGAAAATGGTTTTCAGACATGAAAAGTAAAGGAATCTACTCTAAAAGTAGGAGTATGAACCTTCAAACACACATTTTTTCCTCTTTGGAACGTTCTCTTTACTTGAGAAGAATATAAATTTATGTTAAAATGGTGATAATGGCCCTGGCTGATTTGGGTCAGCAGCATTGACCTGTGGACCAAAGAGTCGCAGGTTCGATTCCAGTCAGGTGCACACACCTCAGTTGTGGTTCCTCCCCAACACTGGTCGGGGTTGTTTAGGAGGCAACAGTCACGATGTGTCCTTCTCACATCGATGTTTCTCTCTCCCCCGCTCCCACTCTATCTGAAGATAAATAGAAAAATATCCTCGGGTGAGGATTAAAAAAAAAATAGTGATAATGCCTGAAATAATAATAATTTATTTATTTTCTTCAAAAGAAATAAATTATACAGTTTATCAATGAATTTTTTTAAACCTAGTGCTAAGAAGGTACTGTCAAGCCTCATTAAAGGTAGTGTTTCATTCAAAGATAAATGCTAGAATTTAAAATAACATTCAATGTCTGGAAAGTAAACACCCTAAGGAATTATTATATTTATGGAACATTGTCTTATGTGAAAAACAAATTTAAAGATAAAGTGAAGCATAGAGATTAATAACAAAACTCTGAAATTAGTCATGTCTAGATTAAGATAGTCAAAAAATTACTAGCTATTGGACTTTCAACAATATGACAGATCCACAGTTTTGTATTTGTAAAATAGAAATAATAAAACCAACCTCATAATTATAAATATTAAATGACATTGTACTGTAATGGTTAAATGATATGTATTGTGTAATACATTTTAGCCCAACTCCTAAAATGTTAAGTGTTCAAAAATGGTAAAGTTACTAATATTACTGATCATGCATAAGAAGCATTTAACAATGCAGGCAACATTCAGCCATTTCAAATACGCAAAGTTCCCCTATATATGGAGATATCTTTTTAAAGACTTTCAAAAGGCCAACAAATTTTTAATACCAAGTCACGGTTCTACTTTGAGTATTACTGTGAAGATAATCATAAAAGGGTAAAGGCCACAATATTTGTGGAGAAGTGTGTACATCTAGAAAATTGACAGCTTTTTTGTTAGAAAACTAAGGTAAAAGTCAATGTTATTGTGAAATATTGTTTCCAGAACATCCCTTCATGTTTGTTTACATACCATGTTTACCAGTTTGCAAATACCCAGAAGTAATTTCAATGAAGGTTTTCTGATATTTTAAAAGACATTCACTTCTATAATGAATATATAAAGTCACTTGGCAAATTAAACTTAATGTTAATTAAACTTAATATTTTTCACAATTATATTTATTTTCTGAGAAAGATTCATGAAATGCAATCTTTTTACCTGATAATGTATATTCAGTACCCTTAATATTATCAATTATCTCCCAGCATCGCTCATCCTTTACACGTGGAAGTCCATCAAAATTAGTTTTCCTATATTCCAGTATAAAATGGTCAATCTTATTATCTTCTTCTGCCATTCTCCAAGCTACTGTTACAGAGTTGTCAGCCACCAAACACTCTACGGGATCTATCTCTGGAGCTTTGGGGACTGAAGGAAAAAAAAAAGGCTCATTTCTCATTTATTATAGTACTAATCCAATATTTATGTCTGTCATTCAAACTATGGTTTTTCATGTTGCTTTTGAACTATTCAATTGAATTAGGCTAAGAGAAGAGATATCCTATAAATGCAATATATTTTCAAAGCTCTGTTTAAAAATTCATGTTTAAAAATTTTTTCATAGACTTATTCAAAGTGTATTAAATCCTCATACACAAAATGCAATTCAAACACGCTAAGAAAAAAGAATCAAGAATAACTTGTTACCTCTCAACATGTACTTTTAATCTATTTAAAACAGCTGTAGAATAGACATTAAATCACTATTGAGGAAATAAAATAACTTGCTCTGAATCCAATAATTAAAATAATTCAAGATATTTTCAATGTGTTTTCTAAATCTTGTTTATAAAAGAACTGTAATTTCTCAGCACTAAACAAAAATGAACTCCCCAACCCTCCAAATACTTAAGAATTTTAAAAATGTTTCTTTGAAGAGTTCTATGACTCATTAACATAAATTGGGATAAATGAGCCACAATCAACATGTATGAAGATTAATCCATTTCTTTCCCATCAAAGAGACTTTTCCATAGCTCCTAAACATTAACAGATGTTTCATTTATATAACAGGCTAATTGGAGAACATGGTCCTCCACTGATACAGATAGATGTGTCTAAAATGTGTGAAACCATGCAGGTATAGTATTTAAACATTTTGTCACTGAAAAAAAGTTTTAAAAGATTTTCTCCAAATATGCAAGGGTGGTTCAACATTTTCAATCAATTAATATAATCTATCACATCAGAAGAAAAATCATATAATCATATCAACAAAGAACATTTGACAAAATCCAACCACTCATGACAAAAATTCTCAGCAAACTAGGAATAGAGGGAGGCTTTACTTGATAAAGAACATCTACAAAAACCTATAGTTAACATCATACTTAATATGTTGAGAAACTAGGTACTTTTCCCCTAGGGCAAGGATCCTCTTACTACTCCTATCCAACACTGTACTGGAAGTTCTAGCTAAATGTAGTAAGACAAGAATAGGAAGTAAAAGGTATCTAGATCAGGAAGGAATAAATAAAACTGTCTTTGTTTGCTGATAACATAATTATCTATGGAGAAAACCCCACAGAATCAATGAAAAAAATCCTGAAACTAGCAATGATACAGGATATAAGGGATGAACCAGCAGAATACTGGAAAATTTTAGGGCAACAAAACTATTCTGTATGATAATGTTATGGTGGATACATGTCGTTATACATTTGTCAAAACCCATAGAACTGTATAACACAAAACAGTGAACCCTAATGTAAACTATGGGCTTTAGTTAATAATGATATATCAATACTGGTTCATCAATGATAAGAAATGTACATACTAATGCAAGATGTTAATAGGGGAAATTGCAAGTGGGGAGGAGGAAAGTATATGGTAAACTCTCTGTTTTATCTGCTCAATTTTCCATAGAGCTAAACCTATTTTAAAGAACAAAGTATTAATTTAAAAAAACACAACAATAACAAAGAAATTATATACAAAAATTAAAAGGCAAAGCAATATGAGACCTAACAAATAACAAAGTAAATATCTTGAATAAAAGAATCAAGAAGAAGAAGAAAGGAATTTGATATAAATTTTAAATCTTTAAGTCTAACTAGTAAGAAAGGGTGGGAGGAAGAGAGGTGGGACAATTGATCTCCACTAATGATAGTCTCCAAAGTTCAACTCTTATATGTGTGTAATTGTACAATAAATACTTGGAATCTGATATACTTTAATAGTAAGACAACAACCAACCAAAGAAATACTTAACATCTGTCACTGATTAATTTCCTTCCTATGTCTTGTGAGTTATTGTCTCTATAATATACATAACAGATGTTAGTCTCTATACTAGAACATAAGCAATACAGACTACTATTCATAGCCAAGAGAATAGACCATAGACATTCATGAATTTAATATACTCTATATTGCCTACATGTGAGGAAATGTAAAGGCCTACTTGGCATGTAGTAATTTTATAATTATGCCTAGTCAAAAATGTCCTAAAAGTCCCAAGAAGCTGGTACAAAGAGAGAGTCACTTAATTTGTAACTGGGTCTGGCTAACTCTCCACTATATACATCTCTATTCAGCTACCATTCCAGTAAGAATGTACTGGCAAGTAGATTCTTCTTTCTTATGAATAGTGGCCGCCAAAAGAAAGCAAACTGCTAAACGTAGTAACCGAGGTAAAAAGAAAAATCCAAGAAAGTGGTGATACTTGAGAGGGAAAAAGAAAATTTAGGTGATTTAAGAGCGATAAGTCAAATTAAGGTTGACTTGGATCTAATAAGTGGGAAGTTCACCCAAGATTCTATGCAGAAGAAAGAGTTCATTAATGAGGAATAAAACTTCAGGGAAAGATGAAAGGGGGTGAAGAATTTTACTAAGGTTTTCTCCGCATGTGAACGTAAAAGTGCAAGTGGCATCAATACTGCCACAAACATGTTCTCTTTTTAGCTGTAGAAGCTCAGAGAGGAGACTATAAACTCTAACTTTCAATATATATTTTCTTAATGGCTTAAAGTAGAAGAAAATGACCTTGAAATTATCCATCATCACTTTCATTTTTCAGACTCAGATAAGTCCACAGCTCATGTACTATATATAACACAGAGTAGAGTTGATTTTTGTGGTATCTATAGAATGAATTACTAAGAGATAAAGGTATTCATTTTTTACCTAATCTGACTGTATTTTATAAGAAAATTTTATGCTACAGCAGAATATAAAACATTGGTAATATGAATTCATCTTTCATAAACTTTAAGAACCTACTATGCTTTTCTTTAGGGATGAAATTCCTCCCCAGGATTTTTTGTTGTTGCTGTTGTTTTATTATACCTCATTCTTTCAAACTATATTAACAGTTTGCCAAAAGAAGAAATCCTAATTGTGCATGCCATTTGCTTGACAGTAGGCCTGGCTTGGTCTGTTAAGAGCCCTGGCTGGTGTGGCTCAGTTGGTTGGAGCATCATCCCATACACCAAAACATGGCGGGTTCAATTCCCAGTCAAGGCACGTACCCAGGTTGCAAGTCGGATCCCTGGTTGGGACCCATGTGGGAGGCAGCGGATCGATATTTCTCTCTCTCCCTTCCTCTTTCTAAAAATCACTACAAAATTTTTTTCAACAATATTACTGAAAACCCAAGAGAAAGAAATGGTGAGAAGATAATTTTTTAGTAGTTTAAAAAAATAATAACTAGTGTACATTCATAATCCACCACTCCTTATTCTCCTTCTAACTTTAGAAGTAGTATGAACAGTAATATAATGGTTAGCAAATCTGAAAGGCCAATTTACAGGTAGATATGCACTGACAAGTATACTTTCTTCCTCTACAACTATGATTCTTTCTCTTGTCTATAAACTTCTAGAATTTCTGATCTGTACCACACATGTTAATACTTCACTTGTGCTACCCTTCCTAGGTCCATTAGTTTCATGACTACTAACCTTGTCTTTCCAATCATATTTTAAATCCCTGACCAAATATTCAGAGAAGAATGGTTTTGTATCAAACATTCTCTATTCAAAAACAGCTAACCTCTAAAAACAAAAAGCCAATTAAGTAAAACACTTTCCTTTCAACAGATTTCCTGATCCCCCAAATCACCATGTCCAGATTGTTTTAGCTATCAACTTAACATTACTTGATGCTAGCTAAAAAAAAGAATACTAATAACCAAAAGGTCTTTAATTGACTTTTTCAAACATGTGGACAAATAATTTGGGACTTGATTTCAAATGGTTTTGGTTACTGAAATATCCTCATGCTGATACTCTAAATAAATCAATGTTAAGATATTATTACTGGAAATAAAATTCCATCTGACCCAACCACCACCACAACAAAAATGGTAATGACAGTAGGTAACATTCACTGAGTGTTAACTGTGTTTTAGAGATTTCAACTCATTCAATCCTTATAAAAACCCCAGAAGGATAACATCACATTTTAAAGATGAAGAAAATGAAACAAAGTTAAATAATTTGTTTAAGATTATACAGCAACTAAGTGGCAGCCAGGATTCAAATCTCAGAAGTCTGGGCGCAAGACCCAGTGTTACACTAGGGTGTACTGCTGTCAAACTAATGATAAAACATATTCTTCAATGGGATTCTTAAAAATGAAATTTTAACTACCAGTAAAATAATTCTCTAAAGCAAAGACTAGCAAATTTAATTACTCCTTAGCTGAATAAAGAAAAAAAGCATGCTATACTTCTTATTCCAATGTTCATACAGAAAAATCTTGTAGAAAAAATATGTATATGTAACTTCACATATAATATATGCCCTTACTTACCTGGCAAAAACGTCAAAGTCTGCAACATCTGTCTTTCCTGAGAAAAATCCACCATTAAATGAGTCATGTTGTCACTGACCTTTGGTTTCAAAGAAAGGCGAAAGGCTGAAGCCATTGTTACTCTACGGCAAACACAAACATACTTTTACAAATAAAGGAATGAGAAATTTTATATATTTAATTTATAAAACGAGAAGACAGAAATTATTTCACTCTAGTGATTTCAGAAACTATAACAAAGATAACAAAACTAAATAGAAATTTGCTTAGTCTTTAAAAATTAAAATAAAAAACTATAAAACATTTTAAAATATAAAAATATTTAAGGTAACTTTAAGGAATTTTCCTCCAGCCAGTTTTATAAAACTGCATACAAATACAACAAGTATCACAAGAGACAAATATTCAGTATAAATAATCTTTAACAGACCCAACAGACATCTAAACCTCTGTACACTCAATCTTACTGACTTCCTGATGCCAGGCTCCCTCCTTTTCATATGCCAAATAATGAACTGTACATACACCATGATTCAAACACTCTCCCTAGTAGTAACAGCTACTCCATATATCCTCAAGTAATAATAGAGGTACACTAAGCAAATACTGTGTAGCTTGTTAGCTGCTAAGGATAGGCCATGGATGAGAAAGGAAAGACGTGAAATTACTCTGATATCAGCTGCATGGAAGGATACAGGAGAAACAGCTGTGAAACCACATGCCACAGAAATAACAGGAGTTCAATACATAATTATTAGATGAATGTGGTCTACATAAACAAAAGAGAAAGAACCTATACCAGACCTCATTTCATTCACAGTATGGGGAAACTATTCTGTCAATTAAAATAGGGAAGAAAAGAAATTATCATGTTCTATTAATTTGTCATTTTATCTCAAATTTCAGTTTTTCATATAATAAATTTCCACAAGTATCACAAAGTAACTCCCTTTATTATCTCTTGTCAAAGAACAATACAACAGTAATATTCATGAATGTTGTCCTCCTAGTGCACAATTTGGGAGATGAAGTAAATAGAGCTGGAAGAACAAAGAGAATACCAGGCCTAGTCATTAAGATCTGCCAAATCTATCCTAGAATCATTGGTATAAAAGATATCAAACTTGTTGCTGTATTCATTATTTTAGGATGAAAAATATCTGTTGCTGTATTCAGATACTTTATTTCATTTTAAAACTAGGAAAGTAATCACTTTATTTAGAAACAAAGTTAACTGATCTATATCAAGAAGAAAGTGCTATACACTGAAATACAATTTATGGGGAAGGGAACTCACTGAGTATTTCTCACATACTATTTTAAGCTTCTGTTTCTCAATGATAAAATTTCAGATTATATCAATAAAAAGTTAGGAACAAAGGTTAAGTCTTACATACTTTGTTCTTTTACAGCTCCTAGTATCTTTTGATTCGAAGACTTCTGAAAGAGCTATATTCAGAGAGGTACTTAGTAAAGACACATAGAATCAATGAATGGTTTGAACTTACTTAATTGCTTCTAAACCTGATTAAGTGCATTTTTTAACTATTGAGAAAAATATCTGAAAGTATATTAGGGAATTTAATTCTGAAACTTTATCTGCAAAAATTGATTTAATCACTAAGGCTTCAAAGAAAAAGAATGTTCCCCCCAGGTAGTCCCAGAGACATGGAAGTGGGGTACAGACTGACAATCCCCAGAACAGGAGGTGGTGGGGAAGAGATAAACCACAGAACTTATATGCATGTATGCATGAACAAAGGTCATAGACAACAAAGCTGGGACAGGGCAGGGAGAGAGGGGGAGGGGGAGGAGGAATCAGTGGAGGAAAAAGAAACATCTGTAACAAAAATAAATTAATTAATTTAAAATAAATAAATACAATAAAAATATAATAAAAAGAAAAGAAAAGGTTTGGGGTGGTGGTGGCAGCATGTTTAAGACAACATTAGCAGGCAGGAGGATTTTGGAATAGGGAGGAGGGGATCAATGGGAAAAAAGGAGGGACATCTGTAATAGTTTCAACAATAAAAAAGACAACACTAAATAAATAAATAAATAAAATAAAACATGGTTAAAAAAAAGAATGTTCCCTCCAAAAAGCAATAGAAAGGTCTATCAAAGCCTAAAAAAACAAGAATAATGACATTCATTTTCTAGTCAGTGAAAATTTCAGTCTCCATAAATCAAGGTAGATGTACAACGCTATAATCTTTCAAAAGACTGAATATATTTAGACAATTGTGCTTCAAAGCCCAAACTAACAATTTAGAAATTCATAATTATATTATAGGATCCATGTTGTTGCAAATGTTTTAATACACCCTGACTTTCTTGATTTACTTCTAATAGTAAAGCTGAATACAAGGATCACTTCTACATTTTATTTTTGCAAAGATACAACATATAGATGGACGTTTTGAATTTCCTCACCTCCCTACTTATTAACTTGACCCTTCCTTTCATGACCCCTTTCTTCAAGAACCAGTCACTCCTACAATATACCTCAACTAATCACCCTCCAACATTACTAAGCCCCAGAAGTGCTTTGTAAAGATGCAGAGATCTGTTATGTATTATCTCATTTCTGTCGTCAGTGCTTCCTGTCACTCTCGCTATTCCTCCTGATTAATTTCTGTCATATGAAATGATAAATACTGAGTTCTCACAGATACTTTCATTTTTATATATTTGATTCCTTGTTCAGGTATGTTACATACTCTTCCTTAAAATACCATTTTCAACCTCATAAGGGCATAATCCTCTCTTCCTTCAGTAAAAATAATTATTTTATTATGACTATATGTTTAAATTATCTTTATATTATAAATTACAATAATGAAATTCTAGAAGCTTGCTTCCTGAGCAAGTACCTAAAAACTGTATAGGAGAAACCTGGACAAAATTAAACCAAAACCCAGAAATGTTCTGTAAGTAGGAAATAAAAATTTTGTGGGGAATCTAAACAAAAGTATAGGCTCTGAAAAGCAAAACAAAACAAAAATATAAATGGAATTTGCCCCTACAGAAAAAAGAAACCTTGACTCCTGAGATCACTTGGACAGTGATGAAATGAAGTCAAGAGGTTGGGCTAGAAGAGGGAAAGAAATCAAGTTTCACTGAAGAATACATTCAGCCATGAACACTGATCATAACACTAAATTCTGACATATAAATCTGGACATCGAGAAAGAGGTCAGGGGTAAGGACAGAATTCTGGGAAGTACAAAAACAACAGAGATTCTTAGGAGAAGAACAAGGGATAATATTGCAAGGTCTCTCACAGTCTTTGGAGAGCTCAAAGCCTGATTAGGAAGTGATTTCTATTCCAGATAATGAGACCAGAGCAGGATTTAGTGGAGTAGGTGGCTAAACAGAAGAATAATCCAGCCAGGGCACAAGATGGATCACTCACAGTGAATTCCAGCAGATACAACCCCAAACTACCTTATCCAAAATACTACCTGTCATCCATTCCTCAAACAACCAATACTTTTACCATCACATTCTCATAATCTCCTTTCTACATTTAGGATAAGAATGATCCATGTCTTTAACCAATCCCTGATATCAAATTATACAAAAAGTATAAAAATTAATATCTGTGCTCAAAGTGTTATTACTACCATGTGAATCTTGCCTCCAGTCAACCATAAGAGAAACACAGAATTGAAGTCTTCAACCAAGATTAACATTAGAGACACTGATTTTCACACAACCTATAATGAATAATTTTGTAAATTATCTGATGAAAAATAATTTCATCTAGGATTCAGAGTGGTGATTTGAAGAGCTGTGCCTTTCAGAGACTCTCATAATCCTGAAATGAAGAAACCTAAGTGATCTCACTATAGTCAATGAGCAGTGAGTAGCCTGACAGATCAGAACCATCCCTTCTGTGGTAGCCCAATCCGAAATTGCCAGCAGCTCCTTTAGCCTTTTGGTATATTCATTACAGCAAGTACTCAATGTCCTGTCTTAATCCTGACTCTATCAATGAGAAAGACCTTTTAAACTAGAGTCTCATTATTTTCCTTAATATTCTCTTCCCATAAACTAGATAGCAGTGGCATTAGAAAGAGAAAGAGATGGCACCAGGAACAGGACGGAATGAGAATACAAAGGTGTTAAACAGGAGAGCAGTGAAGGAGAGCTTTAGCTCCTGAGGACTATTTAAAATGCTGTGACTTCTCAGAAAATAAGACATGCTTATAAAAATTTTAAGTACAACAAATACATTCTAGGAATATGTATTTTTTAATTATTTAAATTGATTCCTCATCCATTAGCATAGTTAATTAAGAACTGTACTAAAACTAACTATAGTATACCAGAAATGAAATTCTTTTGGAAGTACATAATTGTCCACAACTATGGTTTTAATAAATCTTGCTAATACATTGCTTATTCCTGAAAATATGCAGAAGACATTTTTTTTGGCGTACTTGACCATTAAAAAGTTTTGTTTTAATTGAGATTCTAGTAAGAATCTGTTCTTGAATTTCATTTCTGATTTCAATATCAACACTTAAATAAAAATGTAGGTTTTATTCCATACCTATCCTTGATCTGTCTGGCAGCCTTGGAACAAATCAGGGAGGAGAGAAAGAAGGCAGTTAGTGCTTTTCATGCAAGTTTCAATGGCAGTGACATGCAAGAAAAGTTAGGATATAAACCCTGGAACAGATTAGTTCATATTCACCAAAACATAAATTATAGGAAATGTGTACAGTCTGCACCAGCGTGCACAATGTGTGATGTTAGAACTACAGTAGAAAATCTAGACCCCATAATAATCACCTTAAAAGGAGGGGAACTGAACACTTCAAACTAAAACCAGATGACTACAAATGCTTTTTTTTTTTTTCTTACCTTTAGATTATCATCACACACCTCCACTTTCATTCAGTCTGACATTCTTCCACTAGAACAATCACTCTCCTTCATGGAACACACATTTCTATGCACTCTGATGGTTTTCTTACACATTTCAAATCTGCTCTCCAATTTTTCTTCAGAGATCTCTTTCACCACTTCATAATGATTGTTCCAAGTTTTCTCTATATGCCTTCACTGGACAAAGACTGTATTCTGAGAGTTTGCCTGCTAACATATAAAAGTAGGCTGCAGATCTACAATCCTTTACCCCCAAAGAATAAGTTGTAATGGCAACAATTCAGACTAGGAGAAGCCAAAGAAATAGTTTGAGCAATGGGGTCTTTCCCTCAGATGACTTCATAGAAGCTGCCAACTTAAACCTACTCTACATTAAGATCATCTTCTTTTCTTTTTCTTTTTTTTTGAGAATGCTAGCGTAAGTTTAAGAAGGAGACACAGCTATTACTTGGTTACAGTCAGAAAAATAATGACAATGCAAGTAAAAACTGTTGTCCCTTTTGCATTCACATATGATATAATATATCCAACAAAAGTTTTTTCCCATATTGACCAGCATAATTAATGATACATCCAATGGAGACTATAGCTGTTTTCCTCAACACTGCGTCCCCAGTGTCCAACATTAAAGCTCAGCACACAGTAATATTTAATAATTATTAAATGTAACTGAGCATTAAATATATATAACAATGCTTCTATTGCCTCTCTTCTTCAGTTCTAATATTGTTCTATTAGTCATTTTTATACACATCCTAAAATATTCTGGTCTGAGAACCTTTCTATACAAAAGAACAGAATTACAATTTCGATCAGTATGTTATATAATTCCAGTGCTATCATAATCAATTCTGTGACCTCATGTACTAATCATTCTACTTCTTTATTAAGGGATGTGGGCCCTTAATGTTTCTAAAGATCCCTTTCAAGCCCTACATTCTGCAGCAGACAACTCAATTCTGTGGCATCTACAGTATGTTCCTTAAATCATGACACTACTTTGGTAGTAGGGATAATAAATGTTACAGTAGTCACAATGACTTTTTAACAAAAGAAATAATGTCATTATAGCTGGAATTATAAACCAAAAGATATTAATACAAGTGTCATGGGAGGGGAAGAGGAGACTCCTCTGCACTTGATGTTTCTTTACATACAGAGAAACTTCTATCATTATTTCCTCAGCCTTTCTGTGCCCTCATTTCTCCTGGGGAGGTAATATGACTGAATCTAATTATGACTTTGAAAGGAGAAACTAGAAATAAGTAGCTCAGCACCTTTTCCTTTTTCTGGCAGCTTCTTTACCCACAGAGAACATATATTCTGTTTTTTTCCCTTGATAAAGCAAGTTTCACTGAAACATCCTCCCTGACACAGACACCAGAGTTATCTCCATACTGAGCCTACCTGGGTGGGTAAATCTAATTCAAGGATTCAATATTAGGAAAGCTTACCCATTGCTATAAGCCAAATTCTCCAATACCATTGTAACAGTATTTGGCCTCTTATCAGCTTTATTATTTTATTTCCTAACTAGTTTAGAACTTGGTTAGAGGATTGTTACTAACCAGTCACTCTCAAATAACCAAACAACAGAAAGACCATTACTGTTTCTGAAACAGTCTATAATTATTCAATTTTGTATCCAGTGTTACCTTATTTAGTAGGGTGCCATTTTTAGTGTGCAAGTGGACCCATGTATACAGGCATGTAAAGTTTTCATGTTATCATTTAATGTACTAGGCTGTTTGTTACAAACCAGAAAAGAAATAGATGAAAAGCCAGCTAACTTATGAAAAACTGTTATCCCATGTACATATATAAATATACTCAGTTGGTAAAACTGGAGACTCAGTGGTTCCTCTTTCACTTAGGCTCAAATTTTATAGAGCATACACTGTGTAAATGCAAGAGGGGTTGAAAACGTTATTCTGTCCAATGAAAGTCTCAAATTCTAAAAATATTTCTCTAAAAGGGCCCAATGTAAAAAAAAACTCTTAAATGGGAAAATAGGTTGTTTAATTTTTTTCCTGGAATTTCTTCTCCCGAAGCAGAAAGCTATCCAAAAGATTCACATTACAATGTTGCTTGATTCCTGTAAGTTTCTATTTCAACTGTGATACATTTTGTCAATTCAACATCTCTGCTTAATAAGTACCAACTGATCCCATCATTTACCTCAGCTCTGTCTCCAATACATTTATTTGCAACTACATAATTCCACTTAGTGAGTTATGAAGAAAACTCAGTGAATGCTTAGATTTCTAGGTTATGATACTGTATATTACTGGAAAGCCTTCAAGAAGTATCAGCCATATTATTTTGCTCAACATGTATTTTCTATTTCGATTTCAATCACTATTTCCATTTCAATCTTCTAGTGAAATATTGTTTGCCAACACGTGGTTTCCCTCTGTTCATACCAGAGATGACTCCTTTCTCTCTCTTTCATTCCCTTTCTCCATTTCTCAATTTTTTAAAAATAAATCTTACAATTCTGATCTTTATTTTATCAGTTATAGTAATCTGTCACCTAAGACCAAACTTCCCTAAATAGAATTGTAGTCAGAGTACAATGTAGTAGAATCACAAATGGTTCTTCATAATTACTAATTAAATGTAAAGAAGTTAAATCAGATTGTTTCCCAATGTCTCTTGTTTTTAATCTGAAATTAGTGAATATAGAAACTATTTTTTTCCATGACTTTATCCAGCCCTTTGAATGTTAATATATTATTGTATCTATATGCCTTCTTAATATTGTCATTTTTCTCCTTTTATAGAAAGATGCCAGAAGCAAAGTACTCTAAAATAATTCTATTTATGGAGCAGCTATATTAAGTAGCATTTTCTAAACACAGTTAAAAAGGAAGTAATAAAATGAAGTTTCAGATCTTGTTTATTAAACTCAGTAAATCATTTCTGCCAAACAGAAACATTTGAGATTTCAAAATTTCTTCCCAATCAGCAGAAAAATTGAAACTTGTCAGCAAAAAAAAAGCAATAATCAAAGTTCAAGAGATCTGAGTTTCAGCCCATCACATTAACTAGCAAGTCACTTAACTCTTATAAAATGGTGAGCACTAAGATATCTTTGAACCCTAAAAGTCGATCCTAAGCCATGTGATATGTACATAATAACTTTTAAAAAATTATCCAAAATGAATTAAACATTTAATAATCAAATTATCTGAAATACAGGCTGAAATGGAGAAAAATGCAGCAAAGAACAAGTTAGTTAAAATCACAGAACAATGATAAATAGCAACAAAAATAAGAACATAACTGTTTCTGAATGATAATTGCTGAGAGAAAAATATACTAATCCTGTCAAAAGAATGAATCTAGCAAAAGCTAGATGTCAAAATTGACATTTGCCTAAAAGGATTATCTTTGTTTTGATTTGCAGTAAGGCCCAATAGAGTCCCTAGTAAAAATATGAATGCCACACAATACTGAGAAACTTTTCAGATTTTGTCTACATGTTCACATTGTTTTATACTTCAAAATTTTCCACTAGATTTGGGACAAATAAGTTTGTTCTGTTTCCTTGAGACAATCTGAAAATGTGTAAGTGGCAAATATTTAATACATTTTCAGTACTTTTTGATAATATATAATTGAGACTTCTACTCTCACCCCCAAAATACCATATTAAGAGAATAACTTGGGAAATCAAATGGACTCAGTCACAGAGAGTGAAGAGAGATGTGGAATCTAATGAATAAAATAAACTGAGGGTGGTTGGCTGAGGTGGAAGAGGGCATTGAGAGGATAAATGGTGATGGAAAAAATTTAATTAAAAAAATAAACACTGCATACTGACTGATTCCATACATTAGAAGTTTTGTGTGTGTGTGTGTGTGTGTGTGTGTGTGTGTGTGTGTGTGTTTTAATCCTCACTTGAGGGTGTGTTTATTGAGAGTGAGGGAAGGAGGCAGGGAGGGAAGAACATTGATGTGAGAGAAACATCCATCAGATGCCTCCCATATGCACCTTGTTGGGGATTGAACCTGCAACATAGGTATATGCCCTGACGGGACTGAATCCGCAACCATTTTTTGGTGTACAGGGTAATGCTCCAACAAACTGAGCCATCTGGCCAGGGCATACATACATCAGAAGTTTTTTATTTTCTATATAAATCTGTTTATAATAAGAACTAATTTTTAAAAATACAATCATTTAAAAGTCTTCTTCAGTCATAATAACTTGAAATAAACTTTGAATACAGTACCGTGTACACATGACATATGACTAATGATATTTATATAATAGACTACATTTTTATAGAACATAAACACCCATAAATGAATAAAGGGGGGACATTATAGCTTGCGCTATTCTTAACAAAATTTAGATTTGTTTTTAAATTGCCTTCATAACTGAAACATTCACACTTTGGTTAAAGGTGCTCTCCTCTCCCAGCACTCCTGACTTTGGCCCAGAGAAGCAGCTTCTGCGGATGCTTCTGCTCCTTGAAAATACTGAGTGAGCTTCCACCCTTCTCCTTATTTGCTGCTCCCAGTGGTCAGAGCCTGACATTCACTGAACACTATTCAAAGGGTTGTGAGTCAGAAGTGGGAAAAACACAAAACCTATTCTCCCTTTTCATAGGTGATCAAATGTAGAAGATATTGCTGCCCTGGCTGATTTGGCTCAGCGGTTGGAGTGTCGGCCTGCGGTACAGAGAGACCCGGGTTTGGTTCCCGCTAAGGGCACATACCTCGGTTGCAGTTTGTCCCCGGCCCTGGTTGGTCGTGCGGGTGGCAGCCACTCGATGTGTCCCTTCACATCGATGTTTCTCTCTCTCTCTCTTCCTCTCTCTCCCTCCCGCTCTATCTGAACACAAAATGGAAAAATGTCCTCGGGTGAGGATAAAAATAAATAAATAAATAGAAGATATTGCTTCCCTTCTGCCTTAGTCTGTACATTTTATTTCACTGTAGGACCCTGGGCAGGTAACTAGTCCATCCTTTCTAGTCTGACAAGTGGGTTATGCGTGGCAAGATTGTGATTGAAATGGCTGCTTAGGATATCCACTTGGAAACTGTCCCACAGACTCAGCTCTTGAATTCAAGTTCTAAATTCAGGGGATGGGGAAAGATAGGAACATTAATTTTGGCAAGGGACCAAAGTAGTGTTGTGCAGGCCACCTATTAGCAGAGGACCCAAGTTTGGTGGTGTTTTGGCTACTTGTCCATCCAGAAATAAAGCTAATGATCAAATCTCATTTGCTGGTGATCTTTCTGCATATATTTACTACCAAACTTTTAACAATCTAAAAAAAGTAATAAAAGTATGCTCTAAAATCTTTTTCCATTTGTCGTATTTTTCATGCTTACTTTCAGACTGTCTAATGCTGGTAAATAGCATAGCTTCATATTCAGTTCTCATGTTGAGGTATAACAATGTGATCATTTAAGTATCAGTACTTAAATTCTCTTTTTGAAGATAATGAAGTTTTAAAAGACTCATGGTCTGGATTTTAGCCCATGACATTTTTTTTGTCCCCATGAACTATTCATATTAATTTGATTTAATCACTTTATTATTGAAAATTTTTATTTATTGATTTAAAAGAAAGAAAGGGAAGGGGGAGAATGGAGGAAAGGAGGACAGGGAGGAAGGGAGGGAGGGTGGGGGACATTAATTTGTTGTTGCACTTATTTATGCATTCATTGGTTGCTTCTTATATATGCCCTGACTAGGGATCGAACCTACAAACTTGGCATGTCATGAGGACTCTCTAACCAACTGAGCTACCTAACCAGGGCTGATTTAATCACTTTAATATGAGATATTCACAAAAGTATGTATACCTTAGAAGAACTTCTTTTTCCAAACATCTGACAATATACTGCTAGTCCAATAGTTAATATTCAAAGTCATCTTTCCCTATTCCGTCAGCATTAGGTGTTTGGGGCAAGCCAGTAGTCCATGCAGCTGGCTAGGAAAGTGAAATTAGGTTCTCACTTGGAATCAAACTGCTATCTGGATACTATTTGGATATACTCAGAAAATAATTGCAAGCAACTCTCAGTCAGGTGTTTTTCTTGAATAAGAAACTAGATTTCTGGCTAAGAAACACTGACAATCTAGTTCACCACAGTTCCAAATGGTTTAAGCTCTTAAGCAGTACTGCAAAATGCTGGAAGACAAAACCCAAATTATAAGGTGAGAAGCCAACTGGCACATTAAGAAAATACACTTAAACCACAATGTGATTTATTTTATCAGAATCTTTCCAATTTATAAATAGCTGGGAACAGTTTTAATTAACAAAGCTGGAAAGAATGAGAAAGAGAGAATGGTAGCCTTTGAAAGGAAGGGGAGAGAAAGACTCTGAAAATGCCAATGAAAAGAGAAACTTGGAAAAAACAAACTTTTATCACAGTTTTTCCAAGCATTAGTCCCTATTTGAATGCAACTGGATTCAAGTTATTTTTGAGTACTTGTGATGGTTTTCCTGTCTTCTTCCTCACTCTCAAGCTCTCAGCTATTAAATATTCCTGCTCTCATGATTGTGCCTGTCATTAACAGCTGCCCTACTCCACTAGAAGGGGACTCTTGACAAGAGGGAAACAGAAAGAAAAAAGCTAAAAATTTTAGTACCATGTACATATTAATAGTGAACATATTCTGAGAAACTATCATGAATAGAAGACATAACTCTTCCCCATGAACTCAATGACACTGATTTTGATGACTCCGACATCTTTCGCTTTCTGCATGTAATTTGGCTACGTCCCAGATATCTGAGGTTATCATATCTATGCCCTCTAAATATGTGACATATTTATATTTTTAAAGTACCTTAAAGAATAACACATTTCCTTCATAATTCCTTTATATAGTAAATGCTACCAAATGCAAAGATGAATTTCCTCACAACCCACCTCCAAATTTGAGAATTAGTTCACTGATTTATAGAAAAATAACTTTTTATTAATTTTGTTCAAAGGAATTAGTTTTTAAAATTCATTTTCAAAATGTAGGGATATAAACCAGCAAACTTCACCTTCTCAAGACAAATTTTTCTACTTTCAAGTACACGAAATCATAAAATGAAAACATTAGGTGGACACAAATGGATTATATAGCCACCATTCTAATACTAATGCAGCTCACTACTTTGTCCACAAAACTAAGAAAAATAACATCAAACTAAAATATTTTAGTTTGATAAGATTAAACAGTCTATAGTTTGCTAATTATATAGCTTAATTTCCCACTCTTTTCACTCCATTTTTAAATATGTTCTATATCCTTTTTCTAGAACAAATGTTAACAGATTTGATAAATTGGTAATCCTTGAAAAACAACTCTACTTAAAATAAAAACTAGAAAGTAGAATTCAGACTCTCTTAAACACCAGGACCTAGGTTAAAACATTAGCACTCTTTTTGCTCTACTGTTTATATTTTCATATCAAATATTCCCCTTAAATAAGGGACCTACATTTTCATATTTTAATAAAACATTCAAACAATTTCTTAAGCTAAAAGGTGCAACATCTAATAAGAAATTTAGTAACAGATTTCACTAAGTTACAGTGCTCATCTGCATCAAGTGATTATGTTTTCCCAATAAGTTCATAGAAAAGAACACAAAACTACACTTTATATTCCTTTTTGACTTTTTAAGACTAAATAAATTCAAAGTCAAAAGGAGAAATATCATTTTTTAATCAAAACTTTCTTTTTAATTGGATTAATTTGGTTTCTGTGGTTGATTCTTGTGTACCTTTGAAAATTCTTCAGCTTCCTTTATATCTAATGACCGTGTTGCAAATTCTAGCAGTTCTTCAGAGTTCTCCAGAGCATTATTACATTGACTAAGCTGACTCTAGAAGAAAAAAATAAGATTAAAAGTTCCTATTGCTATCAGAATATTAAATATATAGTATTTTTATAATGAACTTACAAACAATTTTAATAGCAATAACTGAACAGAAATATTGTAGAGAGCTACTGAAGGTGATCACTCTTTATATTTTTAACAAATTTTAATCATCTTAATACACTGTACTTAACATCATTCCATACTTTGTACAAAATAGCTTAACTGCATATAGATAAAGATATACTCATCATTTAAAAACAAAAGAAAGTAAAGCAATTATAAATAACAGGGGTCAGATTTACTTAAAGATTCTTCTCAGTCAGGGCAGTCAGAAACTATCCACAATTTAAATTAAAATATCAAAATAATCTGCCCGGACAGTGTGGCTCAGTGCATTGAGCATTGTCTCATGGACTGAGAGGTCCTGATTCAATTCCCAGTCAGGGCACATGCCTGGGTTTCAGGTTTGATCCCCAGTAGGGGATGTGCAGGAGGCAATAAGTTGCTGTTTATCTCTCACATCGAGGTTTCTGTATCTCTCCCTTCTCTCTCTAAAAATATCAGTAAAAACATATTGTTCAAAATCTAAAAAATAAAATATCAAAATAATCCATCTACAGACAACATCTTCTATAATGAAGACTAAATTTCTTGACGATACTTAACTATTTAAACTAAAGTTTATGAATCAAGTTACAAGTACATCCAGCTGAGCACAATCTTGGTACTCCATTTACCACAATGCTCAAATAATATGCCCTAAATGATCATTTATAGTTTCTAATACTGGATAACATAGGAATAAAAATTCTAGAGCCTAGATTTCAAAAATAAAAAGGAACAAGAGAGGGTAACTGTTAGTGTTGTGCTCTGTTACAGTGATATGTTAATTTCACCTAACACAATCTTTCTTATTCAGTTCTCTTTCTCTCTCACTCTTACTCTCTATCATGTGGATCTATGACTAAGCCCAGTCATGTGAAAATACCTTGTTAGTGATACCTTTAAACAAAGACAAATCCATGTCTATGCTTTCAAATGTATCCAAGATTCTTCCTCAGAATACTTATTAAGATCTAGTTGAGATCTATTCCATATTCAAATGACCTAAGAGGAGCTAATTAGTCAATTACCCTTAATTAAAAGCTAATATGTGGCAAGTAGAAAATATTTTTCTAAACACAAATCGCAAAATTCCTACTCTAAAGAAGGGTGTTAACAACAGTTTAACTTTATCTAGCCAATTAAAAGTCTTTTTTAAAAATGTGTCTTTTGATTGCTTCTAACTCTCCTATTAACAATGCTAGAAGCCCTGGCCGGTTTCACTCAAGGGTTAGAGTATCGGCCTGTAGAAAAAAGGGTCGCGGATTCTATTCCCAGTCAAGGGAGCATACCTGGGTTGCAGGTTTGATACCTGGCCCAGGTTGGGGTCATATGGCAAGTGACCAATCGATGTATCTCTCTCACATAGATGTCTCTCTCACATCTCTCTCTATCTCTCCCCATTCCTTTCCACTCTATCCAAAACAAAACAAAACAATGACAGAAAAATAAAAGGCATACACAGTTAGGCAGAAAGAAGGTCCCAACCAAAAAAAATAGGCACTATCCAGGTATTTGGAGCTTACAGGTAAGAGAAAAAAAGAATAGTATCAGCAGCACCAAAACATCACTCACCCCAGGAATGATTAAAGGTCAGTAGATAAAAATTGATAATGAGACTTCCGGTCAAGATGGCGGGTAGGTAAACGCAGTATCGCGTCCTCCCACAACCACATCCAACTTACAACAAAACTACAGAACAACCACCATTCAAAACCGCCTGAAATCAAGCTGAATGGAAGTCCTACAACTACGGAATTAAAGAAGGTGCATCGAGACTGGTAGGAGGGGCCGCAGCGCGACGGGCTGGTCCCACACCCACGTGTGGCGGATAAAAATCAGGAGGACACCTCTGCTGGGAAGGTCCTTCATGAGGACTGAGGGGTCCCCGTCCCACACCAGGTGCCCCGCTCAGGGTTCCAGTGCCAGGAAGAGAATCCCCATAAATTCTGGCTGGAAAAACCAGCAGGAACTGAGGCTCAGGGAAGCTGACGCGGCTGGAGCCCCAGGCAGCTCCTTAAAGGGCCCGCGCACGGACTTATCGGACTCTCTCCCTCTATGCTCGGAGGGGAGGCAGCTCGAGGGGCACCAGAGACATACAGGGAAGAGCTGTTTGACACTGGAGCGAGGGCTGGAGAGGGGGCTTTCTCTGGGACAAACGTGTGCTGTCGGAGGCCTTTGTTCCTTTGGTGAGCCCTTCCCTGGGGCGGCAGACAGAAGCCATATCTGGGACTCCAGCAACCTGGCTCACACTGGTAGCCCCGCCCTGCTGACTCCTTGAGGCCCCGCCCCACCCCACCCAACTTTCAGGCCCACCCAAGCTGTTGCTACTTGCTTAACCATAGGATTGGCCTGACTTGGATCCTGCTTCAGGTTTTCCTAAATTTTTTCAAACGAGCAGCATCTGGTCTCAGCGAGCCCCATACCTCTCATTAAGTAATACACAGAAACAAACACAGGGAGGCAGCCAAAATGAGGATACAAAGAAACAGGCCCCAAATGAAAGAACAGAACAAAACCCCAAGAAAAGAACTAAGCGAAATGGAGATAAGCAACCTAACAGATGCTGAGTTCAAAATACTGCTTATAAGGATGCTCAATGAACTCAGTGAGGGCCTCAAGAACATAAAAAAGGACCAGTCAGAAATTATCGATGCACAGTTAGAAACGAAGGAGGCTTTAACTGAAATAAAGAATAATTTACACAGCTTCAATAATAGAGTACGTAAATCCAAGGAGCAAACCATCGATTTGGAATATAAGGAAGCAAAAAACGCCCAATCAGAACAGCAAAAAGAAAAAAGAATCCAAAAAAATGAGGATAGTGTAAGGAGCCTCTGGGACAACCTCAAGCATGCCAACATTCGCATCTTGGGGGTGCCAGAAGGAGAAGAGAGAGAACAAGAAATCGAAAACCTGTTTGAAACAATAATGGCAGAAAACTTTCCTAACTTGGTGAAGGAAACAGACATACAAGTCCAGGAAGCACAGAGTCCCAAACAAGATGAACCCCAAGAGGCCCACACCAAGACACATCATCAAAATGCAAAAGGTTCAAGACAAAGAGAGAATCTTAAAAGCAGCAAGAGAAAGGCAGCTAGTTACCTACAAGGGAGTTCCCATAAGGCTGTCAGCTGATTTCTCAAAAGAAACTTTGCAGGCCAGAAGGGAGTGGCAAGAAATATTCAGAGTGATGGAAAGCAAGAACCTACAACCAAGATTACTCTATCCTGCAAAGCTGTCATTTAGAATCGATGGACATATAAAGACTTTCCCAGACAAGAAAAAGTTAAAGGAGTTCATCACCACCAAACCATTATTATAAGAAATGATGAAGGGTCTTTTTGAAGAAAAAGATAAAATATATGAACAAACAAAATGGCAATGAATACATATCTATCAACAATGGAATCTACAAACAAAATGAACAGGAAGAACAGAAACATTCTCATAGATACAGAGAACATTTTTTGGTTGCCAGATGGGAGGGGGTTTGGGGGAATGGGTGAAAAAGGTGAAGGGATTAAGAAGTACAAATTGGTTGCTAAACTGACAAACGTCAAAGGGAAAGGGGCTGGGGGGGGGGGGGGAAATAAACCAAAGAACTTATATGCATAACCAATGGACACAGACAATAGTGTGGGGAAAGGCGGGAGGGAGGCGGGAGTGGGGAAGAGGGAGTCAATGGGGGAAAAAATGTGGAACATCTGTAATTCATTCTACATGCAACAATAAAGATTTAAAAAAAAATAAAAAAATAAAAATTGATAATGAACATTCAATATGCATAATATTTTTGTCAATTGATGGGAAGAAGGAAAGGTAGTAGAAAAAATATGATTCATAACTACTTTGGTGGCAGATTTAATATTTGGTATGGGCTAGGTTGACAGAAATGTTGGCTGGTGAACACAATGAAGATGAAGATAATTAGAGCTGTTCTAGAGAGAAAAAGTACAAGAGAGAAAGATAAAGCAACTAAATGCTTAAAAAATATTCCAGCCCTGGCCCATTTTGCTCTGTGGTTAGAGTGTCAGCCTGAGGACCAAGGGTTGAGGGTTCAATTCCATCAAGGACATCTACCTGGGTTGCAGGTTCAATCTCCAGCCCTGGTTGGAGTCATGCGGAAGGCAACCAATTGATGCGTCTCTGGCACATCGATGTTTTCCTCTCTCTCCCTCCCCATCCTTCCTTCCCTTCCTCCCTGTCCCCCTCCAACTCTTCCACTCTATCTAAAAATCAGTGGAAAAATATTCTTGGGTGAGAATTAAAAACAAAAAAAAAAGTGCAAAAGATCTGAATAGACATTTCTTGAAAGAAGACATACAAATGGACAGGTATATGAAAAGGTGCTCAACATTACTAATCACTAGAGAAATGTAAATCAAAACTACAATAAGGTATCACCCTCACACCTATTAGGATGGCCACTATAAAAATAGAAAGTACATGCAAAATGGGTAAAGGTGGTCAAAAGATACAAACTTTCAGTTATAAATAAGTCCTGCAGATGTAATGTACAGCAATGGTGACTACAGTTAATAATAGTGTGTTACACATTTGAAAACTCTTAAAAGTTCTTATCACAAGAAAAAAAACTTGTGACTATGTGTGGTGATGGATATCAACTAGATTGATTGTGGTGATCATTAAGTAATATATAAATATCAAATCATTATGTTGTACACCTAAAAATAATAGAATGTTACATGTCAAGTATATCTCAATTAAAATAACAACAATAAAAATAGAAAGTAGCAAGTGTTGACAAGGATGTGGAGAAATTGAAACTCTTGTGCACTGCTAATGGGAATGTAATGTTACAACAGCATGAAAATAGTACGAAAGTTCCTCAAAAAAACTAAAAACAGAATTTCCATACGAACCAGCAATCCCACTTCTGGGTATATAACCAATAGAATTGAAACAGAATCTCAAAAAGATATTTGCACACCCATGTTCACTGCAGCATTATTCACAACAGGCAAGAGGTAGAAGGAACTCAAATGTTCATAGACAAAAGAATGAATAAAGAAAATGTGGTATATACATACATTGGAATATTATTCAGTCATAAAAAAGAAGGAAATCCTGGCACATGCTAAAGATGGACAAATATTGAGGACAGTATTCTGAATGAAATAAGCCAGTCACAAAAGGGACAAATACAGGAGGTTCCACTTACAGGAGGTTTCTAGAAGTCAAAATAATGAAAACAGAAAATACAATAGTGGTTTCCAGGCAGTGGAAGGAGAGGCAAATAGGGAGTTGTTCCCTAGGTATAGAGTTTCAGTTCGCAGGATGAAAAAGTTCTAGAGATCTGTTACATAACAATGTAAATAAAGTTAACACTACTGGACTGTACACTTTTAAATAGTTAAGAGGGTAAATCAAACATTGTTTTTTATCACATCTTAAAAAAACAAGATATCTATGACCAAAAAAAGTTATGAAACATTCTTCTACAAGATAAAAGTAAAGTTACACACAGAAATTCATGAATTTTTGCTTTCAATAAATCAAGCACTAGACTAAAATTATTCATATTTGAATAGTTTCATGATCTCACCTGTAACTCTTGCGATTTACGAGCTTGTTCCTGCTTGATACTGTTAATCATACTTTCTTTCATTTCATCCAAAACAGAGTACAGACTATCAAATTCTTCGTCTAACTCTGAAAGTATGTTAGAAGAGTTTTCCTATTTAATAAACAAAGAAAAATGATTTTACTGAAGAGCTGTCAAACATTAAAAACTAAGATATACTTATCAAAAGAGAATATAGATCCATATTATAAACTCTCAGCCTAACATCATAAAAATAACAGAATTCTAATATTTGACATAAGGCTTTAAAAACACACAAACCCAAGAAGCTGGCTATTAATGCTGACAGTACTATTTCAGCTATGCTCTGAGTTAAGCAGCCTTTTTGGACTAACCCATACTCTCTTCCACTTTTATAATACTTTCCATAGAACAATGTGAAAGGTGGTGTTAATGTTGCCAACTCTGTCTAGACCTTCAGGCTCTAAGGCAGACACTAAGTCAGTAGTTCTCAACCTTTACTGTGTATCAGAATCATTAGTGAGGCATTTTAGTAAAATATTCCAGAGATTTATTTATTCTGTAACTTTTGAGGGGTAGTTTGGACATATAGAGGTAGGGCTGATTTTGTGTAAATTTTTTAATCTTTTACATTGTCTAAAATACTGCATTTATAAAAGACATACAGAACTTAGAGCAATTTCATACTGGATCCTAACAGATTTATCAACCAATGGACTTTAATGTTAGAAGAAACATTGGAAACCATCTACTGACTAGAATTTGTAGTAAAACTGCTAAATTTTATGAAATAAAAGACACATGAGTGACTTTCTCAAAGCTATATAACTAGCTGCAGTTCAAGTCTGTTGACTTCTCACTGCCCCATTAAGCAAGACACTATTATTTCAGTAAGAAATAATTTAAAATATCTATAAAATCCCTAGATAAGCCATATGTACACAGCAACAATTATGATGAGATAAAAGAAATTATCTTACAGTATTTTTCAACTTAAATGTGCGGTCTGGAAAGCAGAAGACTTAAGTCAAATCCCACATCGACCAGGCAATAATAGTGTGACCTTGGACAAGCCATGTAAATTCCTGAACCTCAGTTTACTCATCCAAAAGGAACTGGACTACTCTTTTCCCCTCAGTAACCAATTGGTACATTCTTACAGTCTCTTGCCCACTCCCTTGTATGCCCCCACCTTCAGTGACCAGTGTAGCTTAATTACTCCTCTATTTGTTTTTCTGGATTCCAAGGTAGAGTTCTATTAATCTGGCAATCAGAAAAAAATATTTTGGACTAGTTCTATTTTATGGTCTCTTTGCCCAGATGTCAAATGTGATGATTCTCTCACCCAGAGATCAAGAATTTTAGAACCTCCAGTTTTGCTTACGACAAGAAAGTAGACTTGTGAATTCACAAATTTCCCAATAAAAGAGCTCAAGAAAGAATTAAAGTGGTGAAGATCATAGTCAACTGACTTCAATTACAGTAAACTCAGAAGTAAAGGAAATACAATCAATGACTATAAGGTCTAACAGGCCAAAGACAAGGCAATTACCTAGGTTAAAACAAAAACTATAGAAAAGGATCCACTGTCTACAAGTGTCCTACACATCTTCTATGCTCATTTTACCAAAAAAAAAGAAGTCCTTTAACCCAGCCAGTGAGGCTCATTTGGTTGAACATCATCCCATGAACCAAGAGGTTGTTGTTTCCATCCCCCATCAGGGTACATGCCCAGTTTGTGGGCTCAGCCCCCAGTAGGGGGCATGCAGGAGGCAGCCAATCGATGTCTCTCATCCGTTTCTTTCTCTCTTCCTCTTCCCCCAGTGCACCAACTAGCCACCATCTTCCCCACTATTTACTACAAAAGGAATGCTTAGCTTCTCAGTACTTTTGAAAGTACAATTTGCTCTTATAATTAGAAAAGACAAACATAGCCCTGGCCGGTTGGCGCAGCGGTTGGAGCGTCGGCCTGCGGTCCTGAGAGACCCGGGTTCGGTTCCCGCTAAGGGCACGTACCTCGGTTGCAGTTTGTCCCCGGCCCTGGTTGGTCGTGCGGGTGGCAGCCACTCGATGTGTCCCTTCACATCGATGTTTCTCTCCCTCTCTATCTGATCAAAAAATGGAAAAATGTCCTCGGGTGAGGATAAAAAAGACAAACATAAAATGGAAAATGAACACTATAATATTCCCTAGTAACTGTAATTCCAGAGTTTTCTTTTTCCCTTACCACTCAATCATTCCATGGAGAAAGCAATAATAGCAAAGAAAGTATTTTTGGATAGTTCCGGTCAAGATGGCGGCGTAGGGAAACGCAGTATCGCGTTCTCCCACAACCACATCCAAGTTACAACAAAACTACAGAACAACCGTCATCCAAAACCGCCTGAAATCAAGCTGAATGGAAGTCCTACAACTATGGAATTAAAAAAAAAAAAAAGCAGCTATATCCTGACCGGTAGGAGGGGCGGTGGCGCAAGGGGTGGCGGCAGCGGCGCAGCGGCGCGAGGGGCTGGTCCCACACCCACGTGTGGCGGATAAAAATCGGGAGGCTCCTGCGGCTGGGAAGGTCCTTCCTGAGGACTGAGGGGTCCCCGTCCCACACCAGGTGCCCCGCTCAGGGTTCCAGTGCCAGGAAGAGAAGTCCCCATAACTTCTGGCTGGAAAAACCAGCAGAAACTGAGGCTCAGGGAAGCTGACCTGGCTGGAGCCACAGGCAGCTCCCTAAAGGGCCCGCGCACGGACTTATCGGACTCTCTCCCTCTAAGCTCGGAGGGGAAGCAGCTCGAGGGGCACCAGAGAAATACAGGGAAGAACTGAGCTGTTTGGCACTGGAGCGAGGGCTGGAGAGGGGGCATTCTCGGGGACAAACGTGCTGTAAGAGGCCTTTGTTCCTTTGGTGAGCCCTTCCCTGGGGCGGCAGACAGAAGCCATATCTGGGACTCCAGCAACCTGGCTCACACTGGTAGCCCCACCCTGCTGACTCCCTGAGGCCCCGCCCCGCCCCACACAACTTTCAAGCCCACCCAAGCTGTTGCTACTTGCTTAACCATAGGATTGGCCTGTCTTGGATCCTGCTTCAGGTTTTTCCTAAATTCTTTCAAACGAGCAGCATCGGGTCTCAGCAAGCCCCATACCTCTCGTTAAGTAATACACTGAAACAAACACAGGGAGGCAGCCAAAATGAGGAGACAAAGAAACAGGTCCCAAATGAAAGAACAGAACAAAACCCCAAGAAAAGAACTAAGCGAAATGGAGATAAGCAACCTAACAGATGCTGAGTTCAAAATACTGCTTATAAGGATGCTCAATGAACTCAGTGAGGGCCTCAAGAGCATAAAAAAGGACCAGTCAGAAATGATCGCTGCACAGTTAGAAACGAAGGAGGCTTTAACTGAAATAAAGAATAATTTACATAACTTCAATAATAGAGTACGTAAATCCAAGGAGCAAACCATCGATTTGGAATATAAGGAAGCAAAAAACGCCCAATCAGAACAGCAAAAAGAAAAAAGAATCCAAAAAAATGAGGATAGTGTAAGGAACCTCTGGGACAACCTCAAGCGTGCCAACATTCGCATCTTGGGGGTGCCGGAAGGAGAAGAGCAAGAACAAGAAGTCGAAAACCTGTTTGAAACAATAATGGCAGAAAACTTTCCTAACTTGGTGAAGGAAACAGACATACAAGTCCAGGAAGCACAGAGAGTCCCAAACAAGATGAACCCCAAGAGGCCCACACCAAGACACATCATCATCAAAATGCAAAAGGTTCAAGACAAAGAGAGAATCTTAAAAGCAGCAAGAGAAAGGCAGCTAGTTACCTACAAGGGAGTTCCCATTAGGCTATCAGCTGATTTCTCAAAAGAAACTTTGCAGGCCAGAAGGGAGTGGCAAGAAATATTCAGAGTGATGGAAAGCAAGAACCTACAACCAAGATTACTCTATCCTGCAAAGCTGTCATTTAGAATCGATGGACATATAAAAACTTTCCCAGACAAGAAAAAGTTAAAGGAGTTCATCACTACCAAACTGTTATTATATGAAATGATGAAGGGTCTTTTTAAAGAAAAAGATAATATGTATGAACAAACAAAATGGCAATGAATACATATCTATCAACAATGGAATCTACAAACAAAATGAACAGGAAGAACAGGAACATTCTCATAGATACAGAGAACATTTTGTTGGTTGCCAGTTGGGAAGGGGGTTGGGGGAATGGATGAAAAAGGTGAAGGGATTAAGAAGCACAAATTCATTGCTAGACTGACAAACCTCAAAGGGAAAGGGGTTAGGGGGGTGGGAAGAAATAAACCAAAGAACTTATATGCATAACCAATGGACACGGACCATAGTTTGGGAAAAGGTGGGAGGGGGGCGGGAGTGGGGAGGAGGGGGTCAATGGGGGAAAAATGTGGAACATCTGTAATACATTTTACATCCAACAATAAAGATGTGGAAAAAGTATTTTTGTTTATCTGATGTTCAAAAACCCTCTCATCTCCATTAGTTTCCAGAGTTGATGGAAGGTTTTTATACTTCTGATTTGATCCAACAATCATTCCCTATAACATATTCACACAAACATTTAAAAGAGACTCATACCTGAACTCCTTTTAGTGTATGATTTAGTGTATCAATAAAGTTCTGAATTTCATCATTTTTATTTGCCAGAGTTGAAATGATCCTTTGTAGAGCTTCCTAGAATAAAAAATGAAACATTATGATATTTTAATAAAAGAGAACTATAAACCTCATTAATAATTCTCTAAATAAATCCTTTATATAAGAGTATATTATATAATAAATAAGAGCAATGTAAGCTTCTCATTGAAAATTTCCAAAGGCCTGTAACTGAAAACATAGGATATGTTTGTGTACTGTTTAAAAGCCTCTTATTCCTACTATACAATTTAATCACCATCATACCTCTCACAATGAAGATGATCACTATTAATTAATATCAATAGTATTATTTTAGGTCATAAGCTGTGGCAAAGAAATAGAACCAAATATTACTAAACACTGCAAAAACAAATGGAAACTTCTAATACAACATCAGGATATTAGGAATAAAAACAAAACAATGAAATTTGACATTTTTGTTTATAAAAATATAAAACATATTTTAGAAATATGAAAGTAGGTAATAAATGTGCAGCCTAAATTACAAAATTCATTGTAATATTTACAGATGCTATAGGGAAGCATAATAAATATGGTAATTTTGGTAGCAAATTCTCAGATTTTTTTATGTTTCCTATTTAAATACAACACTTGGTTATTTAATTTTCTCATATACTCTAGTTCAGTATTATCTAATACAATTTCCTGTTATGATGGAAATGTCCTCTATATGTGCTGTCCAGTATGATAGTCTCTAGCCACATGAAGCTAAGGTGCTTTTGAAATGTGAATAGAGCAACTGAGAACCTAAATTTATTTATTTTTTAACTTTAATTTCAGTTCTTATAGCCATGTGTAACAAGTACAGCACAGATCTAGCTGTTTAATAATTCTCCACATGTAGTAACACCAAAATCCAAACAAGGTACTTGTATTCTCAGTAAAAATCAAATGCAAGTACTTTTACTTCATAATTTTCCTGGACACACAAGCCTTGTATCTGTAAGCACCTACAAGTGTAAATACTTTAATAATTTCCCATAAGATTTTGTGTGATAAGGTTCTTCTCAAAATATAATCAAATATTGATAAAAATGCTATAAAAAAGAGCTCAGGGCGCTCTGGCTGATTTGGCTCAGCGGTTAGAGCATTGGCCTGCGGACCAAGGAGTCCCAGGTTTGATTTTGGTCTTTGATTCTGGCTGGCCAAGGGCACGTACCTCGGTTGCAGTTAGTCCCCAGCCCCAGTTGGGGTCATGTGGGTGACAGCCAGTCAGTGTGTCTCTCTCACATCAATGTCTCTCTTTCTCCCTCTCCCCCTCCCACTCTGTCTGAAGATAAATGTAAAAAAAAAAAAAAAAAGCTCAGGTCCCTGGCCAGTTTGGCTCAGCGGTTGGAGCATTGGCCCACAGACCGATGAGTTGCAGATTTGATTCCAGTAAAGGGCATGTACCTCAGTTGCGGTTCGTTTCTGGCCTTGGTCAGGTCATGCGGGAGGCAGTCAATCAGTGTGTCTCTCTCACATCGATGACCCCGCCCCTCCGTCCCACCCACTCTAACTGAAGATAAATGGAAAATAAAAAACCTTGGGTGAGGATTTAAAAAAAAAAAAAAAAGAGTTCAGGAAATAATATAATAACGGGATAATGCTTTATATAAATACTCATAAAGCACTATGGTAGTGAAATAGTAAGAAGAATCACAACAGTTCTCATTTAATTCTCTCAACAATCCCTGTAGATAAATAGGTCTTATCATCTCTGGTGCTGCCTAAGGCTCTCTGCTGTATTTATTTACCTATACTACTTAAATTATCTCTTCCCATCCTCTCAGATGGTGGTATTTTAATACAATAAAACAATGAAGTTATGCTATGAAAGAAGACCCACACCAAGAGTTAGATGTTTATCCTGTTTCTCTAACTCCCAGAAACCAGTGCACCAAGATTTGAATACAAAGGCGACCAGCAGAATGGATCCTGTACTTGGAGGAAGGGTGGGCACACTTGGAGAGACATGGAAAAGGAGGGCAGAGGACTTAAGAGTCCTCCAAGTAGCCCTAGCCGGGTGGCTCAGTTGGGTGGAGTGTTACCCCGTACACTAAAAGGTTGAGGGTTCGATCTCTAGTCAGGGCGTGCACAGGAGGCAACCAATCTGTGTTTCTCTCTCACATTGATGTTTCTCTCTCCCTTCCCCCTCTCCAAAATCAATAAACATATCCCCAGGTGAGGATAAAAAAAAAAAAAAAAAAGGAGTCTTCCAAGTAATCAAGCAAGATAGGTTACATATTTTAAAACAAAACAGTGTAATATTAAAAACGATTCTGCAATCCTCTGTGTATAGTAAGCTTCAATAAGATGGGCTCTTTCTGTTTCAAAGACTGCCTCCCCTTCTATCCCTAATGGCAGGGATACATCCATATTATACAAATGAGAAAATGGAGATTCAACTAGTTGCCCAAAATGATACTGCTAGTAAGGTAAAGATCATGCTCAGTCTGTCTCCAAATCCCATGCTCTTGACCACTTTAGAATACTTCCTTTAAATCTAACCAAACATGTCAGTAAACATGGTTGCAGAAGAAGCAATCATCCAGGTGAATAAAAGTCAGAACCGAAAGCAACCACCATGACCTTAGTAGCTAATGCAGATATAGTGGTGCCTCTACCCTAAGATTTTCATCTTCTTTTTTTTTTAATCCTCACCTGAGGATATTTTTCTATTTTTGTTCAGATAGAGTGGGAGGGAGAGAGAGACACATCGATGTGAGAGAGAGACATCAACTGGTTGCCTCCCCCACGACCCCGACCAGGGCTTGGGACGAACCGCAACTGAGGTACATGCCCTTGACTGGAATAGAACCTGCAACTCATTGGTCCACGGGTCAACGCTCTAACCACTGAGCAACTGGCCAGGGCCCTAAGATTTTCTAAGTTTAGGAGAAAAAGGGGGTAACATCCTGAAAGTTCCCCAAGGGCAAGATGCTGAAACAAGAGCTCCAGAAACTCTGAAGCCACTTGCCCTTTAATCTGTTGTTGTGGAGAGAATGAGCAAATCCGAAAGACTGTAATCAAGAGCTCACATTTAGTATTCTACTATAATGGAAGTTCATCAGGGAGAGCTAAGAAATTAATTATGAAGGGGACCAGGGCTTCAACCATTCTGGCCGTCATAAGGGCAAGAATTTACTAGGGTAGAAATGGAAGAAGACAAAGAATTAAGAAACTTGTAGCTCGGTAGAACTGGAAAACAAATTACAAGTAACCAAAATACTTAAGACAAACTACCACCAACACCAAAACTTATAAAAAATAAAGTGAAATATTAGGACTACATGAGCTGAATTCTGAAACTTAACCCTAGCTGTGTATGTAACATGAGGCTAACGTTTTCTTTATGTGGTAGGAGTCAGGGAAGAGATATATACAGGGATAGTGTGTGCCTAACATAGGAGGGATGCAAGGGGAAAGTGGTTGAGTAAGTATCATACCCGGCAGAATTCTTTAAAAATGTTTTCTAAATATGGCAAGCAACATGCAGGGCAGGATGTCTAAATACTCTGTATTCAGAAACTTAGAGAAATGGGCAGAAAAGAATTAAAAGATACCATAATGCACTGAGTTTTCTACCCCATTCTATTGCTCCAGGTTCTCCAAATTTAATCAGTAGTATTTCTAATGGAGACACAAGTAACTGATAAGGAAACTGAGGAGGAAGCGCAAAGCCAGAAGCCTCAGAGAATGTGATGTAAGCTGTGCACAACAATGCACCATTAGATACAGCACCTCTCTGAGCTCCAGACCATTTTAATACCACTGCTTACTTGAAATCTCCACTTGGATGTCTCACAAGCACTTCAAAACTCAACACGTTATAATGTCCACCACTAAACCTGAGCCCTCCTCTGTGTTCTTTCTCTGTAAACAGCACTACCAGCTGCAAAACCAGAAACTTAGGCTGTCATTATTATAGCCTCTCTTCATTTGTGCACTACATACACACCAAATTCTGCATATTTTTCCTCCTGAATAGTTCTATGATCACTACTACTGTCTTATAAGACATACCATATCTCAACTTATACTCTGGCAAAACTTCTTAACTGGCTTCTGATCCATTCTTTCTCCCCAATAATCACTTCTCAATACTGCAGCTCGAGTAATACAGTAACATCACTCTTCCAGCTGAATAGTCTTCAATGGCTTCCCACTGGTCCTTGGATAAAATCTAACACGGCCTGTTAATTGGCCTTACTGTAAGACCCTGCATGATTTCCCCATTGCCTACCTCTCTCCTGTTTTAACTCACACCACACCCTCTCTCTTGCTTCATTCCAGCTGTAGTCGCCTGCTGTGAATTTCTCTACCATGCCAGGGAGCCCTCACATTTATCAGTTCCTCTGCCTACAACCACTATTCTAAAAACATATACACAATGTACTGTTAAAACAAGTTCTACTCGCCAGGCGTCCTCGTGAGAGTGACATCGTCTTTAAACCCTTGTGGCAATCCCTGACGTACCACCGTGATGCCCAGGGAAGACAGGGCAACCTGGAAGTCCAACTACTTCCTTAAGATCATCCAACTTCTGGATGATCATCCAAAATGTTTCATTGTGGGAGCCAACAATGTAGGCTCCAAGCAGATGCAGCAGATGCAGCAGATCTGCATGTCCCTCTGTGGGAAGGCTGATGGGCAAGAACACCATGATGCGCAAGGCCATCCGAGGACATCTGGAAAACAATCCAGCTCTGGAGAAACTGTTGCCTCATATCCGGGGCAATGTGGGCTTTGTGTTCACTAAGGAGGACCTCACTGAGATCAGGGACATGCTCCTGGCCAATAAGGTGCCAGCTGCTGCCCGTGCTGGTGCCATCGCCCCATGTGAAGTCACTGTGCCAGCCCAGAACACTGGTCTGGGGCCAGAGAAGACCCCTTTCTTCCAGGTTTTAGGCATCACCACTAAAACCTCCAGGGGCACCACTGAAATCCTGAGTGACGTGCAGCAGATTAAGACTGGAGACAAAGTGGGAGCCAGCGAAGCCACACTGCTGAACATGCTGAACGTCTCCCCCTTC